GCAAAATGCCTAGGTCAAAATCTAGGTCAAATTCATAGTTTTTCTTTATTTTTGCGATTCTGACACTATATTTTCATGATTTGCTTCAAAATTTTGTAGACAGGTAGGAAAGAGTGTGCTAATAGTGTTAGCTTTTTGCCATCATGAAGTATTTCAACCCACTTTTGAGATATGGTGTCCGAAATGTAGGTCAAAATAAAAAAAAATTCCAAATTTAACATATGAGTTATGAATTAAGGGTAGAATTTTCTCAGGAATCCGAGTCTGCAAACCAAATTTCGATCCGACTTCCGGTTCGAAAGTTATGGCGTTTTGAAATTTCGAGAAAAATCGATCTGATGGTTTCCTGATAGAAAGTCAAGAGTAGAGAAGAAAATATTGAAAAATGCATCCATCCTTCCTTTGTGATCCTATCGTATCCTTCTTATCTACCTTTCCTTCGTATTCTCTCCTTCCTATCCTTCCTATTCTATTCCTTCTTCCTATTCTATTCTATCATTCTTTCCTATTCTATCCTATCGTTCCTTCCTATTTTAGCCTATCCTTCCTTCCTTTTTCATCCATCCATCCATCTTTTTCTGGATGACTCAGCTTATTTTGGATGACTAGGCTTATTCTGGATGACTCGGCTAAAAAAAAGTCTAGATCTGGAGTCTGAAATTGAACTTCGTTCAATTTCCAAAGTCTAGTTACATTTATATTCACACTAGTATTTTGTTGACCTATATTCAGCACTGTATTGATGTATAGGCCACTTATTAGGGTCATAATTCAATCATGAAGTGTAGAGGCATATGATTCCAAACCAGGAAGTATTTTTGTGTCTGTCAAAATCCATTTGCATCCTACGCATCCCTACATCTTATCCAAATATGTTACTACATAATGAAATAAAATAGTATATTCTTTGGTTTTACAAAGTTGTATGATTTTTGATAAGTGTAAAAGTTGTTTTTGGAGCATTTTTCTATAGCCATTTTGTAGGGAAAAAATGATGAAAAAATGTACAATCTTTTAATTTTAAGTATGACCTGAATCGATTGCAAACTTCATATTTGCACATTTGATGAGATAAACCATTAGTGCCATATTGTGAAATTACTAAGTTTGCAATCGATTCAGGTCATAGTGTATTTTTGGTATTCGTGTGATAATTAATAGAAACCAATGGCCTCTATTGGGATCTGCTAATATCCTCATGTTAAGTCAATGAAGCACAGCCCCATGTAAGGCAATACAACCTTACTAAACTAAATGGCCCCTATCTCAGCCTATGTGTGCCCGAGCATTTTAATATTTTCCAAAGAGTTATACCTTATTAGATGCAGTAAAGGAGTTAAATCATTGGGATCTGAATAAATCATGCAAAACATGTTTTGTACATATTTCTCATCATTTAGGGTTACCCAGTAGTTTACAAGCTGACCTTTGCAAAATATATTTCACTTACTATCCTCATTCGCTATCACCCTATCTAGTTTCTTTCCAAATTGGCCTGGATTGCCTGGTTTATTGGTTTTAGCGAACCATCCATTTCGTCGAACCATCATTTTGCTAAGGTTGTTTGTGATGAATATACAATATTCAGTTACATATAACTGTACAGCAACTTTATGCAAGGGAAGGTAATTGTGTGAGAGCACATAAAGTAAATGAAGTATTGACCCACTTGTCTCAGTGAATCTTATAAACAGTGCATAAAGTTTTTTCTATGCAATGATTGGCTCACAGTTACTTATAGTGTAAGTTATTTTATTTCTATACAGTGTGGAATAGAGTGTATAAACTTTTACAGTTTCAAGCAGGTTTTAGTGTTTTCTGACCAATGAAATATTCAGACTTATTCATTTCACGATTATGTAATACTGACCTACATATCTGTATAGCATATCTTTAACTAATAAACTATACTTTTACATGAGAAAGTCTTAGTTGTGTTTTATTTACATTGAGTTCTACATTATTCTAATAATTTAGGTGGGCTATTTTATGACATACAGGGTGGTCCAAAAAAAAGTGAACCCCTGCAACAGGCTACAATTTTCTTAATACATGCATGAATTGGCTCATATTATCACATGTTGTAGAGAAAGGTCTAAAATTTTGGTTCATGCCATAATTTATCCTCAGTCTTAAATTTTGAAAAAATTACAAGCATTTAACAAACATGCCTGGAAATTAGATATTGTACAAAATTTTACAAATGTGATTCACGGAAATTGTTGAAACACATTGGTTGATCTTAAGCAGCTTTCAGTTAGAGATACAAGTTAAAAACCCTACCATATGACAAAAGGGACACTATTCAAGCAGAAAACACATTTCACACTTTCATTGATCATTTTGAAGCATTTTTAAATGTTCAACAGTTCAGGGGTATGTTACCTCCAGCAACAGTTAGAGGGGGGCCTCTCATGGAAGGAAGTTGCCCCCTGTGACCAGGAATCTGGTAACCCCTTCATCAAATATCTTTAAAAAATCAAAAGAAAATCCAATACTCAATGTTTTGAGCCATATATCATTAGAATTGGTTCATGATTTATGAAGATATTGACATTTCAAGATCATATAGAGGTATGTTCATGATTTCACTAGAAAATGTTTTCGTCTATGGAAGCTTAGCACATCTCTTTGGATCACAATAACTTTGCAACTAACAAATTTAGGATGCTAGTTTTAAGCCATAATGTGCAAGATTTAAAATTGAACAAAGTCAGAAAATATTAGTTCTTTAAGACTGCAGCTTAAAAAATTCTCGGGGGAAAGGTGTTAAAGGGTTGAACAATCGCGGATATTGAAAATCACAATTTGTCCATTTTCAGTAATGTTTGGTTAGAGCTTATAATTTCTGCAAATTTCAAGACTAAGAAAAATGTATGGACCCAACATAAATTTTAGACCTTCCTCTACAACATGTGAAAATAAAAAATAATTCCTGCAAGTAATAAGGGAAATATGGCCAGTTGCAGGGGTTCACTTTTTTTTGGACCACCCTGTAAAGTGGGCAACTAGTTGAAAAACTTGCAATGTCAAGAAATTAGTTGGCAACAAAACCATTACTCGGATTACTTTATATTTCAGGATGCTAGGTGGGGTGTTGTCAAAATAATAAGGGTACTAATGGTCTCAGGGCCCTAGGTGGCCTACTACAAAAATTAATTAGGCCACTTTGTGTTTCAGGACATACACTCCCCTCCATAAGTTTGGCAACCTTAGCTCCCCCATTGAACTGCGTGTTAAGCCTCTTGACGTTTGAATTTTTATTTACTTAACCGGCGATGAAATAACTTATAATATTGATGAAAACATAACTTGACTTTATTTCCAATACCTTCAAATTTTCTCAATTTTTTTCCTCAATTACAATAGGTCAAAAACTGATGACAAATTTGATGAATTTTTGAAAATCATCATTGCCATGTAATCCAATGGGAAATGGAGGGTTCGGGGCAAATCAGAAATCAGGATATCTTTTCAGTAAAAGATTCAACAAAAAATATTTTTATATAGAAAATTGAATTGTCTAATTTTTTTGTGCACTAAGTGTTTAGTTTATTTTAGGAATACTAAAGTTACAGCGCTTCAAAGTCATTTTTGAAAATAATTTTTCATTTCCTGTGTTATTTCAATGGGAGAGGATTTTTGAAAAACAATTTTGACTTTAAAGCCCTATAACTTTGTTGAACCTGAAGAAACATATCAATTTTTTGTTAAATAAAGTTAGCAAATTCAATTGCCTGCCTAGCTCGTATTTTTTGCAAGGACTCGGATGGATGGATATTCTGTCATATGACTTGCGGCAAACCTACCATTTCCCATTGGTTAACATGGGAATGTCGATTTTCAAAAATTCATCAAATTTATCGTCAAATTTCGACTTATTGTAATTGAGGAAAAAAATTGAGAAAATTTTGAGGTATTGGAAATAAAGTCAAATTACGTTTCCATCAATAGTATAAGTATTTTCATCGCAGATTAAGTAAATGAAAATTCAAAGGTAAAGAGGCTTTAACACGTAGTTCAATGGGGGAGCTAAGGTTGCCAAACTTATGGAGGGGAGTGTATGTTGGGCTACCATAAAAAAGTTCATATAATTAGATCTCAGTACATAAGGTCATATTGTGTTTCAGAAATCAGTGTTTTAAAGGGTGACGCATATCGTTTAGCAAATCGAACGCTCGTTTCTGGTGTTGCTCACCGTTTAGTATAAAAGGCCCGATCCCGGAATAATACTCAAGGGTTTACAGGTTCGAGGTCCTTGTGTCAACACCTCTAACTGTTATATAGCATAAGTATATTATAGATCGTCACACATTTATAAAAGGGTGGTTTTTATTTTGACAAATCAATTCCACATTTATGGGCGAAGTTTCAAGATCTTCTATTTGTGTATAATAAGGAAAAATAGGCATCTAAATTTCCCCATAACGTAATAGCACACAGCTTGGCATATGAAATATCCTACAAATGAAACAAAGCAAGACAAACCGGTTTCTAATACAAGAATTTATATTGGCTGTTGTACATGTATTATTTGAACGCAATCACTCTTTGGATAACGTTTTCAAAATCATTATAAACGGATTACTTTATCTTAAAGACAATTTCAATAAACTGTATTTTACAGAACTCCCCTTATTTCTTAAAAATGGACTGATCCAGTTGATTCGCCTGGAGCCGCCATATTGTTTTTATACGGGATGCTAATCGGAACCCTTTAAGACTCTAGTCTAGGTAGATAACCATAAAAGAAATTAGATGACTAGATTGGTTCCTTGTTTTAAGACAGTTGGGTGGCTACTATGAACAAGACATTAACATGCAAAATGTCTCCACCTGCCATTTGATACAGATGCTGACTACGAAACACCAATCAGATGGAGATTATAATAATATGTCACCTCTTCTGGTGTTACAAAGAAACAACTATATCATATTGTATTTTAAGACGCAATGTAGGCTACTAAATGATCATATGATCATATCATCTTATGTTTCAGGACCCTAGGTGGAATATTAGATGAGAACTGTCACTGTTATACACTGGAGGTATCATTCTTTAGCTACATGACTAACAGTTCCAGCAACGCCCTTCCATACACAGAAGAAGCATGTATCCTTAAAACAAATAATTTTGCAGATTAAAATACTCATCCTGATTCACCATTATGAGAACTTTTCAAGTAATTTTAGGCTAAAATTGTCAAATGTGAACCTCTTGTGGAAATATTTGGAAAGTATCTACATAAGCTAAAAGTGTCACCAGAACAAAAGTTATTGTATATAATTAATTGGACTTCATATCATAATATAAGGTTATTCCCATATCAAATATAAGGTAAAGAATTTTTATTCCATATTACTGCTGTTTTCCCAGGGAAATATGAAGGAATAAAATCGTATTGAATCGTATTACATGAAAAAATCGTATTGTCCCTGGGAAAAAATCGTATTGGAGCATATTAACCTATTTTCTGGATTATTTGCATTATTCAAATGTAGCATTTTAGATGGGTGTATTATGGAATAAATAGGTTATTTCTGGTTGGGATTGAATATGGGTTTTATTCCGAGGGACAATATGATATTGACCGAAGGGTAATCATCTATCCTTAATGTTGGGTCTTTTAGGATAAGGAGTCAAAAAATCAAGAATTTTCAATAGATCACTCTTGAAGAGCACAAATAAATGCTAAAAACACAGTTAACAAGATTCTTAACCCCATTGCAAGATATGAAACTAGGACGCAATCTAGCCAGGACATTCCTAGATTACTACAAGCTAACTGGATACATCAGCTCTAAGCCGAGTAGCAGCCTAGTACCCAAGCCTGGGAGACATAGCGCTAGGGAGAGGCATCGCGAGAGGGGGTCTTCTGAGAGAGCAGCATCAGAACCCACTGTGAGAGTCTCAAATGATGAGAGGTATGTGTTCAATGTTCTTTTGTTTTACTTTCTAAGTTTCTTACTTAAACTTAAATTATTGTTTTCTAAATAGCCCTAAGGTTGATATTATATGATTTATCCCATGATATCTAATATTTATAGTTGAATGATGCAAGGATATGATGCGGGGAAATCATAAATTAACCAAAGTCATAATAAGCGAACTTGAAGGAATATGTTTCTAATTTTGATAATTGCTTAACAGCCAAATAACTATGATGTACATGTATATGTTTAACAATTACACAATGTTTATTATGTATTATCATGAAGTTATTATGCGTAATTAGAATCATATAAGCCAGATAATGTTATATTTTATCCAGGTATGATAATAGAGGGAGTCAGGGCAGGCTGATGTTCGAGAGGCCTACAATGGGGAGTAATGTCAGCTCTGGAAGCTTTGGAGAGACACAGTTTAGACTACAACATAGAGGGAATAGACCTTGAATGAAGTCTTGTGAATAGTCTATGAATTTTAGTGAAAAATGCCCTGGATTTTACTAGGGAGCTTAACTGTGCATTAAGTACATACATGTACAAGAACTGATATAGGCCGACATTGAAAAGTGCCTCGGTTTTCATTGAAAATGGCAGTGTGATTCTTCTGGATATGAAAAGCCCTGAAACTACATGTACCTCAGAGTAAACTGGTCCAGAATTCTCTCATGGGAAAATACCTTTATTCACATGAAGAAATTAGGCACTGAATTTTTAGAATTGGCATAAATGTGCATAATTGGCTGATGCTGAATGGTGATGAATTGGACATATCTTTTTATAATCTTTTTTATATATCACTCAAATGCTTTACTCACTTCACTGATAGTATTTATCATCAAGAACTTCTTATAATCATAATGCTCAATGGAGAATACATAAAATAAAAGATATATGCAAGAAGTTTTCGATGGTATTTTATTATGATGTTCATCACAATATTCCCCACTGTATCACAAATCTAGTCCAAGAAACACTAGTCTTGGTACAAAGACTAATTGTGAATGTTTTGTTTCATAGAATCAACAAGAACAATCAAGTATAGAACATTCATGTACATTTGAGTTTGGAATATCAACGAATTTATTGAACATGTACATGAATTCCATTCTCGAATGAATCCGTCCAAAATAAATTGAGATATGTTTATTTAAATATGCAGAATTATAATGTTTCTTCTGAACGATTAAACTATTTATGTATAAAAATGTAAGTATGAATTATTAGATCAAAGTGGATCTAGCAGAAATAAAAGGCCAGTATAATAGTTAATCATTTTCTCTTGTTAAACTATGAGAATGTTGTTATTTGGGTAGCTTCTAGCTGGTAGCATTGTCTATTGTCTAATTGAGCCACGTAGGTTATCGCAAACAATTTCACATGATTGTATCTTGGATTATGAATATTTTCTCATGACGAAGGCAGGCATATCTTTTAGATTTATTCATTATCTTCATAAAAAGAATATTAAATGATAATTAAGAAGTTTATCAGACTAAGTTATATTAAAGGGGCAATGAACCATCAACTTACTTTTTAAAAGAAGTTCCCCTAATTTTCACTGAAAAGGCAACCTTTTATTATGTCACAACTTTTTGGTGGTGACATATTTATTTTGACGGCGGATGCCAGTTGGTGATCAGCGTCTGTAACAAATTCTTACAACTTCCAATAACTTAACAAATACTGTTTAGACTGACTTCAATTTTTTTTTCAAAATCATCAAGTTTTCAGAAGTTCAAATCTGACTTTATATTTAAGATTTGACCTTCAAGGTCAAAAATGTCAAAAAAATCTTTTTTCAACTTGCTTCAAATAGACAAAAAAAAAATTTCAAAATCATCTTCAAGTTATCAGAAGTTCAAATCTGACTAGATTTGACCTACAATGACCTTTTCAAGGTCAAAAAAGCTCAAAAAGGTATTTTTTCAACTTGCTTCAAATTGAGCAATTTCTTTTTTCAAAATCATCTACAAATTCTCAAAAGTTCAAATCTGGCTATAGAATTGACCTTCAATGACATTCTCAAGGTCAAAAAATATATTTTACCTTCAATGACCTTCTCAAGGTCAAAAAGGTCTTTTTTCATCTTTCTTCAGATTGACCATTTTTTTTTCAAAATCATCTACAAGTTCTTTGAAGTTCAAACCTGACTTTAGATTTGAGAATTCACCTTCAATGACCTTCTCAGGGTCAAAAAGGTATTTTTTCAAATTGACCAATTTATTTTTTCAAAATCATCTACAAGTTGTCAGGAATTTAAATCTTACTTAAGATTGAACACATAATATTGTGAGCAACTAGGTGGTGACATTTTGTCATGGTAAAGCCTTGTTATGTTTAATGCTAATTAGAATGTACTTTAAGACATTCTTGTTTTCCTTAAAGTGGAATACTCCAGGGACTTTAAAGATACTGAATTTTGATGACCAAAATGAGCTACAATCAATGGATAGCATGAGTTTTTCTATGGGGAAATAACACGGGGAACACTAATCTAAGGGCAATTCAGTTTTCCTTTCAAGAACTAATTGATACATCAAAATATTAGTAAAGAATACTGAATGCTTTAAACATTTTCAAAAAGGTGACTTTGGTGAAAATGAGGTCAACTTCATTGAAAATGTATGATGATGGGTTGATTGGACCCTTAATATCACCAAGTTCAATTGGCTTAATTATCATTTCACTTTAATTTGAGATAATTTTTTCCATTGTTCCATTTTATTTCAACCATTCAATAATATAATTGCCATGGTTAATTTAAAATAACATTAGTGGCAATTATAAGGTAATGAATGGATGTAAAAGATGCACTGGTCTTCATGGTCAGAAAATAGTCATAATCTAAGACATAACCATCTGAAATTGTTTGAGGGAACATACGTGGTCTTCTGAAGATACCAGAATTTGCAATAATCATAATTGATCAAATGGATCAGAAAGATGACTCATCCCAAAACACAATTCTTATCAGAAGATCCCTTAATTTCAATCTCACAAATTAATTTTGATCATTTTCGTGAGTGAGCTCATATATTCACTTTCAACCAAATAATAATATCACACATTCCAGTTGGATTTCGCCACCATTTTAATTCATTTAACTTTAAGCATCTACTTTATTTAACATGACATGAACTGACGGACACATTGTTTATTTAATATACTGCATTGTGATATATTTCAACCATAAGGCACAACCATCTACATACAATACAGTAATGAAAATATGAACAATTCAACATTTTACCTAGGATCAAGTAGGAATAGTAATGATTGTTACATACATAGATAATGGTCCATTGGGTTAGGAACATGTATTGACAGTTAAACCTTTGTTATTGGAGCACCTTTTGATACCTCAAAATAGTGTTTGGCTTTGGAGGTATTACACTTATAGAGGTTCATTTTATATAGAGTCAATGGATAACAGAACTTAGAAAAATATTCCACTCAAGTGTGTTCCAAAGGTTTTACTATATTATAAAAATTCCTCTGAAATCAGACTTGGCTAGAGCTCACAAAAGAGATGCAGGTCTTTATTTGTCCAATACGGCAAATCTGGGATGACTATCTGAATGCTTGCTTTTAAAAAGAAAAGGAAGATGAAGTGTTTTTTAGGAGCATCTCAAATACTGCATTTCCAATCTAACTTGGAAATATAAGAAGTCTCTTGTTGAATTGTTTGTGATGTCATCTCTGATCCATTAAGTCATCCATTGTTGCATTCAGCTATTTGTGAACAAGGTCAAATACTCCTGTGCCACTGTTGACTACTCTCCCAACTACAAGCCTTGCTGAGGGAGACTTTAGGTCATCTTTAGAACCTGCAATGTAAATAATAACAATGTCATGTTGAAATCTCTATCAAGGAGAGGGGGCTGAACACAGTGTATTTTACAGTTTCGTTTTTCTTAAATAACCAACGCTTTTTGCCGAATTTTGTTAGAATACGCTATTCTTGTTTGCAAAAATGCAAACTATAGGCAATATAATATTTGTGGATTTACACTTTACATCATAATGACTCGCAGTTCTCATCAGAGAGATTAACAACTAACCTGATATAGTGGCTGTCTTCAGGAAGCTCATTGTGGTCTCAAAGGTCATCTTCTGAAGGGGTGAAGGGTTAGACTCCAGTCCCATCCTGTTAAAAGGCTTGTACATTCCTTCAAAAGTCATATAGTCTGCTATCAAAGATAGATGGCGGTAGTCTACCTGGATACCATAAGCTGCGAAAACATCTCGAATTTCCTGGAAATAACCCATACAGTTATGAATAAAAGTTTGCATTTCTAAGATTAATGCTGAATGAACATGAACTCTATGTAGTTCATTCATGCTAATTTTAAAAAAAAATTGAAAATCACTTCTATAATGTCTCTTTCATGCAAACAAACAGGACTTCATAATATCAAAAGAATACCTATTTTGCAGACTCTGATTAAATATTAAATGCTGTAAAATACCTGTACAAGAACTTTGGCAGCTGCCTCAATACCATATGTGTTGGCTATAGCGTGAATATCATTGCTGTACAGTTTATTTAGGTCTAGGAAACCAGCACTCTTGTATAACTCCTGAAAATGAAAAGTTAAAACATACTTATACTGGTCCCCAGCCACTTCAGTTGTAAACTTGCATTAAGTTAAAGGCTCAAATACATTGTTTAACTCCTGTGATACAAGGATAGTTTAGTTTTTAAAGAGGTGGTTCAAGGGTTGGGTCAGCTTTGTCTTATTAGTAAATAAAAGACAGTCTTTTAATAAAAGCTGGGTATCATGTTTTATCTGGGGGTTTTGCAGATGTTTATCCACAATGTTTGATTCTCCAAATGCAATCAGCTCTTTAGTTCATGGATAAAGTTGAGCTGAGTACCTTTAATTTGGGTATCAATGGGCCATGATTCATTCCCCCTGGAAATGAACCCACTGAGCCACTAAGGAATTGGACAGGGAGATCTTGTCTAATTTTATCTGAGGAATTACCTGCATCGTCCCTGGTTATCATAGTCACCTAACTCATCTCTCATATTCTGTGTCAACATACAACAGGCTATATACAATTTAGACATTACTTTGAGCCCACGATAGTTACAATACAGTAAATTCACATTTGAAGAGACTTTGAGTATTTCCAATTGGAGAGACTTAAAGGTAGTTACCTGAATATTGACCCCCTCTGTCTTTAGTCTCTTCAGCCCCTCCTCTCCAGGTTTCTTGCTGTCCGTCAGTATTGCACGTGTGATTCCAGGGGTGAAGAACAGCACAGTGCGTCGTGCTAGACTCTCCAATATGGAGGATAGGTCAATCTTCATCTGTGTTATAGGCATCTGGAAAGTGATAAAATATTGATATTAGTAATGTAAGACATGCCCACAAGTACCACATATCGTGAGCATTCTTATCTAACGGCATTTTCAAGGATATGAATTATGTATCCAATTACTGTAAAACGGGTAATTTTGACACCGGGAAATTTTAGCGATTTTTCAATTTTAGGGGGTTTTAGCGCGGGAAATTTTAGCGAAATGAAGATTATTCTTTAAAAAATCAAATTAGCGAAATGCATTAGAAATTTTATCATTTATGGCAGAAGAATAAATAACGGACATGACAGAGGAATTATCAAAATGTAAGACTTCTAACGCACATGGTATTGGTCCAAACTACTGTAATCTCATGATGGATGGCTATTTATCCTTCAGATATTGAAAGAAACATACGATTTGAAAATATTTACCTTTTTCAAATTACAAACCGGAAGTCGAGCACTGAACGAAAAGCTCCTTAAATACTAGTATTCATGTAGTTTCCCGGGAATTTGCAAATTTTAGCGCCCGGTTTATTTTAACCCCGGTTTATTTTAGCAAATTGAATTTTTAGCGAAACTATAGCGATCGCTAACAATTACCCCTCGCTTACAATACCCGTTTTACAGTATAGGGTGTACCCAAAAAAGCAACCTTCCATTTTTGGAATAAAAGTAACTTCAATAATTCAATTTTCTACAATACAGTGTTCAAAAGAGCAAACAGTGATGTACTCAACACTCTTATAATTTCAACCACTTCAAGTCTCGGATTGCCTTCATAGACATGATCCACAGATAACATTGATGAGGGCAATATGGATCCAATGGATGGTTTCAGTGGTACAAATAAGTGTATCAACTACTATTACAATTGTACAAAGTAGAAATATCTTATAATGATTATAAATTATTTGACAGCACCTCATGCTAACTACTGACTCCTAAGTAGTTAGCCATATCGAAATAAAATACTGACATAAAAGTACAGTGGTACTCTTTTTTGTAAAGCTTGCTTACCCCAAATAATATTTCGCACCATTCCTCCTCATTGGCATCATATGTATATTCTTCTATGTTAGGGATGCAGGACACAACTCCCTGCAAAATAAAGTTCAACATCTCCATTAAAGAATCTGATATAAGGTACATTTCCAAAGAAACAAATACAGGGGTTACTGGCCTAAAAACATACAATGTATATTTCAGTTAAAATGTGTACTCTTAAACCTGAAATTCAAGCCAAATATGTCAATTTGATATGTCAGAATGCATGAAAAAGCTTTGGGTTAGAGAATATACATGTTTTGAGAAAAATAAAGAAACCACACCTAAAATAAAACTGAACTTTATTCTGTGGAATATTTGGGATATAAACTGGTTAAAAACATTACAGTGGCGACGAGGAAAACCAAGTGAATATGCCTATTGGAAAGATAAGTGAATTTGACCATGAAAAGGAGAAATTTGATAACTATGTGGAAAGGTTTTCAAATTTTATTCTGGCAAATGACATTGAATCTGAAGAAAAGAAAAAAGCAGTTTTCCTGTCCTCTTGTGGAGCAAATTGCTATGAAACATTAAAGAACTTATGTTTACCAAGGGAAGTCAAGGATGAGAGTTTGGATACTATAACAAAAAAGTTGAAAGAACATTTTACTCCAGAACCTCTTATCATATTCGAGAGATTTAAATTCTGCAAACGCACACGTATGAATGATGAAAAGATATCAGACTTTGCAGTGCACCTTAAACAACTAAGTTCGACATGTGAGTTTGGAGGCTTTTTGGATGAAGCCTTGACAATGCAATTTGTGGTAGGGCTAAATCATGCCAAGGCACAAAATCGTTTGATACAGGAAAAGAAACTGCAATTTAGTGATGCCATCAGAATTGCACAAGCAGAGGAATCTGCCGGCTTATCTTGTAAAATAGTGACTTCTCAGGAAACAGCTGTTGTGCAAGCCATCCAAGCACAACGGTCAAAGACTTGTTGGAGATGTGGCGGGGACCACAATTTCCGAACGTGTCGTTTCCGATCGACAGTTTGCCATAAATGCAGCGGGGTAGGACATATCAAAGCACGGTGCGATGATGTCACCAAGTGGCGCGAGGCTCGTAATAAACCCAAGTCGAAAGCCAGTCGTAAATTCCGCCGACAAAATCAACTCGTGGAGGACACAGAGGGAGACGAGGACAATGGTCTACCAACATATTCCATCTTCAGGCTACAACAAGATACAATGACAGAAACTGTGAACAGTCAAGAGCACGCACATAGCAAAACAGGACAGGTAACTCAATATAGTGTCTCTGTAAAAATTGACGATGTAAATGTGACTTTTGAACTTGATACAGCAGCCTCAGTCTCAGTAATCGGTGAAAATTTGTACAAATCCAAGCTCAGTAAATATCCCGTAAAGCCTGCCCAGATAAAGTTGAAGTCATATTGTGGAAGCTCTTTAAACTTGTTAGGGGAAATAGAAGTCCCAGTGAAATACAATGGCCAAACAGAAGTGTTGCCTCTTATTGTGGTAAAAGGGAATAAGCCAAGTTTGTTAGGGAGGAACTGGTTGGGGAAAATTAAGCTCGATTGGGGAAATATTTTCCAAGTCCAGACAGACTCAAAACTTAGTGGTTTATTGTCACAATATAAGGATGTATTCGCTGAGGGACAAGGGACTATTGAGGGGTTTGAAGCTCATGTATCAATCCCAGAAGATACCGCACCAATGTTCAGAAGTGCGTACAAGGTTCCATTCCCATTACAGGAAAAAGTGAAATCTCAATTGCAAGGGTATGTGGATAAAGGTACTTATAAGAAGGTTGAGTCCAGTGAATGGGCAAGTCCTCAAGTAACCGTGGTGAAAGATTCTGGTGATTTACGTCTCTGTGGAGATTATAAAGTTACAGTGAATCAAGTGTTAGCCCCAGATCCTTACCCATTGCCTACCAATCAATCTATATTTGCAAAGCATGCGCGTGGTAAATTTCGTTCCAAAATCGATTTACGCGATGCTTTCTCCCAGTTACGATTGAGTGAAGATTCCAAGAAGTTTCTCACAGTAAATACTCTGATTGGGTATTTGCAGCCTGAAAGAATGCCTTATGGTATCCGGACAGCGCCTCAGATTTTTCAACGTGTAATGGATCAAGTTTTGCACGGTATCGAAAACTCGGTGGCTTTTATCGATGATATATTGATTACAACGGATACGCAGGAAGAGCATTACATCGCACTTGAGCAGGTATTACAGAAATTACGAAAACATAATATTCGTGCTCGGATTTCAAAGTGCAGCTTTCTCAAGGAAAGTGTTGTTTTTCGAAAATGCAAAAAGTGCCGTTTCATCGGATTCATGTTTAGTACCATATGATCCAAATCGCAGAATTGTGCTTGCATGTGACGCATCGCCAGTTGGGGTTGGGGCGGTAATCTCACACATTATGGATGATGGGTCTGAGCGGCCAATAGAAACTGCATCGCGTACTTTAACTAAAGCTGAGAAAGGCTATGCACAGATTCAGAAAGAAGCATTGTCTTTGGTCTTTGGAGTGAAGAAGTTCCACATGTATCTATACGGTAAGGAATTTACATTGTTAACAGATCACAAACCTTTGGTTACAATTTTTGGTCCAAAAGTGGGAATTCCGAATATTGCCGCAGCGAGAATGCAACGCTGGAGTTTGATTTTATCAGCATACAATTACACCATTCAATATAGGAAATCAGTAGATCACGCGAATGCGGATTGTTTGTCGCGTTTGCCGGATCCTTGTGCCAAACCGGGGGAAGAAAATGAGTTTCCCATACAGCATGTGTCATTTGCAAATGAGTTGCCCATAGTTGCTAAAGACATAAGTGAGGCTACCAGAAAAGACACAGTTTTGTCCAGAGCCTATGAGTAATGAGTATACACTCAATGGATGGCCAAATCACGTAAGTAATGACAATTTAACACCATATTTCAAACGGAGAAACGAGTTGTCAACAGAAGACGGATGTCTACTTTGGGGTTTGCGCGTTATTATTCCGCCTCCCTATCGCAAGCAATTGTTAAATGAGCTCCATGAAGAACATCATGGTATTGTGCGAATGAAAGCACTCGCTAGATCATATTTATGGTGGCCGGGCTTAGATGCTCATATTGAACAGATTGTCTCCAAGTGTAATGTCTGTCAATCGGTGCGAAATCTTCCTGCAGAAGCGCCCTTGTATCCTTGGTCATGGCCAAGTAGAGTGTGGCAAAGAGTGCATATTGATTTTGCAGAAAAAGATCAACAAATGTATTTGATACTAATTGACGCTTATTCCAAATGGATTGAGGCTGCTCAAATGAATTCCACAACATCTTCGAAAACAATTGATGTATTAAGATCATGGTTCGCTAGAGCAGGAATTCCTGAAATCGTAGTATCGGACAATGGCCCTCAGTTCATTTCTTCAGAATTTAAGCGATTTTGCGACATGAACGGTATTCAACATAAACTCGTGGCTCCGTATAAACCAAGCTCAAATGGTGCGGCCGAGCGTTCAGTCCAAATTGTAAAGAAAAGTCTTGTAAAACATGTAATTGAGAACAAGAAAGGTTCTGCAAGTCAAAGACTTTCTAACTTCCTACTCATGTACCGTATCACACCTCATTCCACAACTGGTGTGAGTCCTTCAGAATTATTCATGAAGCGTCAGCTTCGAACTAGATTCTCATTGTTGAAGCCCAGTTTGGCTACATCGGTGGAAGTTAAACAGTCCAAACAATGTCAAAATCATGACAAATCAGGTGTCAAATCTCGCAACTTCAAGTTGGGGGATCATGTCAAAGTTCGTAATTTTCGTGGGGGAAAGGAAAAATGGTTGAGGGGCAAGGTAGTAAAAATCTGTGGTCCTAGAAGATATCTAGTTCAAATTGGAACTACACAGAGATTTGTTCATGTAGATCACTTGTTGAGTGCTGTTGATCAAAATTTTGGGGACAGTTATCAAGGTCAGGCAAATGTTCCATACATTCCAAGTCCAAAACCAGGTCCAATTATAGGTGAGGGATTAGTAATATCTGAACATTGTGACAATACACCTCTAAATCCAGTACCAGAAAAGGTTATTGAGTCTCCAATACCAGCACCTGTTGCCCCAAGTCCTGTTAAAACACCAGATAAATCAGTGCAGGTGTCTCCTATTCCTACACCCAGTCCAGCTCCAGTACAGCCCAGTGAAAGTCCTAGATATCCAGCCAGGGTAAGAAAACCACCAGAAAGATTAACCTATTAAATGGTTATAGTTAAACTGATGTACTATGAATGAGACTGCTTTGTTGATTCATTAAGTTTGTTTATATCGCATAATTAATGAGACCATTGAGTTAGCTGAAGTGTATTGCTGTATAAACTGTACTCGTAATATATATGACATTATGATTGATTCATGCAGACTGTTATATCTCATTCAATCTAAGTTTACTTCAAGTCAACCAGAGAAAGTGTCCTACGAACTCTTTCACTAAAAGGGGAGAGATGTTATGAACATTGAAACTAACATTTATTGATTTATAGATGTCACTAGTAGGACATTGCATAATCTCAAACTAAAATCAGAATGCATGAAAAAGCTTTGGGTTAGAGAATATACATGTTTTGAGAAAAATAAAGAAACCACACCTAAAATAAAACTGAACTTTATTCTGTGGAATATTTTAAACTGGTTAAAAACATTACACTTGATTTCCATTTTAACATCAATGTTTATTTTGTTCTACCATGGCTTAACTGAGATCCATCAACACGAAAAAATCATAATAGCTTCACAAGAATGTTTGACAATACAAAACATGATACTTTAAGGAAAACTCTGCCACATACACTGTACAATAATTCTGAAATATATGTTCCAATGTTTACATACCTGGACTCTTCTTTCCTCCATTTCAGCATTTATTACTACTTTCTTCTTAGTTGTCTTTTTCCTGAGTTTCTCATCAATATTTTTGGTAGGAGTTTGTGAGCGTGAAGTCTCTCCATCAGAATTTTCACCCATGGCATCCTCTTCCTCTCCCTCTGATTCAGATTCTAGAATGAGACACATAGTGGCAATCTTTTCATATTTTTAACATCCACTCTAACATCTGTAAAAATTTCAAGTTGTACAGGTAGGCGGTTTTCCTGGATTTTGATGACCGGATTTGTGTGGCAGTTTATCCAACTTATCCAATATTCAATCAGGCTATAGATTTTCAAGGTTGCCATAACTGAGCCAACAAAACCATTTGGAGGGTGAATGATGTGAGTTAAAGGAAATGATAGAGTTTTAACACAATCTGCGAAGCAGTTTTTCTGGCTGACATAAAGTAGATATTAACCCTTTCTGTCCCGTGTCCCGAACCGAAACATCAGGACCGAAATTCGGTCCAATATCGGGAAACCATTTTATCAAAATTTTATGTCTAGGATGTAAAGAAGAATGGATGGATGGACAGATGTGCTTTAAGGTTGACAATATGGCCCCACAATATGTGGTGGGGGAGTATATATTACATACTTGATCAAAACATCCTCAGACAGATGCGCTTTAAGGTTGACAATATGGCCCCACAATATGTCGTGGGGGAATATATATGACATACTTGATCAAAACATCCTCATACCCTTCATATAAGAGTACTGGATTCCATTGATGCATCGATTCCATACCTGACTCTTCACTTAGAACTTCCTCTGCTAATTCTTCCTTCTCTTCATCTTCCCCATCATAATCTCTCTCCTGTTGTTGCCTCTCTCGAACCTGTAGAGGAATATTATACAACATCTTAAAATGTTCAGGAAAATGAGTTTCAATATAAATGTAAAGTCGTATTTATTAGCAAAATGCAGATCTCAAACAAAAAATGGATAGTGCGAACAACTACTGCAATGGACCTCGACCACTTGTCCTTAACCTTGTTCATACTTGGCCTTGTTCTACTTATAAAGAGTTACAGAGCATATTGATGTTTATGTAAATGAAGTGGAGGACTTCGTATTCAAAATATTTTTGTTGGAGCATTATTGGATTAATTGTTATATTCAATTAATTGTAAATTTCTATTTCTTTGTTAAAGGTTTAAAAACAGAACCTCAGTAGACACAATAAATGCAGATCCTATATTATTCAAACAAATTGTTTGAGATACGAATTTTCGATATACATGTACATGTATTTATATATCTTCATCAGGTCAACCTCATTTTACATCAATGACATCTATTTGGCTGTTTCAATCTTGGCTGGTGTTTATCACTTACCTTTGTAGCAGTAGCATCTCCATCATTTTGATCATCATCTTCTGCCTCATCATTGTCTTCATCTCTATTAACTGGACCAACTGCTGCCTCATCATCTTGTTTGGGGGCCTCACGTCTGTTCAGGCTACCGCTGTTTAGGAGACTATAAAATCAAGATAGGGTTGATGAGACATTTTAAATCACTTCTTATTAATGAGGAAGTAGATATGCTTTTTCTGTATTTTAAATTTTGGGTTAATGTATCTGTAAATTAAAAAATAAAGTAATTGTATGTCAATATTTATGCATGTAGAGTGATTAATGTGATTAAATAAGAAGTCTTCTGACCAGGATGCAAAATTATCATTTTGCAATCTTTCTCTGCATATTATTTTTAAATTTGCTTAATGGGATAATTAACCAAACACTTAACATTCACATATGATTCAAAGACATATTTATACCTTGATTCGCTGATCTCTTGTATTTTTCGTTTTACAAATGAAGTAAAAGCTTTGAAGAATTTTCTCTCCATGTAGTCCAAGATGAAATTTGGGGTGACATAGTACTTGTCTTTATAATTGCTGTAGGGGAGGAAGTTAAACCTAATTCTAAACAATCTTCTCCTGTTGCTGAAATAGAATACAATTTAGCATGAAATATGGCAAAGAGAACAGCCTAATATGGAAACTAGCAGTATGGTGTTACAATAAAATCAATGCATATTCAATGAAGAGTCTAAAAATGAAACAAATACTACATAGCCGACTGTCAATTAATTCCTCTATTCCTTTAGCTGATTCATGCAAGTCATCTCATTATTTAACAAAAAACTGAAATTCTAAATTCAACTTACAACTTCTCATCGAGAGACAAAGTCTCTGAGATTTCTACATTCTCAAGTACATCAGAAAGGTATACTTTTGTCAGCTTCAGTCGCAGTGCCTGTGCTTTCTTTTCAGCTCCTTTAGTCTTCAATAGTGGCACATCCATATTTGGTGTTTTTATATTCTGGCTAGCAACCATCAAAATCTCCCTCAATCGAGGGATACCTAAAGTCACATTCATCTCCCCTCTTCCCGCAAAATGAAACGTGTTTAAGGTCATCTGAGTGGAGGGTTCCCCAATACTCTACAATTAATATAATTAATCATTAATTAATCAATTTATAATATACTGTACTGTATTATAATGATAATGTTCCATTTCACAGAACAGGCAACTTTTCGCATACTAACAGATCAATGAGACCATGACACCAATCAGGTGCATGAACATACAGTGGGCCTATCTAATACAGAAGGTACAATGCCCATATATAAGGGACATACCTGGGCAGCAAGCAGCCCTACAGATTCTCCTGGTTCAACCAAGGCCCTCATGTTGCGTAACTTAACAAGGTCCAAGAATTCTTCCTCTTTACCAGGTTTAATACACTAAAACAAAACAAATATAGAGTTGACACATGCAAACCTGAACCAACAAAGTTAAATCTGCTTTTTAAATCATAAAGTCTTCAGATTAAGTACATGTCACTTACTAGATATCCAATTTCAAGTTGCTACTGTTTTATTTTATTTTGAGTACATGTAGTTCTTATATATATGACCACTTTAATTAGGAATATGTACGATGAAATGAGTCATATATGAGCCATGAGTTTTAGTTTTCTGTATAAGTCTTGACAGCACATGTATTCAAAAGTCATATTGTACTGTACCTGCCCTGGGTTCCTCTCGACATATGATTGCACTGTATCATTCAGATTCTGAGAAACTGCCCCAAAGTACATTTGGGGAGGTAGTTTACTGGTTACTGGGAGAGGACAGGTCTGATTCTTCTCCCACCTATAAAAATCAACATGTCCAAATTACAAATCACTTAATAATGCACAATAAGTAGATTTCCTTAACTGAAGATTATTCCGTTGAGTTGATACTTCAAGCACCTCTGGTAGCGTTGACTTTATATGGAATTTTGTCAATCAAAGTATTAAGAATTCCTACCTGTTTAAGATTGACCACTGAGAAGTTTCTACCACTGACTAATCCAACGTGGAGAACTGATATGGGGAGTTAATAGTTTCCTATCAATTTAAAAGAATCCAAATCCAAGTTATTACCCAGTGAACCAAAATGTGTATTTTGATGCCAGATAGTTGAGTTAAAACTGAGAATGTTGTACAATAATGCATCATAAATATTCCAGTTTTGCACAAAACTTACTTTTTCTTTCTCTTTTCAACACTGATATCTCTCCAGTCTTTAATTAGTTTTTCTGTTGCCTGGCAACGTCCTGCAGGTGTCAACACAGATGTGGAATGGTCTACTATGACAGAGGACCATTTCTTCTTGGCATAGTTGAGAAAGGCAGATTTTCTGCATGATTTTGTATTCTGATGTTTCTCTTTCCAAGCTTGAATCTGGAAATATGATATATTAGGGGTATTCCATAGGGGGTGCAACATTAAAAATCGTGCAAAAGTACCTGTACCTAATTGACCTTTTGCGATCAGAATTCAGGAATTTTGTTTATGGATACTGTTGTCACGTATTTCTTCTTATTGATGTGACGTCATATATAAATGATATTAGACAAGATGGAATCACGAAATGGCGGACACGTGGCAGTTTTGAGCTAAAAATATTGTCGTTTCTTCTATGAAAACCATGGGTTTGATATTTACCAGGTATGCCGATTTGACTAGATCATGAGTATATCTATATATGTGCGAAGTTTGGGTGAAATTCATACTAAACATCGATGCCTATAAGCGCCCCCCGTTTTTGTCAAAATCGGGGGGCGCTTAACCGCTATCTAAATCATGTCAGTACGATCTTAGACTTGGTATGTGCTTAGGATGAATGTTGATCTAGTCAAATCGAACGCTTTCGTGAAAAATAAATCAATAAAGCACGAATATAAAAGATAAACTCTCAAAACCAAGCATCTAAAGCTGGATGGCCTAATTGTGACGTCATTAAAAGATAGAATCCATTCGGTGATCGCAAATCATCAATTGAATAAGTTCTGATTTTGAATGTAAATAAACTATATATAAAGAAAATGCAGACATACTCCTTATTGTCCCTATATACTACTACTTATTTTACAGAACTATATTATGTCAAATGAAGTTTTTAATAGTTATTTCTAATCTTTCTAGTATACAATTCTAATCTGAATACAGCTAACACATCACATACAGTATTTTGACAACTGAAATAACATCATTGGAGACCATATCATAATCAAATAAATCACATTAAATCAATGAATGCATTACCTCTTTAAACATTTTATCTGCTGTCTTTGTGTCTAGTTTATTCTTGACAGCTGCTAATTGTTGTTGATCCATTAGTATGGCCTTGTTGCTCATCATAAAAGCAAATTGTTTCTCCTTCAGAAACTGTGTCTTGCACACATCCAGACTGTCCTCTCCATATTGGAACTGAAAGTTACTTGTATACATTTAATGTGAAAGAATGATGGGAATTGAGGTAAACAGAAAGTATTAATTTTCAAAGAAGGGCTCGTGATTTAACAAGGCTAGTTGCTCACAATATTATTAGTTCAATCTTATGTCAGACCTGCATTTCTGAGAACTCTGTAGATGATTTTGAAAAAATGGTAAATTTGAAGCAAGTTAAATGCAAAGTCAGATTTGAACTTCTGAAAACTCGAAGATGATTTTGAAAAAAATGAAGTCAGTCTAAACAGTATTTGTTAAGTTATTGGAAGTTTAAAGAATTTGTTACAGACGCTAACCACCGTCCACCACCTGCCGCCCGCCGATCACCAACCACCAACCACCACCACACCTTTTTTTGGTGGTGAAATAATAAGAATCCCACTTTAGGCATGTAAGATCTTAGTTGCATTTTAAATGACTCACCTGTACAACACTGCCATCACTGTCCCTAACTTATTGGAAGTTTAAAGAATTTGTTACAGACGCTAACCACCGTCCACCACCTGCCGCCCGCCGATCACCAACCACCAACCACCACCACACCTTTTTTTGGTGGTGAAATAATAAGAATCCCACTTTAGGCATGTAAGATCTTAGTTGCATTTTAAATGACTCACCTGTACAACACTGCCATCACTGTCCCTAACTTATTGGAAGTTTAAAGAATTTGTTACAGACGCTAACCACCGTCCACCACCTGCCGCCCGCCGATCACCAACCACCAACCACCACCACACCTTTTTTTGGTGGTGAAATAATAAGAATCCCACTTTAGGCATGTAAGATCTTAGTTGCATTTTAAATGACTCACCTGTACTACACTGTCATCACTGTCCCTAACTACCATGTCATAGCCAACAACCAACCCCTCCAATTGCATTCTAAACCTAAATGCAAACTCACCTGTACTACACTGCCATCACTGTCCCTGACTACCATGTCATAGCCAACAACCAAACCCTCCAAGTGTTTTATAATACATCTCTGAAGGTAACCACTACGACTTGTCTTTACTGCTGTGTCTACCAGACCCTGAAATACAGTAACACCTGAACATGTAAACACCAAATTTATATACATCCATACGATAACATGAACTTTTTGAGACATGCATTCTATTTGTGCTATTTAACAGATTATACAGGTCCAGAGGTGGTTATAATATACATGTTTTGGTCTCTTGAAAAAAGCTGAGAGAATCTATCATTTGAACAGCACTGATGAATTATGATCATACATTCTAACGCCTGAAGAATACAGAAAATCAACAAGGCATTAACATGTAAAATGTCATGACCTGTCATTTGATACAGACATCAAACAATGACTGTAAGACACCAAATGCCGTCCACAAAACGTTGGAGACCTATAACAATATGTCTCCACTTCTGGTGGTAACATAAAATATGTAAGGTTTCTAACCTTTTAAAATTCTAAAATTTTGTGATATTGTGCATACAAATGTCTAAAATTCTGGTAAAATCAAGCAAAAAAACAATGCTACTAAATGATATGGTATAAAGCATATTTCTCCCTACCTCTCTACCTGCCATACAATGGTGGAAATACTCCTGTGGTCTGATTCCAGTGAGAAACCTGCCATCAATGTAGCCTCCTGCCCTGGGACACGTCTCATATGGTAGGAATGATGGCAGGGATTTACCACTGATCATTATAGGGGGTCTGCGTCCCTCCAATTCAATTTGCCCAAGTAGACATGAGATCTGCATACAGTTCACCTGGAAAGAAATGACGCTCATTGCATAAAACATATTCTTAATATTGTAGATTTTTAAACTAGACATAGTATAGACATTATTGCAATCAGCAATAAATAAATGCCTAAACATTACATAGGTCTTGACAGGATGGTTTAACAGGAAATATATTTTGAGATTTTGGTTTGCCTGACCACATACCAGCCAAACAACAAAGAACATGGTAAAAAGTTACAATGCAGCCCTAACGTAGTAGTGTAAACAAAATATATCATTGTTTCCATAGTTCAACTAGAGAGCCATCAAGACTGTTAATTCATTTAAAGAGTGCTTATATGGGAACTGATTTATGTAAATACTTACTGATGAACCCTTGGCTCCAGCCTGTACCATCAGTTGTAGGTTGTTGTCTGGGAACTGCTTTAATAACCCCTCAGGCATGATAGCTCTACAATAATAATCAAAACCATACAATTTCTATTTGATCATGCTCATTTTTCATGCTCCTTTTCAATCGGCAATAATGTATCCAGAAAATAGTAGGCGGTTTTATTAGGATAACAGAAACAAAAATTTAACATTTAACAAATCAGCCTCTTATAAATCCTTAACACATAAACTTCTTACTTTGTGATGCTATTCTGGAATTCATTTGTCTTCCCTTTCATACAAAGATCCAGATCTTTGAACAGGTCTTCTTTACTAAAGTGGGCAGCTTGGAGTTTATCTTTCAGGACTTCTGGGTCTGAAAAGTCCTTCAGATCCAATGCCCTGGCTGCTACCTCTGGTCCACAATGCTTGGAGGCAGCCATTATCTCACGTCTCTTCTTATTCCCCTATATCAAATAATAAATGTCATGATATTATCATTGTGAAAAAAAATTGGGTCAAAATATTCCTTCAAATTACATACAGGGTATTCCTAATTGTCATAAATGAAAAACCAAATATCTTGAAGCACTCTCCACCTAACATTAACATGTAAGTGTCAAATGGAGAGACCAAAAAGTATTACAAATACAGGAACACAAGAAAAGAAACACTGAAGAGCACAATCAGTCATTGGAACCCCCCCCCCAATATCACAAACTATGATCTAGAACTAAGGAAAACATGTCTAATGTCTAATGACCCTCCTCACAATTCTGGTGTAAAAGGGTAGGAGGTCCTATTAATTTATGGTCCTACTCTCCATTGATTTATATCATAGTGACCTCTTTCCCTTATTATCTTATACACAAACGGGGCCAGTAAGGGTCTTTAAAAGGGGGACCATAATCTCCGGGGGACCATAATTTCTTTCACACCGGAACTTCATTCACCAACTTACCTTTTTAACACACAAGATATCCTGCACCCCCAGAGTGAAGCCCTTGATTTGTTGTAGAAATGTTGTGAAGAGTTTGGCCAGGCTAGTCAACAGTTGGCCAGCCATTACTCCACCATAGAGCTACAATGCACAGAGTATACACCATTTTAAAGCTAATGGAATATGCGTATGCATCACACATTAAACAGAAAAAAACACAGTTTACAATGAATTTTAAGTTATGGTATTTCAAGAAACTATAAAGTATGAATCTGTCTATTTTGAATCCTGAACAATTAATTTTCAATTTATTTAAATGAATGATGATTCAACGAAGAATAATGACAGTAAAATCAACATTTTAATTAACAATAGCAGAGGTACCAGGGGGTGATTAATTTCAAAATTGAATGTATGAGTTTGAAAATAAAAGTATGTAACTAACTTAGTTCAAGTCATACACATTAACACACACATTACCTCATAACAACAATGCACCAAACTGTAAGGTGTAGAACCATAGTGAGCCTTATCCAACACACCGACCAGTAACTCCCCCTGGCGAATGATCACCTGACTTTCTGTCATATCACCCTCCTGCAAGGGGGAGCCACCAGCTTTCCATGGTCTCTTTGTCCCTCTTACCCAGGCCTAAACAATAACATGTTAAGTTATTGTAAAATATTTTTTTAGTTTTTTTTTTATCTATCATGTTTTATTCAATACAATAGTAATAATATATGTTAAAAGAAAATTTCCAAAACGGCGACTTTGTATTAACATTTTAGTCGCAAAGTTAATTTTTATAGTGATACGTATATTATAACTCACTTTACATAATCTTTTGTAATGTGTTTTTGACTATCACATTATGAAAAACTGTATTTTTCCATTGAGGAAATTGACACATTTTGAGAGATTGCTTTCCAAAATCATTACCTTAGATGGCACTTTGGCAGTTCCAATAAGATTCAGTGCATCTTTCCCTTGTGGTATCAGATTGAGGAGTAGAGATGAGAGGACCTAGAAATAACAATGGAGGCAATCATATACCATACAAGAAAAAAATGCTTTCATATTTTCTATATGGAGATACTCCCCCAGGGGTTGTTCTGGTATTTTACAAAAACCTTAAAACATTTATTTGATAAATAATATAATTTATTGCATAGGCTGGACCATAGGATGGAGGAAGAAAAGAGTTTTAAAATTATTTTTATTTGAAGCTTCTAGCTCAATTTTGAAGGAAGTTGCATCAATTTTTGTAAAATTCAAAACAAATCTTAACCTTTTTTGGGTTGCTTATGCCACAATCACACCCCACTGACTGAAAACCGAAATTTTTTTTGCGATCGAACCTCCCTTCCTGACTGAAAGCTGGCTACGCCCCTGTATTGTGTTTGTATCTCAGGGTTTGTATACTCTCTTTCATGAACCTATAATTTCTCAATATAACATTTACCATCAGCTGTAATGAAAAGGCAAAATAAAAATATCTCTTTACAACATTTCTTACCTGTTTTCCCGACCAGCGAACTACAGGTTTTATGATAGATGGAGGTAGTAGTAGCACAGGGCCATCTTTGTCTGTTAAAGCATTGTACAGTAGCTGCTGGTAATCCTCCCTACAATAATCACAAGTCATAATTATAATATCAGTCAACAAAGAACCATTTAATTAGCATGAATCCAACACTTGATTTCTGAAGTAACTCAATAATGATTACAAGTAGGCTAAATGGTATTATCTTAATTTTTCTTGAGTACCAGTTAAGATAGGTATACTGTAGATTGAAGTTCATTTGTTCTAACTTTCATGTAATTATTAAAATGTGAATCAGTTATAGACCAGCATTCTGTATTATCTATTGGTTGCATTTTCCGAGGTCACTCTGTATTACAGTGAAATTAACATTGGTTCCATATCATTTCAATGTCCATAAGCTTTAACCCAGAGAAGGTCTAAGTTTTTGTTAAATAATTTCAGTGAATAAACTATTCCTTTTTTGCCCCAACCCAACACATACAACTATATACTGCAGGTTACCTGTTGAAAAATCTCCCCCTTATAGTCAGCATCACCCCAGATACCATGTGATCCTGAATCAGACCTGCTAGAGGGGAACCATCTTTGGGTACCAGGTACTGGAAGTTGGTACTAGCTAAAAAAAAAAGGGTCGAGAATATCAGCATTTTAGAGGTCACAATGAATTGACATTGGACAGCAATACAAAATGGGTCTAAAGATCTTCATCATTTTCTTTACAGCTTTTTTATTTTTATAATTTTATTTATGAAACTAAATCTAATATACTCAATCTTCTATGACTCTTTCACCAGTTTGGATGCTTACTTGAGTCCCTCTTAAAACCTCTTAGTATGGATCGCAAAATCTGATCACATTTATACCTAGTGACAAGTCCCACAAGATTAAGTTTTTAGACACATTTTACTACAGTTAGACAAGGCCTCTGATCTTGAATTATGATTCATGGCATTGTCTTTCCTGATATTGCCATGACAATATCATCACAACCTGCCATTTGTTACACTGACCCCCTCCCCAACACCATCCACAAAAAAAGTTAAAGGAGATAGGAAAACAACTGAATTTAATGTATCACAACTCAAGATAATTTCAAGGAACAGTCTCCAAAATGCCAAGTTTAAGTACATATTCCTCAAATTTAATTTTTTTAATATATGCCATCCTGCAAGTTTACACTGACCTATGTTATAAGCTTCTGCTCTACATATTTCATTCTGTGGGAAATGTGCGTTCATTTCATCACCATCAAAGTCAGCATTATAAGCCTTACAGTTGGCATAGTGGAGTCTAAGTGTCTTCTCACCAGGCAAAATCCTTGCCTAAAATAGAATACAGAACATGTGTAGAACACCACATAAACATGCATATTAACAAGGAATTAACATGCAAAATGTCACAACCTACTTTTGTTACAGACGCAGACCATGCAAAGCTATTTGTTACAGATGCTAAATACCAACTGCCAAATGCTGAACACCGACCAGAAACAAATCGGAAACTATAACAATATGTCACCACATCTGGTGGTGACATAACAAAATCATGAAACATATCCACCCCAGTGTGTGCACATCTTTGTTCATTGGACTCCCGCCAATCAGGCTGAATGTAGTGTGAAGATTCTGTGTGCATTCAAAGCAATACATTTTGAAAATTTATTTATTTTGGGTTCACCACATGATTATGGATTATTCATCCCTGATGGCTAACATCACTTAAATTTATAAAAATACATATAGAGTTATTCTTACCTTATGTGCCTGCATACTCGGTCTATGCAATGTTGGTTGTCTGTTCAGCAGTAGCACATCTCCATTTTTCAAATGTCTGTATACCTGTTTAATATAAATTGAAGCATCAAACTTAAATGCTTTTGTAACATTTCTAACATATTCATGATCCATCATAAACCCTTTACTTAGCTCTTTGATAATATCATATTTTATACAGAAATTTATAGAGTTTTAATTTAATTAAAAAAGTTTTAATCTCAATTAATCAATGTCTGCATTACCAATTATCAATCAGAAAGTAAGAGTTGTACCTTTTTGGTTCCTAATTGGGCACCAGGAGTACTACTTGGAGTTAACAGTTGCTTAGCAACAGCTTCTCTGTGCGTTTTATCACCGGCTTTAAGTATCAATTTAGAGCCATCTTCATTGATGACAAATGCAGCTCTGAAACATAAGTAATAATTTATGTTACAAATCAAAGTTTAAAATGCTGATATCTATCTATTGCAACAAGTTCTGTTTTTTTTAAAACATTTCAAATAAATCTGAGACTCAACTTTTTCAGTAATTATTGTTAATTTATTAAATTCTGCATGTTTTGAAAAATACAATAAATAAGGTCTCCTTTAGCACCAAAAAACAGTCAAAAATCAGAAAGGAAAAAAGGAATAAATCTAATATAATGTGATTTTTATTGATATCATTTCTATTAATTCAGGGCATTAACAGGACAAAATGTCACTTCCTGTTTACAATTAGAAACAAGGCACAAGGCATTAGCATGCAAAATGGCACCACCTGCCATTTGTTACAGATGCTGACAGCCATTTGTTACAGAAGCCAACCCCCAAACAACTGTCGAACACCATCCACAAAAAAAAAAAGTTGGAGACTATAACAATACATCACCACTTCTGGTGGTGACATCACAAAATCATAAATAAAACAGACCACTGAACACACCAACCACCAACTGCCAAACACCATTCACAAAAAATGGTGAATATGTCACCACTGGTGGTGACATAATAAAAAAAATCATTAAATAAAGACATCAATGCCAAACCCCCAAAAACCAGTCACAAAAATGGTGGGTATTACAATATCCCAACTTCTCGGTGGTGAGTGACATTATAAAAACATTATTACAACAAAAACAAGACTTCAGCCAGTCTTGCATGAAGTCCTCAACTCACCCAGGATGTACATCAGGCCCATTCATAACCATGCGCCTCAATTCTTGAACATTCCAGGGAGTCACAGGTTCAGGATAAGTCAGCTTTTTGGCAAACACAGAAGGGATTCCAATCTCATCAGTGTTGATATAGGGATCTGGAGAGATGACGGAGCGAGCTGCATAGTTGACACGCTTACCCATCATGTTCTTGCGAAACAGGCCTTGTTTCTTTTCAAGAAGCTAGAATAGACATAGAGATAGACATAGACAAGGAACTTTAAACTCTTAATGCAGTTTTTCTGTCAATGTGTCTGGCAGAGGCATAGACAACAGACACTGTGATACCTGTATGAAAATGATTTGGTTTAAGTGCAATATTTCAAATAGAGTGGACAAATTATATCAGTCTAGAGAGATTTTTGCTCAAACTTCATCTATCACCTGTATTTAAATTTAAGAGACATCTTTTTCTGCTCAAAAACCTCACAATGCTCATCCTGTTGGAATGTTTATAATGATTACTTTAAAAAGAGCTCAAAATTCTGACAAATTTGTAAACAAACATATGATTTGAACATAATAACATAATGATTTGCCAAATCTGAGGAATTGAGACAAGTAAAAACCCTCATCTTTCTTTAAATATTCTGAACTGCATATTAAATAAATTAAAAACCAGAAATATTTTTCTAGCCATGATGGTTCAGATTTCAAAAATGTATTGCTGTAAACCCAAGACCATATATCATTACTGAAAAAGATTAGACCTTCTGGTCTTCTGGGTCTTACTTGTTTGATACCAGGGTTCTTGTCTCTATTCAGCTTGTCCAACAGACAATCCACACAGCAGTTGATCTTGGTCTGCAGCTGTATCCAGCTGTTGTTTAACTTCTCATTCAGTGTTTTCCCAGAGATATCTTCCAAGGTAGACTAAAATTAAATAAATCAATTATTCTTGATGACAAATTCTAATGACTGATATCAAATATTTCAATGAAAATATTTTAATACTTCCATTAAGTTACATATCTTCTCCATAAATTGCATGTATACGCACTGTACATACACTGAAGTATATAATGAGTAAGAGAGACTGACAAAATATTTCCTTTAGGTTTAATGGTTTTCATTATCTTCATCTTTAAAACATTATTGTGTTACAGTGCCAGGGTCAAGGTTATGTGTTACTGGCCCTGATGAGACTACAATAATGAGACATTAAAAAAAAAATAATGCCATGGGTCATGATGCCAGAATAACAAACTGAATCTACATGAATAAGATATTACTATATTGCATAATTTCTATAATTTCACTGAGAACTATATATAAATCAAGTAAATGGTGCTGACAAGTTATTTCTTCAGATTTCACATGCACATATTTTACCCCTATCTCAGCAGTACTGGCATTTAACAAGGTGTCCGTCGAATTCTCCTGACCGACTTCCTCCCGATATTTCTGCTGCAGTACTCTACGTATCGTATAGTTTGACTTGATTACATTCACAAGGTTGCCAGATTGTGGATTTTCAAACCTTTTGTCTCCCATCTGTGAAATCTGAAAAATTAAACCAAAAAAACTTTTTACTGGTTGTAGTGGTGAACTGGTTTTTAAGCAATGCCATTTGGACAATCTCATTAAAAAGTAATGAACATATGATTATGATGTTAAATATTATTGCAACGACCCTTGATAGTAAGTTGCTACTACGGCCCAGCTGTAGTTGCTTAAGCCTTTATAGCTCAGTCAGTAGAGCATCAGTCTTTGGATCCAAGGGTCCTAGGTTCGATTCCCACACAGGGCATTGGATTTAGCACACTTTCTTTCAATTTCTTTATCTGGCTTGTTACACTATGCTCGTTAGTTAGACATTCCCCTGGGGCGCCCTCGGGTCATTACATTATCAGTAGGATAACTACAGATTTAATAAATTCACAAATGATATTTTAACTTCTAATGATTCCTTCCATCATTTGCCATAATTTTGGACATTTGTCTTCCATTGAGAGTTTTAACCAGAGTTTTTTTACTCTGAAATACGGGTCTAACCCTTCAAAATGATATATAACTTATTGGGCCTTGCTTCATTTTCTTGCTTATACATTCATTTACATTTATTTACATTATATTTCATTTTTTTACATTTCCAAAAAGTGATCAGGCGTGAGAGAATTAGGACATAACAAGACAAGATGTCACCACCTGGACAGTGTAACAACTGCTGGAAAGTGTAACAACTTCTGGAAAGTGTAACAACTGCTGGAAAGTGTAACAACTGCTGGAAAGTGTAACAACTGCTGATGCCAACACTGACCCTCTCATTCACAAAAAGTGGAAAAAAAGACAAAGAACTTACTGGCCTAAATCTAGAAGGAGGCACTGGTACTACTGATAGAAAGAACATATCAGTAGGGTAAGAATCTGTATCAGTTACAGGTACATCTAAACATCCGTAAATCTTTCTCAGTAGGGGTCCACAATTCTGCCAGATGAGCCTCAGGTCTTGCCTTGCTTGTTCAGGTGTCAGGTACATCTGTTCAGTTAGGGATTCCACTGCAGCCTCATCATTCTCATTCTCTTTTTCAGTCCTATCAAGGACTATCTCTTCAGGAGCGATGTTCTCCTGCTCTGCTTGCCGTTTTTGCCTAGAAATTAGATTCATTCATTTTATAGATACTGTACCGTATATCAAATCTGAAACAGGTTAATTCGATGCAAGAATGATGAGATGATAAATATCAGCGACAGAAATATTTTAGCCTAAATCAATTTTCAGAATATTACAGGACTAAGTGAGTCTGGAACAAGATAGGAATTTTGGGAATGTCGCATCAGGGTTTGGGCGAAAATTAAAAGCCAAAAACAAGGTGTATATACAGATAATTTTCATGGCTTATGGATGCATTTATTGCATTTTCTTTGCTTTTTGTCTACACTACAATGATGAAATGTCTAGTATGTCCCAATGGTAAACCAAAATATTCACTGCACATGGGGAATCACATCCCATTCCGGGTCCAAAGTCCAGAAGAAACAGTGACACCCCTCTTCCCCCTAGCAGTCAAATCAATAATTTCTATTATTGGATGCATTACTATGTCAGCAAATTAATGAGATAACAAGCAAGCATGGTACATTTAAAATACTTACTCTAACAACCGAAGTTTTTCTCGCCTTTTCATGATAACTTGTTTAGCTCTTTTAGCACCATATCCTTTGGTGTAATACAGCTTACTATAATGTTCTTGTCTTAGTTTCCTTGAAGGCATGTAGCAGTGTGGACACTTGCTATTGTGAAGACATGTCTTGATGAAATCCTTTATTAGTTTAGAACGTAACTCCTCGATGTTCTTAACACTATGATTTCTGCCATCTGATTTTGGTCCATCTGGAAATATATAGCGTTTAATAGAATAGATGCAAGTAGAAATAATCCTGCTTTTTAAAAGTCATTAAAATATTCAAAATTAAGTCAATATGATATCAATTTTGAGATCAACATGTAAAATGTAATCTAAAAATATGGTTTCAAAAATTGCTTTTCACTTTTAAATTTGCTAAACTTTGTCATCCGGATAATGATACAGACTTGAATATTGTAAAAAAGCATTCAGTGAAACATAAATGAAAAAAAAATATATGGCTATATTTTTATGAAGTTTACATACCATTAATAGCCTGTAACAGTACTTTATTAAGTTGATCCGCCAGATCACCCGTGTCCTGCAGATCTCCACCATCATCCATCAATGTATTGTTCATTGTCTCTTGGAGATCCTGCACAAGGCCTAGGAAGCCCAGTGAAAGACTCTGTAGCTGCATGGTCAGTAGCGTCACTGAACAATTCCTCACTAACATGTTGTGGCACTTCTGGCATGACCCTTTTAATATCTGAAATAATGACAACTTCCTTGGAAAGGGAAAATTTGAATTACATGAATTATCCTTTACTTAAAGACCTTTAAATTATGGGCCCCAATTTCTTAAAAATATGCCCAGATTAATAAAAAATGCCCAGTAATGCCAGTTTGTTATCTAAATTGCCTAATTTTTGTGGGGAGGAGCAGACTTTGATCTTCAATATTTTGGGCCCACCTGGGGATGGAAGCGGGGGGGGGGGTCTCTGCTCCCCCATGTTCACCACTGGTATGATTTAATGAAATACAGGTTATAGTTAATGTCTTACCTGGTACATTGTGTTGAAAAAGACAGGATTATAGACTGGAACAGCTAAAGAAATATGTCCCATATGGCCGGGGCAATGTATATAGTTCTGACGGCATGTTGCACACACGTCATCACGGTCTACTGCACCTAGATGTGGATCATATAGGCCTCCATAAGTAGGATGCATCAATGAATCGAATGAGTTGGGATTTGTAATTTCCTTAACACTCAAGCGTTGTACTTCGACATCACTGTAAGTGCCAAAAGACAGCCGAGACAGCCTTTGATATGGTTCTTCAGTTTCAAGTGTCATGACTGCGAATCCTGAAAATCATATGTTATATTGTAAAACTTTCAACATGAATGATTTTTGAGTTATATTGACATTGACTGTGCATATGGTAAGATATTACAGTGAACATTTGTACTGAAGAGTCGAAGACCAGAATGAATACCACAATGAGTTATAGAAGTGAAAGATATTGATACACATTAGCATATACCAGCCATATCATTACAGTATATCAAACAATGAATTGATCGTGTGTTGACTTAACCCTAACTGATTTTTTGCAGTTGGAATCATAATATTGGCTGTAACCAAAATGCCGTTCCGACATTTTGAAACCTGTCCGAGTAAATAAGGTTAAAGGTGCATTATGCCAAAGGTTTCTCCCCCAGACAATCAATGATGTCCTATTGTTATTGCTCATATAATATCTCACATACTATCGATATATCTTGAGAATAACTTTTGGGTATATTATTGCCGAAATATCGGAAATAATCAACAGAACAACCAAACTCCAGAATTAAACACAATCGATTCCTCGGGTAGGGGAATACCCATTGAGTCACACAAGCGCCCACAAGCGCCTTGAACCAGGCAGCCAATCAGGTTTGTGATAAACAAATTCAACAACCAATCAGATAACAGGAGCTAGGACTTTCCCGGTATATTCAAACTTCAGATTGAATTAATTTCTTCGAAAATAAAATCTGCCAGCACAATCGCAAAATTAACACTGAAAGAGGGGGATTTGGGACCTCTTCTTTGGTATGTAGATAGGTATATATGTGGTGAAACTCAATAAGCAAAAAAGTCCAGAGGGGTCTGGATTGTGCTATCCTATGGCATAGAACCTATTTAACTGATGTTGCATTCTGGGAGTCAATCCTCCTTGGATCACAAACATGGCGATTCATGAAAACATTTGTTCGATTTGATAGGAATAGACTAGATGCGAGTAGAAATAATCTTGATTTACATCACTAAATATTCAAAATTCAGTCAAAGTGATGTCATATTTGAAATCTACATGTAAAAGTACATATAGAAATATGGTTTCGAAAATTGTTTATCAACTTTGAAAATTTAATTTTTTGGGAAAACGTGACTTCTAGTTCGGGTTGATTCCCCATAGACCCCATGTTACAAAATCACAAAAAGTGAAATATCTTTTCTTGTATTGGACAGATAACATTTTCTTTTAATGGACATATTTCAATTTACATTACAATTAGATACATAAGGGTTATATGAAAATTGAACGACTAAAACAGATGTAATTTAAGTTAAAGGGAACTTTCTACTATACCCGGCATGCTATCTGACCCGAACAAGCCACCTGGTGGTGAAACTGGTAACTACTTACCCGCATCTGCGTTATTCATCCATCATTTACAGGTATGAAGCTTTGGATTCATTTATTGTGCTACTTAAAGCATGGGCTTTCAATTAGATTATTTTGAGAAACGGAACTTAGAATTTAGCTCATTGTGACAACTTTTGATGGTTGAGGTTTATAATATCTCCGACTTTAGGTCAGTAGGGGTGACTCTCCATGTTTCAAGGAAAATGCGTGACATATACGTCATCCGCATGAAAAGTATGAACAAAATACTTTCGTTTTTTCTGCGTTCGGTATTTTGCTGTATCGGCGATCACTTTTTTGAAGTTTTTCTTCAGGAATATTTTTGCTTGACAATAATCGGGTAAAATGCGTGTTTGCATGACATATTCTGCATTCTGTCACGCAAAATAAACTGGAGTGCCTTCAAATTTTCCAGCAAATGCGTGACAAATACGCAAATTGCGGGACAGTTGGACGGCCTGAGAACAGTCTATATAATATAGCTTCCTAAGCTAGACTTTAGTATGCAGTGCAGTAGACCTAAATTTTTTCAGATTTTTTCAACACCGAAAATGGGCGATTATCATGTTAGAGCCTGTAGACAGATCTAGCAGCTTACTTGTAGTAAACAGCAAATGCAATCATCAAACTTTCAAGATTATATTTTAAAAACGTACCCTTTTAACCACCTGAACTACGATAATTTCCAATAATAGATGAAAAATTGCAATGTTTTCATTTTTCACGTGTTCATCTTAAACCGGAAGTGACCTTTCGTTGGCATAAGCGACATTGACCTACATAGTTGAAACAGGTAAAAATTTTGTTACATACAATTGTCCAGCATACATGTATTAGCCACACTTGCAATACAAATTATACATAGGCAGCCTCACAAGGAAGCATTAGGTAATACGCCTTTTGATAAAATGTCACTCAATTTCCAATTCTGAAAGCTCAATCTACTTTGCACAGTTTCAAAATGATTTTGCACTGCAGTGACTGAGTGAGTCTTTCAAACTGTCAATCAAAAAGAACTGGAGGTACTGATGCAGGCCTGTCAACTTGGGAATACTTAACATGAGTGACTTACAAATGTGGAACATCTTCCTTCAAATTGTGGATACCTTGGTTTGAAACTCAATTTTTTCCCGCTCACTAATGCTCACTCCCTCAACGGGGGAGGGGGTAGGTACAAAATATTTCGAAGCAAATGTGTGACATATACACATATTTCGAAGCAAAGGCATGACATATACGGAATTCGCGTGAAAAGTCCTTTTTTCGACATTTGTTGTTTTACTGTATCAGCATTTTATAAAAAGCAAATTTTTTTTAAATATCAACATAATACGTGATTTGCGTGACATTTTATCATACATGCAAAATTGATGTGTGATTTCATTTTTCCAGCAAATGTGTGACAATCACGCCTAATGCGTGAGGGTTGACAGGGCAGCTGATGTACATGTAGTTACATATAGTTTAGGGCAGTAGGTAACTGAGTTAAGATTATTGCATCTTATAGCTCATTATTGGTAGAACATAGACAGTACTAGAGTCACAAGCTTAGGCAAGACAGTTAACAGGCCCGTAAGACACCTTTCTCCAAGGGGGTGCAGTTTTTACTAAAGAGAATATAAAATTGTCAATTTTTTGCCGCGTAAGTCAAATCGTGTAAGGCAGATAGGGGGGTTGGTTACTCCCTATAGTGGGACCACTCAGCCAATTTTGGAGCATTTTATTGATTTTAAACTAAATATTGTATGAACAAATTGGAGAAACATTGGAATAGGGGGAGGGTGTGCTAGAAGTGCATAAATGTTTACCCGAGAACTTTTACCAGTTCAAGATCACAATCAGTGATTTCTGAACACTTTCAAGTGTTTTAATCAATAGAATCAATTTAAAGAAATTCAGAATTTTTTCAATCATTTTCTTCTAAGGGAAGCGAGGGGCAGCCTAAGAAAATTTTACTAATTCAAGATGCTGTCTGGTTATTTCTGAGCACTTTGAATGTCTTTGAGTAAACGAATGCTTTAGTTTTTGATTAGGGATGAGACGATTTCCCGATATTGTCTCGTCCCTCAGGACTTTGGTCACGGGACGGGACAACCCTTGTGCACCGAAGATATCGGTCCATGTTCAGGATATATTATGATCTAAACTAGTTTTTTCTTTTGTTTTTCCAATTATCTGCCGGATTACGTTCATGCATAAATGCCATTTAGTGGCAATTACTATAAGTGATAATAATAAACGAAAATTCAGTTTTATCGATAACAGTGTTTCCCTATGAAATATACTTTAATTTGAACAATAACAAAGAACTTCATCGGCGAGAAAGGTAACAGTTTAAAATTAATCTCAGATTACAAGATTTGCGCAAGATGCACACCCATCTTATGATAAGTTATGACGTTCAAAAGATCCGCACTGCATAAGCATAACCGGAAGTTAAATGTAAGTTGTTGAACTGCATCATGAAATAGATAATTCCCGTCCCGCCCCGAAATATTTTTGTTCCGTGACATCCCTATTTTTGAGGTGGGGTGCCAGAAACTTTTATGATTTCATGATGTCACTTGGTGATTTCTAGGCACTTTTAAAGTATTTAGATTAACAAATGCAACTTCCAAACTTTTCAATTGTTTTGTGGGGGTTGTGAGGAGTGGCCCACTCCCCTTAAAAATTACTCTTTTGAGATGCTATTTGGTGCTTTCTAGGCACTTTCAATGTGTATGAGTCAATAAAATTTCTAATTTTTTGGGGGGGTGACAAAGAGGATGAGAGGGTGAGGTGGGTGGGATACCAGAGGGGGAGTAAGGGGTTGTACCCAAGAAACATTGACCATATCAAGGTGCTACTTGGTGATGTCTGGGCACTTTAAAAGTGTCTGAGACCATGCATGAAATTCAGAATTTTTTCAATTGTTTTTAGGGGATGTGAGCGATGGCCTACTCTCCTAGAAAATTTTACAATTTTAAGATGATATTTGGTACTTTCTCCAGAGGATGCCAGAGGGGGAGATGGGGTTGACGTGCCAAGGGGGAGCAAGTGTTTTGGCGGGGGGGGGGGGGTGTCAAAGGAGAGGGGGCAGCTAGCAGAAGGATAGGTGGGGTGAGGATTCCAGAGGGGAGCAACTTTTTGTCCCCCAGCAAACATTGACCATATCAAGGTGCTATTTGGTGAAGTCTGGGCACTTCATTTGGGGGGATGTGAGGGGTGGCCTACTTCCCTAGAAATTTTTACAATTTGAAGATGCAATCTGGTGGTTTCTGGGCACTTTCAAAATGCATGAGTAAATAAAAAAAATGAAAAAATCACAATTCTTTTTTTGGGTGGAGATGTCAAAGGGGAAGTGGGGTGAGGATGCCAGAAGGTGGGGGGGGGGGCAAGTATTAGTGCCCCAGAAACATTGACTATACCAAGGAGCTATTTGATAATATCTTTCCACTTTAAAAGTGTCAGAGACAATACATAAGTTGTATGTACATTTCAGTTGTTTTGTGGCGATGTGAGGGGTGGACCACTCCCCCTATAAAATTTTACAATTTTAAGATGCTATTTGGTGCTCTCTGGGCACTTTCAAAGTGTATGAGTCAATGAAAAAAATAGAAAAAATTGTATTTTTCAAAAGAAAAGTTTCAAATTTTTTCTTTCAAATTTCCCCTCCCCCATCTGATGGCCCTGGTTCACTAGACCAGTGATTGGTGGTGAGTGACTGATACCCCTGTGGGTCTGATTTGCGTTTTTCTTATTTTGATATTGTATGACTCAAAAATGGCTGTGGATGCATGAAAGTACAAAATAGAAGGCTATATATGGTATTATGTTGATGATAAACACATACACCCTGGACGAAGTGATAAGGTCAAAACAAGTGGCTCTGATTTAGGAAAAAACGATCTTCCTAAAAATTAATAATTTTTGTACCCCAATTTTTGTAAGGTTAAATTCTTGTGGACAAAGAGGAGAATCATATACAATTTTGTATTATGTTCAAGTGGTACATCTTAAACTACTCAGTCCGTGTGTTTTAAATTGAATGGAACGCGCATTAGTGGCTGGAGTGTAAATTAAAGTTGAGAATTATATCTCCCGCTAAAAATTACGATTTTATATTGTCAAAATATCTTTCATTGATGATCAATGATGCATATAAACGTTCATGCACACCGAGATTGTATGTTTCTTTTCGTATGTGCATTTACAGCATCGACAGTTATTTTAATTTGATGTGATGCCTATTGTTTTACTCCCGACGACGAACATTTGAGGAAAATAAGCGGTTATTGATTTGCGATGGTGATTTGTGATAAAACGCGGCTTTCTATACCTGATTTAGTTTCATTAATTTAACGTTTTCCAGTCATGTCCTATGACAATCGCCGTTATGAAGCGTCGAAAATCTCTTTATATTACATCAAGTCATGTGGAAGTGGCCTTTGGATGAAATAAGAGTCTAAGATACATGCAGCTTGTTAGACGTACGATGCCCGTTGTCAACGCAAAGTCCAAAGATCTGGATGTCAAAACAACCCCTTTATTTACACTGCCATTGCACATGAATGGGAATTATGTTTATGTCCACTATTTTAGTAAATCGTCTTGGACATTTACTATAGAACAAATCATTTGCCTTACTGTATCTTTTGTTTAGCCTGAGAAGCAGTCACAGTGATTGTTTAGATTTTTGATTCAATCTCATTAATTTTGATGAAGCCCTCTTTTAAGCAGTTTAGTCGAATGAATGCAAAGGAATAATATAATGTATTTGTTAAAGTTCCACTTTTTAAAAAAATAACAATAGTGTTAATAAAGTTTTCAAAAATAAACTTTATTCTATCATCTATATCTGTGTAAAGAACTATACAATTAAGAAAACAAATAACTACAGTACAGTGTTGATATTTGCACTTTTGTGTTGATAATTACCTATAATATTAATGTAATTACCTTTAATAATCATATAATTACCTATAATAATTATTCCAAAATATGATTAAAATTGTTACTCAAATAGTTATGACTAACAGTTATTATAAAAATAAGGTCAGGTATGCATTAGGTATGCATTACAAAATTGTATGACCAGAATCATGACAAAGTATATATATAAGAATACCCTTTTCTTCAATTGCAATTTATGAATTATCAAAAATATATTTCACTTCATCAATCATCACTTGTATAAATCTAGATTTTCTTCATCCTAGTATAAATTAATAAAAACAGAGGTAACAAAATAATTTGCTATCTATGACATGTCAAACATGTAGAGCTATCTAGTATATATTTCATATACAGTGCCCCAAACAAACATAATATAAGTATTTCACATTTTAAAACTCATCTTTAAAATCATTTTAACATGTAGCCTAGTGGCTCAACAATGTTTTGGTCACAAGGCTTGCAATTAGTAAATTAAATAACTCTGAAGCATGCTTACTAAAGACATTAAATTACCCCATTAAACAGTATGTAGTATTATGCTTATAAAAATGTACTTGCATTTTTTAATTATTTATAATACACAATGATTTAGTTTTGCAATATTTCAATTTATTCTATAAATATTTTTCAAGCAACTGAATATTGTTTTTATAATTAAGACTTTGACTAACTAATATGTGTGGTTTTAGTCAATGACGTCATAATTATGAGAAAAATATTCAGTTGCTTGAAAAATATTGATAGAATAAATTTTGAATATTGCAAAACTAAATCATGTTGTTATTAAAACAACTTCTTTATAGGAAATACAAATAATAATGAAAACTTAATAGCTATGCCTTTTATAAATATCACTCAGAATTGTACTACTGTAGTGTTGCATATCATTTGCATTCAATCTGTTCCTAATAGCAATCTAGTACATATGCACACTGCACAGAGTGATACAATCATTTTTGCCCTCTAATTTTGAAAATATTTGAATTTTTCAATCATAATTAAATGTTCTTAAATTATCTTATTAATTTCTAATACAACAAGAATACAGTTAAACTATTTTTTTTCAAAATCTGGCTTTGTCAATATTAACCTAATAAGCAAGTCAACTCAAAAATGTAATGACACATTAATAATACTAACATTGATAATTTTCAGGAAAGCAGTTTGTATGCACAAAACATGAATATCTGATAAAAATATCTTCAATATTTTCATCTAGCATCTGTATCGTTGCATTGCCATCTGTGGAACTGTGTGCTTCATTGCTGTGACAAGATTTCAAATTTATTATATCATTCATTTCATTGGTGGTTTCATTTTCAATTTTATTTTCAATTTCATTTTCTTTTTCAATGTTATTATCCATTGTTGTACGACATTTCATTTCATTGTTACTGTCAATATCTAATTTTGAGCATTTAGATACATGGGGAACATCACTGTCCAAGGGTGTATTCCCATTTCGCCCCTTCCCATTTCGCCCCTCATTTATTCCCATTTCGCTCCTTTCCCATTTTGCCCCTTTGCCATTTCACCCCTTTCCCGTGTTGCCCCTTTCCCATATCGCCCCTTTCCCTTATCGCCCCTTCCCATTTCGCCCCTTCCCATGTAGCCCCTTCTCCATTTCACCCCTTCCCATTTCGCCCCTTCCCATCTCGCCCCTTCCCATTTCGCCCCTCATTTATTCCCATTTTGCCCCTTCCCAATTGGCCCCTTCCCATTTCGCCCCTTCACTTTTCGCCCCTTCCCAATTGGCCCCTTTCCCATTTTGCCCCTTTGCCTGATTTAAGGTCATTGGGACTCTTGTGAACCTCTGTGACCTATGATTAAGTGAACTAAGGTCAAGGTCATTGCAAGGTCAAGGGTCAGTATCTAGGTATTTTATTTTTTAATACCAAGGGGCGAAATGGGAATGAACGAGGGGCGAAATGGGAAAGGGGCCAATTGGGAAAGGGCGAAATGGGAATAAATGAGGGGCGAAATGGTAAGGGGCAAAATGGGAAGGGGCCAATTGGGAAAGGGTGAATTGGGAAGGGGCGAAGGGGGAATGAGGGGCGAAATGGGAAGGGGGCATAATGGGACGGGGGCGAAATGGGAAAGGGGCAATTTGGGAAAGGGGCAAAATGGGAAGGGGTGAAATGGGAAGGGGCCAAATGGGAATAAATGAGGGGCAAAATGGGAAGGGGCAAAGTGGGAAGGGGCGAAATGGGAAGACAACCTGTCCAAGTACTGGGCTATTGATATTGTCATGGAGTCCTGATCCCGAATCACTATTTTTTTGCCACTGGCTTCGATCTCACTGGGAATCACATCTGAGAAATTTTTTGTTATCAATTTAATCGTTCCATTCACATTAATAATTTTTCTGATTTTCATTTCATTTTCAGGATGTTTTAAAATCAAGTGTTGTATTATTGCATTAAATTGTTTTGTTTTCCCGTCACAATGGTAGCATTGGAAGCCTACACACCTGAAAGTAAACAAGTGATTAATTAGACATCCATTCCACGTATTTTCCATATATTCTGTGGGAATCAGAGCCGCGTTTTTTCCAGAAAATAAATCTAATCTCGTCTCAGGGACGTAAATTACTTCTTGTATTAGAAAAATAATGGTGATATGACATTCCCTGGTTCATAAACTATCATATCGCCAAATATCAATGCATTTGAAACAGAGTATCTACCATTTTTTCGAAAATAATCAAAAAAAAATATTGCGGTTATTTACAAAAATATATTATTTCAATTCGTATTCATTTCGTTTCTTAGTATTAATCGTTACAATATTATATATAGAGAGGTGGATATGTCTTGGATCAATGTACCGAGTTTGAACATGTCAGGTGGCCAAGAAAGGGTATAATTTAAAGAAATAAACTCACCCCTGCTCTGCCATGTTTATTTTTAGGAAGATCGTTTTTTCCTAAATCAGAGCCACTTGTTTTGACCTTATCACTTCGTCCAGGGTGACATATGAAAGTGACAATACAGTAGTTGTTGTTTACAATTTTACATAAGCATTAAACCCCCACTTTTACTTTTGGCCGAAATGGTGTAACCCTTTTCTGAAATTTACATGTAAGTCCTTCCATGATACAAATTGCAAGCACAATCTCCATTGAGTCAAGCACAGCACATAAAAGGAATGAAATGCAACTACCTTGCTTAGGCCTGGTATTTAGGCTTTTGCCAAGGGGCTTACTTTCAAAACAAAAAAATTCTAGGGGGTTCACATTTGACAACTTTCCTAAAATCCTTGATGGAAATTTCTCAGAAATGGTGAAAAACTGCATGATTTTGAAGAATTTTTCTGAGATCATTACTATGGAGAAAATCCAGATACTTCTGGACAGTACAAATTCATGGCCTTTGGTGATGAAAATGCTTGTACCTACATGCATTTGTTCTTATGAGATCATAATTTAAATCAATCTTTTATTTGTTTCAGCTTCTCTGTTGATTGCAAATGCAGACAAAGACATAATCATTGTGATGGCAGAGAAAAAAGTTGTGACACAAATCTCCACCCCAAAGCTACAGAGAGAGGGAGGGGGATTTCTAGTCCGCAAGGTGATTGGTGGAATTATCCCATCATGTGACCCTTTCCTTATGTTGGACCACATTGGTAAGATTTACTCTACTGATCATATGATGGGGAGGGGGTTGTGGTATTAACCCTATGATTATGAGTTTTTTTTTAAAAAACACCTTAAATGGGTGTTTTTCTTTGTTTGAATATATAGTCTAAATATTTATAGACATGCAGGTGTACACCTGGGACTGAGAAAAAGTGTTCAAACTGAGAGGTGTTTGGATGAGAGGTATTCGGATATAAGTTTAACTAATACATGTATCACTAGCGTATGATTGGTAAACTCAGTGGATTAAGATTTCTATCATATTCATCAAGGTGATGTTGGTGCAACTGAGACCTGATGAATCAAGATATCAAGGACTTTAATGTTGTCAGCACTTGCATGCAACTCTTCACACCTTTTAATATGGATGTTTTAGCCATGTTTTATTGTTCCACCATTGTTGGTCAATATTCAGCTTTCTGAAAATGGTCTCATCAATATATGTAGCCTTACATGCCTTATAATCCATTGACAGTTCAGCCCTTTCATTTAACATGGCGCATGTGGTGAATTGGACCACACAGGAACAAAATCTACAGTGTACCTGTTGTTTTCAGAAATACACTGGTTTTATACATGTCACTGACTCAAAATAATATATTTCCTGTCTTCTTATGTAATCTTTCCTGTCTAGGTCTAATTTAATATAATACATTAGCGAAAGGGCTGATTATTGCCGATAAACATTGCATAGCAAGATAATTGACTTTAGGTTCCTCTAATTGGATTTTGATAGATGATACTAGACATGTGTTTCCTCTCAAATTTTCTCACATGAAGTACAATGATCTTTCCAGTAATGAAGTAAGGGATATGGATCAACTTGAGATTTTGCAAATTATCTTCCATCCATGAGAAAAATCATGAAAAATAGCAAAGGACTGGTATCGATATGGAGAACTGAATTTAACAATGTTTTTCTCTTAAACCAATCATTGAAAACATTCTGTAAAAAAACACAATATTTTATGTAATGTTGACTGATTGACAACAATTTAATGTGAAAATTATTTAGAAATATTTTATATAACTGTTTTTGTTCACATTTCTTTTTGTTTTTTTAGTGCAATTGTTTTTGCTCCTTTGTACAAATTCTTGAGAATGAAATAAAATGTCTTTCCAAACCGTCTGAACAAAATAGCATATACAACATGTTTGTAGACCTCTCAATATTATAGTAATACAAAGGAATTTTGGGTTGATTTTAAAAAAGTATTCAAAAAATTAAAACAAAATCCCCCCAAAATAGATAAAATTTAATTCATTAACAAGATACTTTTTAAAATCAACCAAAATTTCCTTTGTACAATTACAATATTGAGAGACCTAAACATGTTGTATTTATGTCGTTTTGTTCCAATGAGGTTCGGAAAGATCTTTCATTTCACGTTGGAAACGTGATACCAAAAACAAAACAAGGGTTTGATATGTTTTCGTTTTCCAAAACAATATAGATGAAAGTATATATATTTTTCAAATGATATTGTTACCATTCAGAAGATGACCATTAAATTGCAGTGTGTTAAATTTTTAGATTTTTTTATGACTGGTTTAAGAGAAATGTGTGTTCAAAAAGTTCTCCATATCGATACCACTCCTTTATGAAAATAAGAATTTTGCGATCACTAGATGAAATCATCTTGAGAACAAAGGATTTTTGATTTCTCCTGCATCTCCTCCATTAGAAAACAAACTGATTACAATATAGCCCCATGGGTGCTATAAAAGAGACTTGGATTTGTATTCCACTCTTGGGTGCAATATTTTGATCAAATGGGCACAGGGATGGGTTGGTGTATGTGCCGCTGGATTTTGAATTAAAAATTTTGCCTATTTCCTGTCCTAAAATCCTGTCTGTTAAGTCTTATCTATGCATTTTTTATGGTATAAAATATCACACTATTTAGATTTTGCACATTCTGAGTAAATGTCAAAGTGACTTTTTGATTTTCCATCCTTAAATCTGTCTTCAGGTTCCAGATGAACCATTTCACACATTGATTTCATATTTTCAAGGAGGTTTCTTTGTATAAAAATCTCGAACTGATAAGATTTTGGGCATTCTGGATAAATGTTAAGGTGGTCATTTTTGATTTTCCTTCCTTAAATCTTGTCTGTAGAGTCTTGTCTATATATTTCTGGGTGAACTGTTTGATTGATTGATTTCAAATTTTCATGAATGTTCCTTTTTTATGAAAATATCGAACTGAATAGTTTTCTGGGTAAATGTTATGGTGGCCATTTTGGATATTTCATCCTAAAATCATGTATTCACATTGTCAAGATGAACCATTCGATGGATTGATCTGAAAATTCTTCTTGGTATGAAATTTTAGAATTGCTTAGCTTTTGGCAATTCTAGGTAAATGTTAAGGTGGCCATTTTGGACTTTCCAGCCCAAAAATTGTATTTTCCTTTCAAGGGTGTTATACTGCTCAACCTGTGTCTAATTCCGTATATTAGGGCAATTTTTCAGGGATAGATAATATTGTTCAAAAACAAATGGTTTGGGAAAGGAGAAAGCCATATATTTACTTATTTGTAGCAACATCAATAATGTCTACATCAATAATCTGCAAAAGGCTAATAAGCCCATTTAAAGTAGCTACCCTTTATTATGACATCAAAACACATTTTGTTTGTTCAATCTGAAAGTAAGGATTGGAACTGTTTACCACTAGGGGGACTTCATGTCTGCTTATTCATTTTCCCCATCTTCCAAATCAGTCTTTATTAGTCTCCTGAACCTACCCCCACCCCCTTTCTCAATCTAACAAAAGAAAATAGATAGGTGGAAGAGGTGCCCAGAGTCTTTTTGCAAGGTTACCTGTTGACTTATGCAGCACTCCAAAATCAAAGTGTATTCCTTGCCTGCTATTTGCTTTTTTCTGTTTGCATGTCTGCAACAAATCTTTTTTTTCTCCAGGTCCAGTAGACAACAAACCTGGAGAGTCAGTAGGGGCACCAGACCATCCACATCGAGGTTTTGAAACTGTCACTTATGTTATAGATGGGGGTATTAAGCATAAGGATTCTGAAGGCAACAAAGGTAAAGGTTGTTTTTGTAGATTTATGAAGCTGGAAATGTTTCACTCACTACAGTAGATGGCATTTCATATTTGATGAAATTTCATTTCTTAACTGTTATGTCACCACCAGAACTTCTTTGTGGACGGTGTTCAGCGGTCTGTGGTTGGCAGTCAGCATCTGTAACAAATGGCAGGTGGTGACATTTTGCATGTTTATACCTACTAATGATATTTTTAGAGCCATCATTTTTTGTGACTGGCACTTTGGTGACAATTTATTGTTGCTAACATTTTTTATTCATTTTTTTGTATTTTTTGAACTGAATTGATATTTTACATTTTATATTCCCTAAAAGTTGTGTTAAATTCAGAATGAGAGTTTTTTGTATCCAATATAAGCTTTACAAACATAGTGTGAAAACTCATTTGCAGCACCTCACTGCCTCAGTCTATTGACAAGCATAGATTGTGAACACAGCCTAGACTTGCCTAAATACACAATTCTTCATGTAAAAGGAATGAAATCAAAACAAAAAATGATTTATCATACTGAACAATCAAAATAACGCGTAACCATTATTAATGGATCACCCTGTATATTTTGTCCAGGTAATCTGAAGGAGGGTTGGGTGCAGTGGATGACTGCAGGGCGGGGAATTGTACATGCAGAGATGCCAACTGATGAAATCATGGAGAATGGGGGACGCATGGAAGGCTTCCAGTTGTGGACTAATTTACCAGCAAAGGTTAGTAGATGGACTAGTTTATTTAGTTGATATTTCAGAAGCACATTCGAGAAATGGTCATATGACAGTGGATTACTCATGTCATGAGACAAGTGAAAATCCCTGCAGTGTACATGTATGTATTGGCACATGTGTATGCATCTGTTATGAAGGTTTAAATGCATTGAGATCAATTATAAAGGATCAAATTGGCTAAGAAAATGGGAGAATACATTGTATCAAAGAAATGCATCTAAAAAAGCGGCAATACCAGAAAGTAAGTGCAGTAAAACTTGTCTAAGTAGAACATCTTGGTACAATGTGATGGGAGGTGTTACATTGATAGAGGTTCATTAAACATTAAGTCAATTGGTCTTGGGACTCTAAAGTCTTCCACTAACAGAGGTGTTCCACTTCTAGATCTAGAGGTGTTCCCACTTTACAGGTTTCACTGTAAGCTAATTTCTGACTTGAAACTAATGATTAGGGACCTACCCCCCCAGGGATGCCTTGGGGTCTATTTAATGATTGGACTAGACATGAGTCATATCAAATCATGTTATTTCATTGTGTACACTTATTACACACATTTTTTAAGTGCTGTAACTTGTTCCGTGAGTGTAAAAATGAAACTAGACTGAGGCTGTGATTTTCAGTTATCAGATTTGGTTCAGATTTTACATGCTTATATGTTTAGGACTCTGCTAAAAAGGGGTTTTCAGCATGGCTACTTTTTCACACATTGGGTATAGGCTTTACCAACATGAGACAGTACTACTGCATGCATGCCTGGTTATTTTTTCAAAATGATGAGTAATTTGATAAAATACATGTATGTTTAGTTTGGTGGGATTTGCTACTCCTGGAAGTTGCTGTTTGTCAAGTTTTGAGAATTATATGTTGGCAACTTTTTTAATAGCTTTAGCCATGATCATTTTTAGGCTTAAAATGGAACTGAAATGATATACCCATTGCTTGAACTAAGTTATCTTCTTTGGTATAGTGGTAGTGACACATCTGAGATGTCACTAAAACCTTGTTGAAAGTTGCCATCTATATGTCATCTTACTCATTTTGATTTGCAAAGATTCCTGCTCTCATTATCTTTTTTAGGAACATATGATCAGGAGAATAAAATATGAAGTCTTTATTTCATATCTTACATATCAAACATCTTCTGTTCTTTCTATATTTACATGTTTGTCATATAATGTCTTCAGTCCTCATGTGAGATGAAGCTTGCAAATCAACATCATATCCTAACTTACAGTCTCTATATCGTTACCATCTTTCTTTATTGAAATGAAGTTTTAAACTTGTAGAATTTTATTGTCAGATAAATGATGCACTTGTTACAAAATTGTTTATCTATTTTGAATAGTGAGGTTCAGAAAACAAAATAAATTATCCAAATATTTTCAGATCATTTTAGAATGAACTACATACTGTATATTGACAACTGAACAATAAAAAAATAATGAGTTTCAAACCTTCATCAGTAAGGAGTGAGGATAAATAGTGGAAAGCTATGAACCTTTAGTACATGAGTACAAAATGAACATGTAGTGTAAAATGGGTCCAAAACATTGTTTCATAATTGTCTTATATGTACTGTTACAGTATTCATGAATTGTTAGATCTCTAACATAGACTTAAGTCTATCTATGTGTTCCAAATCAGGATGTGACTGTCCTTTCTGCAGTGTATTCAACATCTCAGTAGCTTTTGTTAAATTATGAATGACTGTCTCTGCATTTTCTTTCAATTCAAGTTGTGCTTCGGCCAAAAGAATGAATGATTCTACAATATCACCATGGTTGGCTTCATTGCCATATATTTGCCTTGCTGCGTCTAAAGCTAACTGATGGTATGCAATTGCTTCATTACTATTGTTTAGTATGCGTGACACTGTCCCAATTTTATTGTAGATTTTCCCCATGTCCAGGTAGGCTGATCTTTGTTCATCTGAAATATTCTCCAATTGCTTGAGTGATCGGTTGAGTTGAATTGAAGCCTCGGACAGGTCCCCTTTTAAAGCTAGTGCAGTTGCAAGAGCAGAGACAGACATAACAAGGTCGAGTGCTTCAAATGTATTAATATCAGCATATTCATTTCTGAGTTCTGTAGATTGGTGAAAGTAGTCCACAGCTTTAGAATAGTGGCCCTGTTTTAGATGAACAGTGCCAATATTGTAAAATATCCTAGCCTTTAGCAGATGAAAGGCAGAAAGTGGGGAATCAGTCATGCATTCTAGTGCTTTGTCATAGTTAATAAGAGCTGCATTGTAATCTCCATTGTTGTTGTAACTGTATCCCAGATTGTTGTATGAAGGGGACAGCAGTTTGAAGTGGTCTTTAATCTGCATTGGAGAGGCAAGTGTTATTTCTATTGCTTCTTTGAAGTACTCTATGGCTTGTTCATTTTCATATGCTTTGAGGTATGCAAACCCAATGAGATTCAAATAGTCTGCTTCTGCAGCCATATCATCCTTGATGTTGTTAATTCTTTTGAGATGCTTGTGCATATCATAGCTCTCAATTGCCATTTGTTTACCCCTTTGAATGTTCCCCATTTGCAGGTACACATGTGCCAGTAGATAAAGGTTTTCTTTGATGACAACATTTGGAACATTACCAAACATTCTGTATCTCATCATCAAAGCTTTTTGTAGGTATTTTAAACCAGTTTTTGAGTCTTTCTTTTCACCAGCAATACTATTTCCTAAATTGTTATAGGCTACGGCCAATGTAGTGCTGTCTTTTCCTTCCATAACACCTATTGCTTTCTGATTGAGTTCTATAGATTTATCAAGATTTCCCATTCCTTTGTAAGAGTAGGCAAGTGATAGAAGAAGGACACCAAGGTCCATTGGATATAAGTCAATGTTATCAAGTATTTCCTGAAAAAGTCTATGGGCTTTTTCATAATCACCATGTCTCCAAAGATTAGCACGTCCAAGTTGAAACTTCAATTGAAGGATAAATGATATGTCCACATTGTTTTTCTCAGCTAATTCAATTGCACTTTCACAAATTGAACATGCTTTTTCATTTTCATACCTTGAGCAATACACAGCAGAGAGATAAGACAGTGCAAGCACATCATTTGGTGTTTCTTCCAGCACTTTTTCAAAGCATGCTATAGCATCTGTATATCTAAGCAGCCGCATATTAACAGTACCTTCATTCATTGCATTGTCCTCAAAACAGTTTCCCTTCACTTTGTTTGTCAGTGTAAATGTTCTCATGATTGTTTCCAATGGTATAGCTGATTTATAGTACCTTGTTATAATATCTGTATTGTCCATGTAAAATGTAGCAGCGTCATCAGTCATGGAAGCTCCTGCTTCAGCAGTTGATTTGAACCTTTCTCTAACTGCGATGTTGTCACGCTGTGCTTTAATTGTACAATATGTTTGTAGTCTTAGTTGGTTGCCTATTGCCCATAGGACCATTAGGTTGTGTGCAATATCTCTTGATAATACCCCCATGGACTCCAGTTCAGATATGATCTCCCATGGAGGCTTGCTCACTACCCCAAAGTACATCCCAAGGTTCATAATCATTAAGCTTGGGAATCTGAAAATTTCCCTCTTCACATGGAATATACTCCCCTCACTTCTTACTCCCAGAAAAGGTGTTCCATATTTCACATTGTCCTCTTTTATTGTCTTAATTGCCCTCTTTTGTCCAGTGTTGCCAATCTTTAATGATTTCTTCAATTGGATGATGTAATCATCGTACAAGGTCTTATCTCCCATTATGAATGTTGCTGAGGTGAGCACTTCTGCCAAACCATCGGGGCCAAATGAGTTAAGGTTCTGTATGTTCGCCATCTTTGATGGGGTCTGGATAAGTTCATTTCCCCCCAGACCTCTCGGAAACTTACATGCTTTTGGCATATCAGCATCAAATGAGAATCCTCGTGGTGTAATTGAATCAAAGAACCAGTTTTCTCCACCTTCGGAATAGTCATTTAGAGACTTAACACCCATTGCTGGAACTATTGTCTCTCCAAGGTTAATGACTTTGAGTTCGAAGAAGTCACATAAAGCAGCGAGTTTTGCTTTATTTTGTGGTGTATCTGAACCCTCTCCAATGAGAGCAGCGAATTCAATATCAGAGTATGGCGTCATCTCATGACGTGAGAATGAACCAAGGCCAATAAAAGCCCATGGGAAGGTCATTGGTTTCATATTTTTCAAACAATCATTCACCATTTTTTGTATCATTGACTTCATTCTTTCAACGAGTGTAGTTGCGATACATATAACCTTTTTAGTATGTTCAGACTCAGCAGTGATTCTCTCAGTTATTGATATACCAGCTTTAGCATCATAAGGTCCAGTTTCGCTTATATCATTAAGCATTTTCTCTGTGTTTGTTCTTATTTCATCAAGCGTTGATTTATAGATCTGTGTTTCCTCTTCTGAATAATCATTAGATCCATCTTTTAAATTTCCCAAGAGTTCCAACATAACACATTCAATGTTTGCGATTTTTGTTGTCAAAACATTCACCTGTAAATCATCTGAGTTCAGCCTTACTTTTGCGCCATTATACAGAGCACATGCTTTCAACAGGCAGACTCTATCGTTTTGATGTTTTGCATATTCCAAATAGACATCTCCTAGGGCTTCAAGACATATACATGTCTCTTTCTTATCACTGGCAAGTTTTAATGCGAGCGCATATTCTTCTTCAGCCTTCTTGAATCTGTTCTGGTCATATTCTCTTTGACCTCTTGCATAGCGATCAGCAAATGTCAGTCTGAAATGTCAATGAATTTTTTATTATTTCCAGAAATATTTTCAGAGGAGCAATATTCTTTTTTCCAACAAAAACTATCATTATAATAAAACTTTGATTTTTGTTTTATCTTGCAAAGTTTCCCTTTATATGTAACTTATATTGGTAAATTGAACTCATAATTGATATCAGCCCCCTTAATGCAGTGATTCAGGCATCAGCCACTCTGGAAAGAATGTTGATGTCTGAAGCAGTGTATTCTTAGGATGGGATATACCATCCTATTGGTTTCATTCCCCAATCTCAAGACGACCAAATAGAGATGCATCAACGTTTCAGTTGGGTTGTGTGTCAGTGAAACTTTTTGATTGAGCAATTAGAATACCACAATATCACATGGAAAAATACATCATACAAAAGAGTATCTTGGATGGCTTGCAGTTTGGCTAATAAAATGTGTGGCCTCTTGTATTTTGATGCTTTTCTGACATGTAGTTTTCAAAAGAATTAACCCATACGATAGTGAACTGTTGTCTTTTGTTTGATTTTTTAGGTTTTATTGACACACAGCTCCATTGAAATGGACTATAGTTTATTAATTGTATTATAAACAATTCACTTTCAGTTTAAGGTACAGCTGGAAAATAACATTTTGGTAAAAAATTGCTATACCTGCACATGTTATTTTCTGGTACACTATAAAGTATGAAGGCATGTGTTAATTTCCTTGTTTTTTCAGGAAAGTATCATTACATTGTCTTTTTTTAGTATATCTGTAGACTATATATCCTCTAGTCTGAAATTTTTTTGAATTTTTGAATGAAATTATTCAGACTATAGCCTACATATGTTAAAATTTGTCATTGAAAATTATTTGTTTACATAGGAAGTGCCATTCAAAATGGCCGACTGGGTAAATTAATTTGCATATTTGTTACTTCCCCTAGCTTTATTTCCATTTGACAATATGCTGGGTTACTTTTTATAGCATTTAATTGTACCTTACTACTTAATTGAATTGTTATAATGCTTATTTTTGGGAAGTGAAGTTCCCTAAAATTGATTATAGTTTGCAGGAAATGTCCTGTTTTTTTTACCACAGGAGGGACATAATGATTAATAGACTGAATTCTCAGGAAATTCAGTCTATTGGATATAGACTAAGTATATCTGGTAAGAGGTCGATGGGAACTCCAGGAAATTCTGATATTTCACATTTTCTAGTTTTCCAAATTTTCTTTCAAAGTTTCCAGACAACACAGGAGCTACCATTGACCTGTTTCCAGGTTTACTAAAAGTAGACAATGTAATGATACTTTCCTGAAAAAGGCAAGGGAATATACACAATGCCTCCATACTAAATTTTGTACCAGAAAATAACATGTGCAGGTATTGCAATTTTTTACCAAAATGTTACTTTCCAGCTGAACCTTAAAATTGACTGGAATATGATTTATAGATATATAAAATACCACATACCCTTGCTGCAAGAATGCTATAACCTGTAACTTTACTTTACATGTATGATAAAGTATTGTACATGTTTATACTGTACTTACACATCCATCTTTGTGCCTTCACTAACTGTGTCACTTCTGACTCTAAGAATATCTTCCTTTATGTCAACTTCTGCTCCTGCAGTCAAATGTATCAGTGTCCGCAATTTATTCCCCATTTCTCTTCGTGAATTTTATGAATCACAGTCAAAAGTCCCTGGAGAACATTGGATCTATAAAACTTCATGACTAGAAGCTTCTCGATCTTGAATCTGCACAAAACTGATTGTATTGGTTGTGTATAGCAGTATTGAAGCTGTAGTAGTTGAATCGTATGCCTGCTCTATTTATATATGTGAATAATAAAGTTGAATGTTTGTAAATGGATTATTTTACAGTTCAATAGAGTCATATTACTGCAAGTGTTTACTGTTTTCTATGTGACCTGTTTAGTACACCAGGATGTCATTCTGCATGTCATCTTGGCTATTTCATGTTTTTCAGGGCCCAGTTGTTCAGAACCACTATTAACTTAATTGCAATTAACTTAATTTTTGGTCTAATTGCAATTACGTAGTTAATTTCAATATTAAATTCTGTTGTTGAAAGCATTTTAATTTCGAAATTAACTAATTGTTCACTATTAAGCTAATAGTGGTTCTGAACAACTGGGCTCAGCACAAAAGTACTGTCCTCGCATTTTTAAAAAAAAATTCTTGGTGATTCAGTGACAGCATTTTGGTCTTTTATGTTTCAGAAATTCTAAATCTTTTAATATTGATCTCTGACTGAGCCTTTGATTTAAAATCACTTGTTTTGAAGGAATATGTCTCATTATTGCTATTTCATATGTATGAGTATATGTCTATAGTTCGTCAAGCGGATAACTGCAAGTTTGATCATCATGGCCAATAATGTGGTAAGTCCGCCGGAGCAGATCAACTGCAATTGATAATAAAAACGTTTTGCTGGATATAAATCCTATATAAATACAAGCGACTGTAACGTATTTTGTTAAGTTCAGACGGCTTGATGACAATAAGGCCTTCTTTATTTGAAGCTTAATACCATATGATTTTTCAATGTTTTTTATTATGTAATTTATTTGCTAAGCATATCATGACATTAACATGAACATGGAGAGCAAGTAAACTGGAACGATAACAATTTGAATTCTATACAATCTCCAAGATGAGTGGAGTAAATTTGAAAAAACAAAATCGTTTTTGCAATGATTGATTTTTCTTTGAAAAAGTGATGGGTAATAAATACTGAACAAATGAAAGAATGAATAAATTTGAACAAATATGCTTGTGTTTATAAATGATATACGCTTTTAAATAATTCATTTCACAACGTTTTTAATTATTTAACACAATTAGTTTCGGGGACTTCCCAGCCCCAGGGACGTCCCAATAAATATTTTAAATTTTTATTGAAATAAAACAAAATAGAGATGTACACATTTGAAAGAACATGTGTTTTATCAATATTACGACGATTCCAGATATTTATTCGTCAATGTTGTAAAAATCATTCGGACGTCTGCATTGTTTACAATAACTTTCAATAACTTTGTATTGGACCAGAACTGGCTTAAAAAATCCCACAAAGGACTGATTTAGCCATTGCCTAAGATGGGTTATTTTGTCCGAGAAGAATCAGCTTTTAAGTTTATTGTGCGAAATTATTGTTATTTCTAAATGTAAAATCTCATGCTCTGGGGTCTTCCGACAATTAAATCTCATCCCGTGCCTAAGGTTGCCAAACGTTTTGAGGGAAGTGTAACTTCATGATGACATGTTTTTAACAAAATAAGCCTCTCGTGTTCACCATAACAAATATCAATTCATTTACTGCTCATATATGTAGTTTTCAAATAGCACAGTAATTTAATGTTTCTGGTTGAGGCATTTTTCCGCAAAATGATATTTTGGAAAATCCTGACCGGGGGTTCGTTCGAACCCACCGAACCCCCGCTGCCTACGGCTATGCTTATGAATATACTTAGTTTTCACTCAACTGCTTGAAACTTGAAATAATGAAATTGATGGGGCAATGCATTTAATCTAAAAGTAACCATGCAATATGTTGAAGGATTTAAGCCCTGGACTCAGTGCGATGCGGAATGACCATTCTCTGAAGGTTGCTTTCCAAAGTATCAGCTTCAATGTGTAGAGTCCAGTCATCACCATGACAACCGTTTAACTAGTGACCTTGAGTTCGATATTGGTTATATAACAGAATGCAGTTACATGAAATAGCGTGTTCTGATTGGCTGGTTTTGGACACACCTTGCCTAATTAACTGTGTGAATGTAATTTTAAGAATGCAGATTATTTGAAATACCATGTTGTGATTGACTGGAATTTGATCATTGAGTTTTATTATCCCATTGAACGAAGTTCGGAGGGATATAGGGAACGCCTCCGTCCGTCCGTCCGTACGTCCGTCCGTCTGTACGTACGTCCGTCCGTCTGTCCGTCCGTCCGGGCAATAACTCAAATACCGTTGGCCCGATTTTGTTCATATTTTGTACACATATACCCTATGGGAGTAGAAGTTCTGCTCGAAAGCTGATTTTCAAAATGGCCGCTCATTTCAAAATGGCGGCCATTTTAGTGCTGATTTTACAGTAATTTAGGTGCAATATGTAAAACTGTAATAGCAATATGTTTTAAATGTAAAAAAATTATAAAGGATATAAATAATGCTACAAATGTAGATATTAAAGAAGCACATGGCAGCCATCTTGAAAAATGGCGGCCTTTAATCGTCATTTTACGATTTTTGCTGTAACTCAAAAAATAGTGGAGCGATTTTGTTCATATTTGGTATGTGAATACTGTAAGCATTGCACACTGCCTAAAGACACTTTTGGTAGAAGGCGGCCATTTTGAAATTTTTTTTGAAAAATGGCCGCCATTTTAAAGTATTTTACTATAACTCGAAAAGTAGTGGAGCGATTTTGTTCATATTTGGTATGTGAATACTATAAGCATGGCACACTGTCCTATGACACTTTTGGTAGAAGGCGGCCATTTTGAAAAAAAATTTGAAAAATGGCCGCCATTTTAACGTATTTTACTATAACTCGAAAAGTAGTGGAGCGATTTTGTTCATATTTGGTATGTGAATACTATAAGCATGGCACACTGTCTATTTCTAATGACACTTTTGGTAGAAGGTGGCCATTTTGAAAAATGGCCGCCATTTTAACATATTTTCTATAACCAGAAAAGTAGTGGAGAGATTTTGTTCATATTTGATATGTGAATACTTTAAGCATGGCACATTGTCTAATAAAACTTTTGGGAGTTGTCGGCAATTTTGAAAAATGGCCACCATTTTTATGTGTGTTATTTTACAAGTACGTGTGTGATTTTTCAAAAATTTTAGAGGTGGCTTCTTAAAAGCATATTATTTCTTCTGATGACAACTTGGCAAGTAAGCAACCATTTTGAAAATGGTGGCCTTTCTGGTGTGTTGTTTTATGATATATGCTATTCGTTTGTAAAAATGCCAGCCATTTCTGTTCGATGGGATTCGCTACGCTTTGGCGTTGCCGTTGTTCTGGTTTTCGTTAATGCTATGCTAAATATAACTTATTGTTTTCCAGCATAAAATGATTGCTCCACGCTATCAAGAAATGAAACCAGAAGAAATGGCATCAGTAGAAAATGAAGAAAATAAATATACTGTCAAAATTATATCTGGCACAGTAAATGGTTAGTAATGAAATTTTCCAATAAAATAATTGTACTTTTTATTTATTTTTTATTTTTGAGATTTGATGCCTCATATACATTATGGTTAAAAAGTGTCTTGTTATTATCTATAAACTATATGTCACCACAGCATCAGGTGTCTCTGACAAATTGTTCCACTTGTAATTGCAACAAATAAGTGATACTTTGCCATTTTAATGTCTTATTCCAAATTCAAACAGCATCTTTATATTTACAGGTGTGTCTTCAAAAATCAACACATTAGTACCAATCACATTCCTAGATATTCATCTCCAGCCTGGTGGCCAGTTCACACACGACATACCTCCTGGTTTTAACAGTATTGCATATGTATGGAGAGGCTCAGGTAAATAGTAACATGACATACATCCTAGATTTAACAGTATTGCATATGTATGGAGAGGCTCAGGTAAATAGTAACATGACATACATCCTAGCTTTAACAGTATTGCATATGTATGGAGAGGTTCAGGTAAATAGTAACATGACATACATCCTAGCTTTAACAGTATTGCATATGTATGGAGAGGCTCAGGTAAATAGTAACATGACATACATCCTGGCTTTAACAGTATTGCATATGTATGGAGAGGCTCAGGTAAATAGTAACATGACATACATCCTGGCTTTAACAGAATTGCATATGCATGGAGAGGCTCAGGTAAATAGTAACATGACATACATCCTGGCTTTAACAGTATTGCATATGCATGGAGAGGCTCAGGTAAATAGTAACATGACATACATCCTGGCTTTAACAGTATTGCATATGTATGGAGAGGTTCAGGTAAATAGTAACATGACATACATCCTAGCTTTAACAGTATTGCATATGTATGGAGAGGCTCAGGTAAATAGTAACATGACATACATCCTGGCTTTAACAGTATTGCATATGCATGGAGAGGCTCAGGTAAATAGTAACATGACATACATCCTGGCTTTAACAGTATTGCATATGCATGGAGAGGCTCAGGTAAATAGTAACATGACATACATCCTGGCTTTAACAGTATTGCATATGCATGGAGAGGCTCAGGTAAATAGTAACATGACATACATCCTGGCTTTAACAGTATTGCATATGCATGGAGAGGCTCAGGTAAATAGTAACATGACATACATCCTAGCTTTAACAGTATTGCATATGCATGGAGAGGCTCAGGTAAATAGTAACATGATATACATCCTGGCTTTAACAGTATTGCATATGCATGGAGAGGCTCAGGTAAATAGTAACATGACATACATCCTAGCTTTAACAGTATTGCATATGCATGGAGAGGCTCAGGTAAATAGTAACATGATATACATCCTGGCTTTAACAGTATTGCATATGCATGGAGAGGCTCAGGTAAATAGTAACATGATATACATCCTAGCTTTAACAGTATTGCATATGCATGGAGAGGCTCAGGTAAATAGTAACATGACATACATCCTGGCTTTAACAGTATTGCATATGTATGGAGAGGTTCAGGTAAATAGTAACATGACATACATCCTAGCTTTAACAGTATTGCATATGTATGGAGAGGCTCAGGTAAATAGTAACATGACATACATCCTGGCTTTAACAGTATTGCATATGCATGGAGAGGCTCAGGTAAATAGTAACATGACATACATCCTGGCTTTAACAGTATTGCATATGCATGGAGAGGCTCAGGTAAATAGTAACATGACATACATCCTGGCTTTAACAGTATTGCATATGCATGGAGAGGCTCAGGTAAATAGTAACATGATATACATCCTGGCTTTAACAGTATTGCATATGCATGGAGAGGCTCAGGTAAATAGTAACATGATATACATCCTGGCTTTAACAGTATTGCATATGTATGGAGAGGTTCAGGTAAATAGTAACATGACATACATCCTAGCTTTAACAGTATTGCATATGTATGGAGAGGCTCAGGTAAATAGTAACATGACATACATCCTGGCTTTAACAGTATTGCATATGTATGGAGAGGCTCAGGTAAATAGTAACATGACATACATCCTGGCTTTAACAGTATTGCATATGTATGGAGAGGTTCAGGTAAATAGTAACATGAGATACATCCTGGCTTTAACAGTATTGCATATGTATGGAGAGGCTCAGGTAAATAGTAACATGACATACATCCTGGCTTTAACAGTATTGCATATGCATGGAGAGGCTCAGGTAAATAGTAACATGATATACATCCTGGCTTTAACAGTATTGCATATGTATGGAGAGGCTCAGGTAAATAGTAACATGACATACATCCTGGCTTTAACAGTATTGCATATGTATGGAGAGGCTCAGGTAAATAGTAACATGACATACATCCTGGCTTTAACAGTATTGCATATGTATGGAGAGGTTCAGGTAAATAGTAACATGAGATACATCCTGGCTTTAACAGTATTGCATATGTATGGAGAGGCTCATGTAAATAGTAACATGACATACCTCCTGGCTTTAACAGTATTGCATATGCATGGAGAGGCTCAGGTAAATAGTAACATGACATACAATCTGGCTTTAACAGTATTGCATATGCATGGAGAGGCTCAGGTAAATAGTAACATGACATACATCCTGGCTTTAACAGTATTGCATATGCATGGAGAGGCTCAGGTAAATAGTAACATGACATACATCCTAGCTTTAACAGTATTGCATATGTATGGAGAGGCTCAGGTAAATAGTAACATGACATACATCCTGGCTTTAACAGTATTGCATATGCATGGAGAGGCTCAGGTAAATAGTAACATGACATACATCCTAGCTTTAACAGTATTGCATATGTATGGAGAGGTTCAGGTAAATAGTAACATGTCATACATTCTGCCTTAATAGTAACTTGACATACCTTCAGATTATTCGCTATTGAAATTAAAATACAATCAATTTAATCAAACTAGTTCAAGGCAAAATTAATGTTGAATGCTATTTTGCCTGTTGATAATATCAGGCAATACCTTTATACTTGCAGGTGTTTTAGGTTCAATGCCTGCTCATATGGGGCAAGTGGGGCTGCTTAGTGAAAAGGGAACTGCATTTACAATGAAGGCAACAGATCAAGGTGAGAAAGTTTGGTGTTCTTTCATGAAATTTGTATAAGACCAGCCTTCCAAAATTGGTCAAAGACCTATGTACTGTATTATGAAAGCTCTACGATATAGAGCTTCAAGGACAGCTGCAAATTGAATGGCCACTTATGGACTCAAAGACCATTGATAGAATTGAACACTCAATAACTACTGGTAGATTCAAGGACCATTGAGACTGTCAACAAGAAATACTGCTAGAGTCAAAAGACAATTGATGTACTCGTGAAGTACTGGTACTGTAGATATAAATACTGGTAGATTTAAAGACCACTAATACACTCAATGACCACTGAGAGACTTATTGAATTGAATGTACATGATTGTATAAGAATACAAATTGTATATTGAAAACTTTATGGTCATCCCTCATACACCAAAAATATTCACTATTAGGAAATAGAAAAGAATTTTGGACAAAAACACCAGATAATGACTGAAATTGTTGAACACCCAATAAATCCCTCCTTTAACTGTGTTTTAGATTGCCATATTCTACTGATTGCTGGTGAAATTATTAATGAACCAATTGTGAAGTATGGACCATTTGTGATGAATACACAAGCTGAAATTGATCAGGTAGATGTCATATGGTTTGTTAAACTAAAATGAAACAGCAGGAGGGGGGGTAATCAATGTACTAGTGTAATGGTTATAGTTTCAGTAACTTTTGGAATACTTTCATAACGGGTGCAGTTTTTTTTTTTTTCGTGACATAATATTTCGATCAAATTCTACTTACACACACTCACTCACACTCACACAGATGTGTGATGTCATTGATTCAAAGTAGCCATGGGAATAAACCGTATTTAATACATCGGTTATGTCACTACAACATGAAATATGCCTTCGTTCTTGCCCAAATATAGAGCCTCCAAAGGTCGGCCTATATTGGCAGAACTCAGGCATATATCACATAGTGTCATAACCTCTAAGAATTAATGGCATTAAAATCTGTTGATAAAAAGTACTGACATTGGGTATTATTGTAGGCTGTAGCAGACTATCAAGCAGGACTACTAGGGTCTATTCCTGGCAAGGAGGAAAGACTTCAACAGACAGAGATTGCACTGGCACGACAGAGAGAATCTGGTACATGGACCTAGTTAAAACTTCTACATATCATTCTCGATAATCTGTGGTCTTATGTGAGAAACTGAGCAATTGTGAAATGCTCGACATTCCGTTGTGTAACAATCTGTCGTAAAATCCCAGGTTGAAAAGAAAAATATGCATTGGATTCACGTTAACGCGTTATGTAGTTATCAAATTTTATGTGGTGGTGTGTCATCTACAAATTTTGTTATGTCACATATCAAAAAGTGACTTATTGTTATCCCTCTCAGTTTTGTGCCTGGCTCCAGCAGTTGGTATCTGTAACATATTGTTACACTTTAGTAACTTTTTGTAACTATAGCCTTATCGTTTCTTGTTTTACAATTAATGTCTCATATCAGATGACAAGTATCATGTACAGTATTTGGATTGCACGATCTGTCTCTACTATACACTTTATTGTATATCATTGAATTTGCCTTTAATATATATGTGGCTTCAGGAATATGATCAGAATCAAAAGGTATGTGTTTGTGCCTAAGTATATACTCTTTACATATTTCATATTTATTCCTAATAAGAAGATCTGTGTATTTATTCAAGATTTTAGCCAATACTCTCTTTACTATAATATATTATGTACAATATCAATACTATATATCAGTACTTAAATTACAGACCACTGGTACATATTATTTAAGAATTGTTATATGGGATCAAGTACTAGATGTTTGAAAATCACATCCAGTGGACAAATAACTGAATTATGGATAACCAATGTCCTGATAAAATGTGTTTCATGGGAGATGACACCTCAAAATGGAACAATTGATCTCATTTTTGAATTAGTCATTGACTCCTGGATTCTCTTCAAGCAAAGCTCTAATACTGTATTGTACTGTGGTTCATCAGTTGCTTATTTTAGCAAAAAACGATGCAGTTGAATGAAAGTAAAGAGGAATGTAGCCTACTGACTAAAGAAGAATGGTATACATGTTCAATAACATGTACCAGTAATATAACTGACACTTAGTTATATATACCAGTTTTGTTACATGTATATGTTTAGATGTATGTTGAACTTCCAAATATGGAGAATGTAACATTTACACCAGAAATACTCATATTATAATAAATGCACCGTATCTTACCATGGGCTTTGAAAGTCAATGATCTTACATAGTTTTATGCATGGCCTTTCAATAGACCAATAGAGTTCATCAAAGTGGAATGTCAATGTAAATGTATCTGTTATATAGATGGAAATCTTTGTATTTTGAACATCTCTATGGAAATCTTATCAATTAGTGCTAAGTGGATATTTTGTTTTTGTTATATAATGTGAAAACAGTGTCAAAATGGAGGTTTTTGTGCTGTTTTTGGAATCTCATAATTTGTAAGATTTGTTGTGTATATTTGTTTTACTGTCCGGCCTATAGCCAGGGGGGGTGGGGGAAGGTTCGAGCCAACTTCCACTTGGCCAAAAATTCATGCAGTCATTTAGCATTCCATTCTGAGCACTTTTTGGTGATTTTGGGCCAAAGTTGTCAAATGTAACCCCCCCCCTGGAAACTTTTTGACAAGTGAACACCCTCAGCAAAACCTTGCTAGGGGCCTGACTGTATTATCTAGTTCTGTACTCTGAATGTAATGCCTTGGTCACATTTGCTCCGTATTTCACTACGGCGCCCGGCCAATTGAGTATTTTGTTCAAAATTGAATAAAATATTGAACAAAGCACTCAATCGGGCGGGTGCAGGCCGATGGATCAGAGCAAATGTGACCCAGGCATTAACAATCAGTTAAAGAAAACTTTAAGACAAGTTTAAATTTACAAAACTTTAATGTTCTCAGTTGTGAATGTTAATTTACAGTATGCAAATACATGTATCTGTTATATATAGCAATTCTAATTTAGAGATATTTACAATGCTTTCTCGGAAGCACTAACAGGATGCACCATATACATTATGGGAAATACTATGCTTTCTAGAGGAATACCCTGAACAACATAGTTCTAAATTAAATCTATATTGTGTAGCTGGTGTTTTTTCTAACATAGGCCAGGATTTAACTCAACATCCCAGTATTGAACACATAAAGCATGGTTTAAGGATACATGGACACCTCTGAAAGTGGGACAGTTTTCAAATTACCCATTGGTGTAAACTGAAACTGTTTTAGTGGAAAATCTCCCAAGTGGAATAGTAGTTTGAATTACCAAAGATGTTGCACTTACGTAGGCTTTATTGTACATCAATATTTCATCTCAATACATGAAGCCAACTGATACTGATTTGTTCATCATTATAATTGTAGGGGATATAAGGTATTTTTCTGGATTTGTTGGTGAAAGAAAAGAAAAGCCATCTCCACAATTTGACCATCTGTGTTAAGAAAACTTGTTTATGTTCATATTCTGTTTATGCAATTTTCATCATCTAGAAAATTACATTGTACCATATGACAAGATGTTAGTTGCCAGGTTTTTATGTCACCACCAAAAAGTGGTGACATATTGTTATGGTCTCTGTTTTTTGTGATGGCGGTTGGTGGTTGGCGATCGGCGGGTGGCGGTTGGCGGTTGGCGCCTGTAACAAATTCTTAAAACTTCCAATAACTTAACAAATACTGTTTAGACTGACTTCAATTTTTTTCTAAATCATCTACAAGTTTTCAGAAGTTCAAATCTGACTTTATATTTAGGATTTGACCTTCGGTTTGACTTTTCAAGGTCCAAAAAGGTCTTTTTTCAACTTGCTTGAAATTGATCCAATTTTTTTTCGAAATCATCTACAAGTTCTCAGAAGTTCAAATCTGACTTTATATTTGAGATTTCACCTTCAATGACCTTCTCAGGGTCAAAAAAGTCTATTTTCAAATTGCTTCAAATTGACCAATTTTGTTTTCAAAATCATCTACAAGTTCTCAGAAATTCAAATCTGACTTAAGATTGAACTCATAATATTGTGAGCAACTTGGTGGTGACATTTCATCATGATAATGCCTACTTATTAGTTCTTGTTGCTTGAATCGTACACTTTTTCGGGAGAGATGAGGTCAAGGAAACCTTCCCCAAAACATATCAGAGGTTACGCCCGGTGATCGTACAAAACGGATGGAGGGGGATTAGGCAATTTCTGCAAGAAAACTCAACAAATTTGGAAGTTTTTTATTTTTTTCAAGAGGAATTCCTATTCATTTGGCAATTCAGTTGTAAATTTTCTCTTGAAAAAATAGGCAAGGTAAAGAAATTGTTGTCTATTGACCCCTCCCTCTTATGTTATACCCACACAATATAAAAAGAGATAGGAAGATGGGAAAGAGAAATAATATTCCTCCAAGGTAAAACCCACCAACATCACCATTGGATTATATATTAATATTTACATTACAAAATAATATGTATTTTACTTCAAAATTGTATTTAAAATATTTACTTATATACATTTTGTCTAGACATGTTCTAGACCATTTATATTATATTAATATATTATATGCTATTATACAGTGCTATCATCGATTCAATAAATTTTACTGAGTGTAATTTATCTCTGGTGTTAATATTGCATTTACCAGATTAACAACAACCTATAACCAGATTTTCTCAAATGTATTGGTGTAAAGGAAAGCCTCACATTTGATCTTCGGTGGCCATAGCTTCACAAATTCGATATAGAAAATCTACAGTGTGCCGTTTATGCCCGTATTTTATCTGCATATTTCTCTAAATTTTGGAAACCAACGGCTGTCGTACAGTTGCCATAGATCAAATGTGACTGAGGCATTAGATCCAGTAAAACCTGTCATGTGGAATTGCTCTTTAAGTGGAACACTTTTCACAATCCCATAGCCCATTGACGTCATGTTAACAGAAGAACCTCTCCTATATGGAACACCTTTTAGTGGAAACAAGAGTGTTACACTAGACAGGATTAACTGAGAGTGTTCCACTAGACAGGATTAACTGTACTACACCATAGAGCATTTTATTATGATTTTGTAACAGACTGCTACATTTTAGATCCATTCACTTAAAATATTTCAGTATTCGCTATTCGTGTCTCTCCCACTTGTAGTCTCAGATGATTTGGTGACAGTATAAAATGACATTTAACAACATTATGACAAAGCTTATCTGTGTTTAAGACACAGCAAGTATCTAGTCCAAAGCTACATCAATGCGTTGCAGATTTGCTGCCTGTTCCAAATGGTGAAGGTTGTTGTCTTAGCCAAGGGGTGTTTCTCCTGTATCCGAAATTGCCATTGTATCCAGTAATTGGTTTAATACCTTGCATAAACTGGGCGTGCCCATCAACCAATTCTCTAGAATGACCTGGAAAATATAGTCCAATTTTGTAAGGTCAAGAGTAAAAGATGCAATGTTACCAATTCAACTTGTCTATGGTATTGATGAAGTAGACATGCTTTTTCGATTTTTCATTTAAGGGAAATAATACTATTTATATGAAAACTAAAAACATACCTGCACCAAATTGGTTTCTAAGGGAAAGATATTCGTGGCCAGCACCAGCTTCGTGGAATTTGTCCATGGTTTTACCTTCTATAGAGCAGCCTGTCTCCCCAGCCTGAAAAATAAAGAATTCTTTTAGAAATCACCTGTATAAATGATGATAAGCAACATGGTTTATGTAAGCTTTTTACATTCGGTTTGACTGTGGTTTATAGGTACATGTATGGACATGAACATGGATACCCTTGGATGCACAGTCATCCTCAAACAGCTAAATATTATACTTATTTTTTTACATGTAAGTGATGGCCAACCTATAGTGCTGATATGGTGATTTGTGGCCGAAAAAGTATTGACTTTACCTCAATAAAGTTTATACTATAAAAAAAAAAAAATAGGTATTATCTTGCAAGCAAAAGGCTTGTGTTGATATATATACATACATCTGTATTGGCTAGCCAACAACAGTAGAAACAAATGATGGGATTTATTAGAGTAAGGTAATAGCCCAAGATGAAAAGAATAGCACAAAGTGAACCATTGATGACATATAACAATACATGTGTATACTGTGAAATTTTAATTTCATATTTATTTGCAATGCATTTCCGAATTTCATCAGAAAAAATATAAATTTATAAAAAATTAACACTCTGTTTCGTTTAAAGATAATTCTTAAGAATTATAGTGTGTAGTTTTATACAGAGATAGACATTATATCAACTTGGTGAATATTTGATGATCTTTTAATGCGTCAATATCCACACTCTGTATACTAATGCCTACTTTGCCGTTAGAGACAATCGATTGAATGTATAGCTCTGCTAGCTATGATATAAGTAGGATCAATAGATAACAATCTATTGTCTAAAACCCCAGACAATTTCTAATTATCTCTCCAGCAGTAAGAAAAATATTTTGTAACTTATGTTATTCTTTCGGGAAATTAGATACACTTAGTTAATGTAGCTGTTTTTTGTAGTATTAAATGAGAACCTCACCAAACAATATGAAACCAAATAAACAAATAGAAAAATTGATAATTTATGAAAGGGATCGAGTGATTGAGCTCAAATATGTAACTTTCGTTACAAGTTAAATCAAATTTGTTGATTAATTAAGATTTATTATCAGATTTATTAAGACTATTAAAGTATCCTCACTAAGCTAATTGTCAATAATAAATAATCACAGTAACATTATTATCATATCTAAATTCACATTTGAATCTCTATTAAATACTTGAATAAAATCTATCCACCATTAAGTGAGGCGTACATTCCATAATTATATAATGTGTCTCATTTTGTTATAAATTGTTATGTTAGAGTTATCAAATTAAGCGCAGCTAAAGTACAATAGTTAGCATTTGATACTGATTTTTATAGCGGAAGATATTGTGAATTAATGTTTGATGTTTGTCATTAAACTATATTATCCTTATGTCATCTCAGCCTGTAGACATCTACTTTTCATCTATTTCCTTTGTTCTCCTTTGTTGTTGTTTCGTTTTTTATTACCCATATTTTTTGATTAATCACTTATTCTAGGCAGGTAATAGTTACCAGAACAATATAGTATTTATTATTTATTACAGTTTCTTGGTGAATTAGCAAATTGCTTTGCAAATGATCCGATTACGTACACGTAAAAAAATTAATCGCATTGATTTAAAGTGGCAATACAGCAAAGAATTTCAAATATCAAATCCTAATTTTATTAAATCAGCTATCTGATTATAAAACAGAAATTATTGAAGATACCCATTTTATTAGAACTGAAAACCACAAAAATCGAATAATCGTAGCGAAAAAGTTGGAGCTGTTGGGCCTCTTTGAAAATAGGCGCGATATGGAATGTTGCCAGCTAACATATTATAAAATTGTGACAATTAGTCTGTAGTCTTTGTTACATCTTTAAGTTCAATGAAACCAATTTTTAAGCCAATTCAGATTTCCTATAAATAATGACCAACAATCCATGGTGAACAAAAAATATAGTTTTGGTTTGATATTTGGTGATGGTTTATAGGGGTTTTCATTGTTTTGTATTTTTGTACCTGTTGTTCTTTTATTTAGATATTTACACTTTTGAATTTGATTTTATTGGTTTGTTAACAAGATACAAACATGTACCTACTTTAAACATTCAACATTTCATTTACCAGTTAATAACAATGGTAAAGGTATAGTATTTTTTTAAATGGCTCCATTTAATGAATGTTATACTACATAATTTTCTCTTACCTGTCCTGTCTTTTTTAATGTCGTATCAACACCTGAATAATTAAAATATGGCTTTGTGTGTTTGTCATTTTGAGAGTTGAAAGGTGGTACAACTGGTCCTAGTTTAGGGTTAGCCTTTGAGTAGTCCACAGAAATTGAGCTCACTGCATTTTGATCTAATGTAAACCCCCTTTCTTTTTCTAAAAGGTTCTCTGGGGGTGGAGTCCTAGGTGTTCTGTATATTTTATTACTGCTCCTTCTTGGGGATTTCCTGGGGCTTTTTTCTCCACTTTCTGACATTGTTTAAGTTCTGGTTTAACCCGTTGTCCTGTGTGACTAGTATGGAAGCCTTCAGTCTGCCTGTTTTGTCAATATAGTCCAATGTGTACTGTGTTGAATTGTTGATAAAGTTTGCACATGCTCAGTAGTAAAGTTTGGGGGTTGCTAAGGAGCTGATAAGGCTTTACAGTCCTTTATTGTTGTACTATGAGATATTGATTTAACTTATTCAACTTTAATATGCATTCAATAGGCTCATAGGGAGCTTTTATGTGTATGTACAATGTAGTCAGGCTATTTCTCTGGATCACATTTCATACTATACCACGAGATCTATTGATCATAAACTATTTATATTTCCTATACATAGTGTGTCCTTATGAATAAATCTGAAAACTTAATGCTCCTATTTCAGAGGTAAACTGTCGTGAAATTTTCTTCAGTTACTTTTTTTTAAGTTTTTTTTACTCAAACTGTTCAGAAAGAAATCCAGGTATAATTTTAATCTCCTCTTGCAAAAACCAATTTCATTATTTATTAATCAGATTAATTTATTGATGATAATACACAATCCTTGAAAGCAAACTGGTTCAGCTAAAACAAATATTTGGGTAATTTAAGAATATTAATTCAATTTCAATTGACATTAGTGCTTATAATTCACATGTAATTTATCTTTGGAGCTAGATGAGGTCAATTGTTTTCAGCTAAATCATTTTAGTATACAGAAATGCTCAAAATCATGAGAATTCAAAATGAAGTCATCCACTTTAATGAGATAAAATCATAATTCTTGGATCTTTTAGAGACTAGGGAGGGAATGCCTGAGCAAAACCATTGTAAAGTTTTGACATTTTTTAAGTTATATCTCAGAACGATCAAAAATACAGAGGATGTAAAATGAAGAGGAACTACCAAAAGAAGGGATTAAGTTTCTCCCTTATGTTAAGGGAAACTATTTACAGCCTTCAATCAGTTTGTCTTGGACCACTATTCTTAGAACATACTGAGTATCTTTATCCAAGAATTTATTGTTTTTAAAAAAAAGAATTAGCCCAATCAAATAATGTTGAGACAATTCAATGAAGTTTCTCCCTTATGTTGAGGTAAAATGTTTACAGCCTTCTATCAGTTTGTCTTGGACCACTATTCTTAGAACATACTGAGTATCTTTATCCAAGAATTTATTGTTTTTAAAAAAAAGAATTAGCCCAATCAAATAATGTTGAGACAATTCAATGAAGTTTCTCCCTTATGTTGAGGTAAAATGTTTACAGCCTTCTATCAGTTTGTCTTGGACCACTATTCTTAGAACATACTGAGTATCTTTATCCAAGAATTTATTGTTTTTAAAAAAAGAATTAGCCCAATCAAATAATGTTGAGACAATTCAATGAAGTTTCGCCCTTATGTTGAGGTAAAATGTTTACAGCCTTCTATCAGTTTGTCTTGGACCACTATTCTTAGAACATACTGAGTATCTTTATCCAAGAATTTATTGTTTTTAGAAAAAGAATTAGCCCAATCAAATAATGTTGAGACAATTCAATGAAGTTTCTCCCTTATGTTGAGGTAAAATATTTACAGCCTTCGATCAGTTTGTCTTGGACCACTATTCTTAGAACATACTGAGTATCTTTATCCAAGAATTTATTGTTTTTAAAAAAAGAATTAGCCCAATCAAATAATGTTGAGACAATTCAATGAAGTACAATACCTTTAAATCATCAAAAATCTACATTTTTGAAACCTTGGAACCTAAAATGGAATGAACTTTCATTGCCCTATATAACCTCCCATTTTAACAAGGTTGGATCTATCAAAGTAGGTATCAGCCTTCCATAATGTGATACCTTAAACATATAAAGTGTCTCCCCCCAGCCAAAAATTCTTTCAAAATCATACAGGTTTACCATTCTGATCGCTTATTTCAAGTGATTTTGGCCTTTTTTAAACCAAAATTGTCAAATGTAAACCCGCCTGGAAATCTGGTTACGGCCCTGTGCTAGGCTATCAGCCCTTCTAAAAGTGAAATATCAGGAAAAGGGTTATACTCATAGACCATAAAATCACAAACAAACATTTATATTTACATATTATACTGTTTACCTTGTATTGCTAACACTTCTGTGGTTACATACATATTAACATATTAAAGGTTGTATATAATAGAGTATTACTATTTTTACATAGATTTGTCAATCATTATTCCAAATCTTCTCATCAGTTTACAACACGGCATGCATATATAGCTATAGCTAGATGGATCTAAAAAAATTTCACTGGTTTGGCAAAATGAGAAACAAACATATTTATAAACTTTATGAAAAAAATCAAACAAATCGTACAAAACTCAAGTTATCATTTTTTTACGGATGATACAACCTGAAGAAACATTGACCAATCAGAGTTGTGCTTTAATTCACAAAGTATATATGTACTGTCGAACTGAACTCAGGACATGGTTTTTGAAAAAACTGTTACAAAATACTAAGCAAAAATAATGAACATGGATAAGAAATTACATAGGTAGAAACATACCATTACCCTTGCTTTCATTCCACAAATATTACTTCAATGAATTATAACATTGAATTGAATGCTGTGTATTTTCTATGTGGATAATGTACTTTTTGGATCAAATCTGACACTTATTAATTTTAGTTATAATTTCATATCATAATGTATAATGAATATCAACTATAGTATACTACTTACTGTACTGTACTATACTGTACTGTACGTATGGGTATTTAACATTGGATATATCATTCACGTGACAACATACTGTAATATTTTGCTACTGCATAAGTCCACTCACTACCCATCATCTCAGATGCACCTCTTATCAATTTCGATTTTGACCAGGATGAAGAGGGTTTCTAGGATTCAAACTTATGAACTTCTGTTGTTCCATTCGTGAACAATTCAGTATGTTATCATGAACTATGAACAATTCTGAATGCTCAATCAAGCGTTAACAATTCTGTATGTTCACTCGAGCTATCCACATATTGTTCAGCTGTTGATGTTGTCTTGTATAGTTCTTCATGGACAGGATCTAGAGAGTTCATTACGAGATGAATCCTTGGTTCCTCATTGGCTCTAACACCTAGTCTCATAGAGGCCTGATTTGCCGATATATCTCACCCACTTGATTACGTCATGGTCACTGTAATTAAGTTTGGGCTCAAACACTTTCAGGTAGCGAACCTTGAATCCTGATGGAGCGAATGGCACCTGGATAACATGATATAACATGAAATAACAAAAATGTTAGAGCATAAATGCTGCATTTGAACAAGGCGTGAATAATACGACAAAATATCAACACCTGGTACAATATTCCAAATGGTTGAAAAAATTAAACTATTTATTGCAGACGCTGAATTCTGGTCACCAAAATAATAGCTACAATATGTCATTAGTTGTACTATTAAAATGAAATGATCATGGTACAATTCTTAATTCTAATCATACGTTAACTTAAAGCAAAAATGTTTTAAAATTACTGAATTTATAAGTTGGCAAGATGTTAAACATTATGTTCTACTTACCTCAAAGTTCATTGATATTGGTGGCCTGGTCCATTTCTTCTTGTCATTTGTGTTAAGAAGTTCAATCTCAGCGCTGAGTTGGCATTCCTTCATACCTCCCATACGTTTGATCCTACAAGTGAATGTTGTACATACATGAACTTATTCATGTTAAATGTTCTCAGAATGTAAATCTTTATTCATTATTCCAGCTCGTTCAATGTAATTCTAACTGAACAATTCTTACAATCTGTACAACAGGCCCATAGCCAGGAGGGGTTCGATGGGTTTGAGTGAACCCCCCTGGCCAAAAATTCTTTCAGAATCATGCAGTTTTTCATCAAAAGTGAACCCCCCCTGGAATTTTTCAAAAAGTGAACCCCCCTTGGCAAATCCTGGCTACTGGCCTGCACTATGACATCACATTTGAGAACTTTGAGATAAATTCAGATTTTAGTATAAATCTTTGTACAGGCACTTAAATATTGCTTATTTATATGCATGTAGTTTTCCCTGTGGAATTGGGATATCAATAATATATAAAGGCTTTGTTAAGTATGATCCAACTTACTTCCATACGATTGCATTCTCACTGGCCTTGTACTTGGCCTTGCCCTTCATACAGATCACTTGGACACCACTTGTGTTCAACGGGGTTGGAATGCGCACCTACAATACAAGACAATACGCAATGATATTAATTGGAATTCCTAGCAATCTGACTGTTTTATTTTATTATGACGTCACTATATCCCATGCTTTATCATCTAAGTCATCGTTAACATTTGAGTTCAACGCTGGTGGAATACAGACATGAAAAACAAGACAATTTTTATACATTGGGGTTTGATTGCATGCCTATTAGACCTTCTAAAGACAATATTACATGTTAGTGAAGCCGAGTAAAACATTACATGTACACCTTAAAAACAGGATCCATATAGGAAATATGAACATTTAAGCACATACCTCTACTCTTTGTGCTAGCAGCGAGGGTTTGAAGTTAGATTTCACGACAACTTTGACTTCCATCTTTTGTCTTCCAATCTCTCTTACCAGAGGGATGACACGGAAGGGTAGACTTATGTCCTTAGTTGTTCTGTATCTGTAATGAAATATTATCTTTTCTAAAGGGAAATTCATTATTTTTCAATTTCCTTACATTTCATGTACCAGAAGATCCACGCCAAAAAAACATATCCATTCAAAATGCTAACATTGGTGTGGATTACAAATTTTATCTGGAGGGATAACATGTTATGACAAGTGAACTATTGGTCTTTCCTTCACACATTTACATGCATGGGGGCTTTAAGTGGTATCCATAATCTATACCCCCACACTGTAGCCATCACACTATGGGCCCTTGACCATTTGGACAGTACCTTTGTAATAAAGCAAGCCATTGGTGTTTGTATTAAATCAAGCCGTTGGTCTTACCTCATAAGTTCATATTCACCATCAGGGGGAATGAAGCTGATGCTGTGCTCTGTCTCAAACTTGCTGAGCTTGACACACTGGTGGAACTGGCAATCATCTATGGCAATGGATGTCTTCCCACTACTAGAAATATAGAATATTGTACATCAATACTGTGTATAAATTGGTAAATAATACATATGTACATGTACTTGGTCATATGCATGTGTATGCATCTTCATGTTTAATGTGATATAATAGACTTTTATACACACAAATCAATGGCTCCTGAATACATATACAATCAATATAAATCTTGCGCTTGTAACTGTACTTAACCCATCATACATGTACAAGTACAGATGACCACGAGCTCTATTATTTTGTGTTCTAGTTGATCAACATTTTTTAAATCATTCATGAAAAAGATACATGTCTCAATATACATTATATTTTCATGTAATAAGATACAGTATAAAACATCTACATATATATCTTTTTGTGATAATAGAGAATTTAAGCTCGCAATGTTTTTCACAACCTAAATGCGGACGTAAAATATTTAAGCGATGCATTTGTATAGGCGAATGGTCATATGTATAGGTTGGCATTTCGATTTTAAACTCCCTAATATCATATGAATACTGTTAACATGGTAAATACAATGTAATATGTTATTAAAGATTTATTTCTCTTCCCTGCACAGGAAATTTTCCTTCTTTCTCATCTACAACCAATAGGGGAATGTGCACATTCAGCATATTCTCACCTTATATACAGTAATATTGCAATAAAAAGTATGCACATTCATTCTCTGATAAAACCCTTTTCGACACCAAGCCAACAATTAAGATACCTTTAACCTCTTGAATACCCAGATTGACGGATATATCTGTCACAAATAAAATCCATTTGGAACCCAGAGCGACAGATATATCTGTCACATAATTTTTCATTAAAACTGCTCTAACTTTGGAATGTATGTAATGGGTCTATGTTTACTATTCTTATAAAATCAAATATCAAACATTGTGTTTTTAGATGTAAATATCAAGACAACTGGCAGAAAATGAAAAATGCTCTGGTTTCAAACCCCTTTTAGAGGCTGGTATTCAAGAGGTTAAGCAAAGTATGCAAAGCATTTGTAGAGAGAGGCTTCAGAAGCGTTGGTCAAATGACAAAGTTTTTTCTTAGTTAGGAAGGGATTGTGATTGATTTCGAATACCTTTGAGTTGGGAGGGGGGTTGGGGTTGATTCTCTTCTGATGTCGTTAAAGCAAATTGCAGTTTATCAAATCCCATGCAGTATTTAAATATTAAATATAACAATGTAGGGACACATGGGAGGATTCTCTTTCTATTAGCCCAAACACAACATGCAATATATCGTAGAAGTGGAAACTTTGACGTAACAGAACTTTTGGCGAGATGGTCCCTAAAACACTGATGCTGAATAGTATATTGACCAACATACAACCAAGGACTCAATAATATTCACTGAGTTATGATCAGCATTACAGTATTTCTGAAGTCAAATATTGGGAGAGGCTCCCAACATTACAATATTTCCAAATTCGCCAACCACTTTCTATATGACAGAGCAAGACACACAGTGATAAATATCGCACTTTGGAGCAGAGCAAAAATGGCCACCATGTAATTTACCCAGAATGCCCAAAATGTAATCAGATCTCGGTACGATTCTCTTGCATCTGTAAACATTTCAAGTTGAATGGATAAGTGTTTTTCCTGGAATTTTGATGATGAAATGCCTGGCAGTACAAGATGGCGAGAGTTTTATAGTGCAATAAAAATTAGGTCCCTGAAGTTTAACATTGGTGTAGCCTAACTTCTGTAATTAATGCATTCATTGCTCATGCAATAGTACACTAGGGGGCAAATGATACAGAAATTTCTGTAATCGCATGACCCCTACTGTTCACACACTGACAAGTTAAATATTGTTAAAACATAACATTTTCAATGAAGATAACTAAAATATAAACAATAACATTTGAACAATAGAACAGTAGAACAGAAAGTTGGTAGCATATTGTTAGCATCAGCTGTTAGAGGATCTGCTCTAAGCCTCAAGCTAACCTACCCTCCTTTACTGGTGTCACTTAGCACCTTGCCTTTACTTTCAGTAGCCACTTTATCATTGATTCCAAACTTGCACTCAGGCATACCAGAGAGGTAGCTCTTCATGAGAATCTTGCCTGCCACATGTGAGCTTAGCACCTGACCTACAAGAGAGACACAACAGCAATATGAGGACATCTAGTATGTACAACTTCACCTACCCCTTGCTAGGATCACTTGAAACTTTTGCCTTGCTCTCCATGGATACTTTATCGTTGATGCCAAATTTGCACTCAGGCATCCCACTCAGGAAGCTTTTGATCATGATTCTTCCTGCGACGTGTGCACTGAGGACTTGGCCTGTAAGTGCAAGTAGACAGACATTCATACAAGTCTGGAGTCTAAAATATAGAGAAACTGGTAGGAAGAAGACAGGTTACACAAAGAACAAATAGACCAAAGAATAAATGCTTGAGCAAAGATGGTGTAGGAGATAAATTCCAGAGCCTGTTTCTCAAAATAAAAGAACATTATATTCTCAAAAAGCACTGGAGTAAGTACAGCACTGTCAAAAATTTCAAAATTACATGCCACCCTATTTAAAATCTGTTTGCACCCTGTTGTAAGATGAAATATTAACACATTTTGAGCAAAATAGTTATAATTTGAAGCCACAACCCTGTTAAGGTCACAGATCGCGATTGGTGAAATAAATTATGTTACCATGACAAATGGTAAAATGAATGGTGTTACCATGTTAAATTGTGAAATGAATGATGTTACCATGCCAAATTGAGAAATGAATTGTACTTCATGCATCGTAAATTCCAGATAATTCAAAACAACTTGAAGAATTTTAATCATGGGTGAAATATTTTACAAAACTGAACATGAACCAAACAAATGCAAAAATGTCCAAAAAGAAGTTCCCAATAATTTCCTGGTTTCCACATTTCTATGATATCAGAAATAAAACACAATAATAAAAATTTAAAAATAAAATCTTACCAATCTGCAGATTGAGAATTAATATAATTAAAAGAAAAACATTGGTTCCTCGTGTAACAACAACAGGGTTTGTCACATTATTGTAACAAATACAATACAGGGCCATTGTAGATGAATGGCAAGATACTGACCTTGTGGAGACATGAGGAGATTCACATTCTCCAGGACATCCAGGAAGAGTTCATTGCGTCGATATTTTATTCCTTCACGTCTCCATCCAATCTGGCCTGTTACCTGAGACGTGATTTGACTGGTTTCTTCCTTAGTCTAAAAAGAAAAGAACAAGGTTACTCTGCTTGAAGTTTGATTTTAACAGATTTCAATATCTGATGCATAAAATGGGACGATTCTGACAGGCTCTGAAGGGTTAAACTTACAACAGGAAGACACATTAAAATAAAGGAATGTTGATTTCTCAAAAGTTAAATATTTGAAGTTAATCAAACAATGTTCATCTTCCAAATACTTTTTATATTCATTTACAGTGTTCAATTAAAATTAAACTTTTTCACATTTTATTCTATCATATACAAGGTTAACGACGTAAGTATATCTTACTTGTGAACGGACACCCTGTTGAGTGATAAATGTCTTTAATATTCCTGTGTCAGAATTCTGGGGATATCCAAAGTCTAAAATTTCTGAAATAGTAAATAAGATATGGTGCACCAATTCGAAATGAACTTGAATGTTAACAAATTTTTTATTACAGTGTATTAAAGGTTGGTTTGGATAAAAATGTGATCACCATAACTAGGATGACACAATACTTTCATTTCCTACACATTTTCAGAGTAATAGTATTGAAATTTAGCATGATAAAATAACACTATTTAAACTTACCATCTAATAATTCATAAATTAGTACAAAGTTATTTTTTATATTTTCTTCTGAGACTTTTCCGAAGTAAGATGACATGACTTCAACAATCTTGTTGAGGAATTCAAACACCATGCCTGCATTGACATTCTGCTTTGTTACCGCTGCTACCCAAATGTTAGAGCGCTACAATTATAAAAAAAACATAGTATATTGATTCATCTTAAAATAGGTTGTTTTCAAACGAGCACATGAAATTGAAACTTCATAAAGTTAAGAATTCATAAAATCCATAACTTCGATGTCATTATATCCATGGTTTCTACAATTTATTTATGACTTCGTAACTTTATGAAATTTCAGTTAATGACCCCCAGCTCATTAAGTTTGAAGAGTAACTAGGTAACACTAAACACATAATGGCTGCTTTATATATGATTCATTAACATAGAAGCCTTTAACAGTTTAATATATTATAATATTCATTTTACTCACCTTTATATGAAAAAAGCTTGTGCGTGCTATATTGTTGACTGGTGAACGCACTTGCTGCCGTGCATGGATAACATTGACACGGAATGCATCAACTGCATTGCGTCTAAAATAAAACATAAAGAAACTTTTCAATCGAGTTACAACACTCAAAGATTACTCCACAATATATTGATCTTATTGACCACATTTGATTGCTATAAACTATTTAAAGCCTTAGACAATATAAGTAAATGTTAAGACTAACCCAATGTCATCTCTGTAGACTCGGGAGATGAGGACCTCCCCCTTGTGATTATAAATAAATAACCCTCCTATCATGTTTGCATCATCTCTGTACTGTAAGAATAAAAAAAAAAGATTTACCATTTAAATTCTAATCTCATTCAAGAACATGCGTGAACATTGTCACGGTCATATCAGGCTTTAACATTACCATGGTCATGACAGGCTATGCAACATAATATAGCATTGTCACAGTCATATCAGGCTTTAACATTACCACGGGCATGTCAGGTCTTGCAATATAGTATAGCATTGTCACAGTCATATCAGGGTTGAACATAACCACGGTCATGTCAGGTCTTGCAATATAATATAGCATTGTCAGGGTCATATCAGGCATTAATATTACCACGGTCATGTCAGGTCTAGCAATATAGTATAGCATTGTCAGGGTCATATCAGGCTTTAACATTACCACGGTCATGTCAGGTCTTGCAATATAGTATAGCATTGTCATGGTCATATCAGGCTTCAACATTACCACGGTCATGACTAGTTCAACAAGTTAAACCCAATACCACGGCTTTCATTTATTAATCTGACTGTTCTTGTTGACGTGGTTGGGTTTAACTTCCGTGCTATGCTTTCATTTGTTGCAAATTCTCACTATCAGTTATTAATAAAACGCGCATAGAAATCCATGCGCTGGCAAAGGCCACCATTAATTTTTTTGCATCAAGGGCCGTATAGGCACGGATGTTAAGGACAGGGTGCATGTTGGGAAATTTTCTGCATTCCTCAATTGAGTCACATGTTATTTTTCAAACATGAATAACTCCTTCCCCACATTGTCTACATCTTCCAAGTTTGCACAAAGAGTGCACTTCTGTGCCTAGAAAAGCCTTGTGAGAAGGTTTGTTTTGTAAAATGTATAAAAAATGAGAAAATTCAGTGAAAAAAATTTCTGAAAATTTTCTGATTTTTTTCACTGAATTTTCTTGTTTTTTATACACTTTATCAAAACATTCTTCTCACAAGTCTTTTCTAGGCACATAAGTGCACTCTTTGTGCAAAACTGGAAGATATAGACAATGAAGGGAAGGAGGGATTCTTGTTTGAAAAATAACATGTGACTCAATTGAGGAATGCAGAAAATTTCCCATCATGCACCCTGACCTTAAACCTAGGGCGGGCCACAAACTATGTCAGATAAGAAATAAGGCCCAGACTAGGTTTAACTTGTTGAACTAGGTCATGACAGGCCATGCAATATATAGCATTGTCCCGTTATACAAGACTATCACAATAACACTACCACGGTCATGGCAGGATCCTTGCGAAACTTAAAAACACTAAATAACACGGTGACGGTTGTGCAAGGCATAAGTCTTGCAACAGATAGGGTCAAGAAGTGATACAGGAAAGGTGATTCAGATTTTCACTGCCCTAGGGACTGTAGTAAAATGATGGTGATGCCTGTGCTACAGTTTGAGGTTTATGAGAGAACTTTTATTAGAGACCATACTCCAAAGAGAGGTCTAGATGGCTAGACCTATAGCCTAGACCTAAAAATATAATGGACGGAGGGAGTAGAAAAATCGATCGAATATTTCCTCATTTTCTAAAGAGCTACTGTTTTCTATATCAATAAGGCTGGAACATAAACCCAAATGGATCAAAATCAGTGAGTATTATGTAGATCTATCTATCAGCCACAGACTTACTTGAATTTTTTGACAACTGCCTGATCTATAACTGTTTTAGTGATAAATTAAAAAAAGTGGGAGTTTACTCACCAATGGCGGACCGACTCGGTAATTTCCGGTGAAGAATTTTACATAAAAATTAGAATATTTTTTATAAACTGATTAATCCGTTATGCTAATATAGACTAAGAAATAATTTCTTGTTAAAATATACATGAAATAATTGCTTATAATAAATTATCGATCTCCGGAATCATCCGAACCATATCACGTGATCTTCCTCTTTACCAAAAAGTCGACATGGCTCCAGTGAGTATTTTTATCTCCGAAGATTTTGCTGTTTTCTTACTACCTTTCCCACTTTTGCATGAAATAAAATGTAAGATGGTGTAATGACATATCATGCACACGACTGTCATATTTTTTCTTGCTATTCAATCTATGTAATAAGAGAAATCAATTGTTTTATCCACGAATTTTTTCCCTCCAGATTTCCGAACTCGATCCAACATGATTTTTTCAATCCCCCATCGAAATCCAGTGCCATCCGTTCGAACTGACATCTCATTCGTTACAACAATTATTTCATCTTACAGCTTCTTATTTTTATAGTTGTTCATATTTCGTCTTCGTGTTAAAAATGAGAAACTATTGAATAAATTAGTCAGGAAAAAGTGGAAACCGAACTTAGCAACTTAAAAAGCCACAAAGCAGCCGGCCCAGATGGGATACAAGCAAGGGTCCTCAAGGAAGCTGCCAAGGAGCTAGCTTCTCCACTTGCCATACTGTACACTAAATGTATGGAACAGGGTGAACTACCACGGGACTGGAAGGATGCAGTAGTGACACCTATCTTTAAGAAAGGAAGGAAGTCATCCCCAGCTAACTACCGCCCAGTCAGTTTAACATGCATTGCATGTAAGATTATGGAAACACTGGTGAGAGCAGACCTGTTGGACCATTTGGTGTCAAACAACATTTTGTCAGATGATCAACATGGATTTTCCCCCTCCCGTTCATGTTGTACACAATTGTTGACAGTACTAGAGGACTGGACAAGTATACTTGATAGAGGAGATCAAGTGGACTGCATATATTTTGACTTTAGCAAGGCGTTTGACTCCGTGCCACATAACAGAATGCTAGAGAAGCTGGAAAAACTTGGAATTGATGGGAATCTACTGGCCTGGTTAAAGGCGTTTGTACTAGGCAGGAGGCAAAGAGTTCGGATCAATAATAAACTGTCCGATTGGAAGCCAGTATCCAGTGGTATACCCGAAGGCTCCGTGCTCGGGCCGATGATATTCATACTATATATAAACGACCTCCCAGAGACAGTACATAACACTATCAAGATGTTTGCAGACGACACCAAAGTGTATGCCACCGTTAACTGCAACGAAGATGCCAAGAAGTTACAGGAGGATGTTGACAGTCTCATGAAATGGTCGGCTAGGTGGCTGCTCAAATTCAACGAAAATAAATGCAAAACCATGCATCTGGGAAACAAGAATATTAATAAAGATTACTACATGAATGACACTAAAATAGAAAATGTTAACGAGGAGAAAGATCTTGGAGTCATAATAGACAAAGAACTGAACTTCCATAAACAAGTATCCATGTGTGTTAATAAAGCAAATCAGATCCTAGGAGCAATGAAGCACACACTCACATACAGAGATAGTGACATATTCATAAAGCTCTACAAGACCTTAGTTAGACCCCACCTAGAATATAACAATGACCCCTGTTACACAGGCCAGTTGAAATGCTTCGTTACGAAGCAATTTGACAAAAAGCTTCGTAACGAAGCAATTTTGGGCCAGTGTAACACCTCCGCCTTCGTTAGAAAAGCTTAGTTGATAACGAAGCAATTGAGTAGAAAATTCAACGAAGGTTAGGTCCCAACGAAGCTTTTTTGGCCTGTGTAACAGGTAGCTTCGTTAGAAATTGCTTAGTTGGCGGTTTGCGCATGCGCGTAACAAAGAGCACATTCATCATTTTGTATTAAATGAGAGGAATTGCGAGGAAAGAACATGTTTTTAAGTACGTATCATTATAATGCCACGTTTTGATTAAAATAATTACCTATTTGCGTCACTGATTGACGCTAACTCAAGCCCTAAACGCCACGTACAAATGTGATTTACCGTCTTTCGTAGCATTTCATTCGATTCCCTGCCTTTCCTCGCATTGATATGACAAAAAGTATTAAATCTAAAAGACTCAGGTTCACCGTATATATGTATACGGTAGCTTTGAACATGTTGAAACGTTTATCTGATCTATTTGAGAATAAACCTAGAATATTTAAATGTCCCTCTTTCGGAAAACTCCGTCTCAAGTGTGGAAGGGTAAACTTTTGAAATTACATAAGATATGCTTACTAAATAGAAAGTTGTGGCATACATGTTTAATATTAATTTTTTCTTGCGCCTTGAATAATTATACCTTGAATGTAATTCTAAAGGTGTTAATACCATGATACTGATACAATTGCTTCCCGGTGAATCACATCAGGTGAATTTAGCCGATTTGATTGATTCGAAAATGTCTCTCTTCAGAAATCGTATTCAACTGGCTATCGCCCCATTGCAATACTTGTACTAGTCGTTCCATTATTCTATTCTTCGACGATTTTAAATTGTAATTGAATTTAAACTTCATGTTTAAATATATTGAATTAATTACGTTTCAAAACTTCCGTATACAAATACGGTAAAACCACCTGCGGACAAGGAACGGTGGCCAAAATTGTTTCGTGTCGACAGATATTTGCCACAGAGAGGCTGCATGTTTTAGGCCAGCCCCAAACACTATTGATGTGTCGTAAGACGATGCTTACAACTGATATTCAAGTTTCTTCCTATTTGCGCCATTTTCGAATTCAACGGACGGCTGATGGATTAACATACTAATTTATGTCAAACTCACTCAAATATGCATGGAATATTGGCGAAACGGGTAATATTCATATTAAGATGAATTGGTCATGAAATAGTAGTTAAACCACCAGCCGAACACCAAGATATTTTAGTAATGGCTACACTATTTGAAATATACTGAGAAGTCCATTTGGAAATTGAACGTTTTTATACGATATTACATACTAGTCCTCTGTATAAACCCCAAATCCAATTCCTCCTAGTAATTAACATAGGCCTATTTTTATTCCATATGTTTTCCAAAGGAAATGATTGAAAATGAAAACAATACTTGACATGTGTACGGAATGATCACAGAGGTGGCGTTAACGCAATTTTTTACGTTTTTTACTCACATTTTTGCAACTCTGACGCAAATATTCATTGTCTACCGAGTCTTTCTGACGCACGTTTGTTTCACATGCCAAATCCCCGCTTGGTACTTGGTTAAATTGATCCCTATATGTGAAAATACGTGATTGATCAAATTTATAATTTTGCTAATTCCGGAAATCTAAAATTTCGTTCAGCGCAATTGAGCCTCCTTCCTACCGATCATTTTCTCATTTCGGTATTTCATATAATTTTTAAAGCCCTGTGATTAAGATTCAATGATAAACTTGAAAACATTGATCGATCCCTCGATTAATTTATCTCGTGAAGCACGTTGCTAGGGGGCGTATCAAAAATGCAATAAAACGAACATAACATTGAACAATAATTTATTAATTTCATACTCCCTTCTAAGGATTTTATTGATCGTATATTTATCTAAATTACCGCATTAAATCTTCCCTCGAATGTTCACACGCTAGATTTACGAACCTTTAGTTTCCTTCGCAAGTTCGCAAAATTCCTTAGCTAAGTTAGCAAGTTTCCTTGAGCCGTCCCCTTCATCAGCATGCGCAGATGTAATGCGCAGTAGGTTTATCAATGGTGCTCACAGTGACCGATCTATCGTAAGTTTTCACCAAGTATTTTCAATTAACTCCCTCAAGTTAAGATCTTCGATTCACTAGATCTGAAGCTGATCCTATGAAGATAGATAATGGGCACATGAAAATCCAGTCGATCGCACATTAAGGGGGGTAATGATGATAAATTAGGTATGAAAACAAATTTACTTTCGGTTTCATTTGATCAGCTATAATTATAAGATTCTACCGTATTCAATTTAAATAATGCCCAGTATTGTTGTCGGTCTTATATTGCCGTTTTAGACTATGGAAAGATTGCAAAAATGTTGAATTTCAACATGAAACGCTTCGACCCCAATTTGTGTAACCCCACACAGGGAGAAAATCCTCTCCCACTCCATTCACACCCATGACTCGCTGGACCAGATAATCAGATGATTAATAGTGACATTTTTCTTGCAATTGCCTAATTAATTAATTGTTAGTTGTTAATGTGCTATAAGAGTACAATAAAAGGTATGCATAAAATCAAAAAATAGATTTTGTATGTGGTTTCTACATTTTGTATGCATTTTTACTCAAGAAAAACACTTTTATAGCTTTGACTCAACTTTTTTTCTTGTGACTCACTTTTTTGAAACTACCTGAGTCATGATGACTCGCAAAAATATATGCCTACCGCCACCGCTGGATCACATTCATCTGGTTTTATTTTCCCGAGAATTTTGATCTAGTCTTTTTCTGTGCTGAATTGTTAAAATAAAGATTAAAAATTATATTTTTGAGTTTCATCAATTGTTTATATCAAAAGAATAAAGATATTAATCATAATAAGTGGGTGGGGCAGATGAGTAATGCGCACGCGCAACGAAGCATTTTAAGTGCAGTGTAACACCAAATAATTGCTTCGTTAGGGTTGGATAAAGCCAGTGTGGACACAATTTTGTCGCTAACCTTCGTTACAAAAATGCTTCGTTAGACTCAACCAAGCAGTGTAACAGGTACCAATACAGTCTGGAACCCGAGATTTAAAGGAGACATCGACAAAATTGAAAGAGTTCAGCGCAGAGCCACAAAACTTGTCACTGGACTGAACGATAAACCCTACCCAGAAAGACTTAAACAGTTAAAACTATACTCTATGACATACAGACGGAAAAGAGCAGACATGATCCAGGTATTTAAAATTGTTCATGGTATTGACAGAGTAAATGCAGAGATATTCTTTAATCAGTCAACAGTGAGATATACAAGAGGGCATGACTTTAAACTATACCAGGAAAGATCTAGGCTCAATCTTAGAAAGCACTTCTTCTCCCAAAGAGTGATAGCAGACTGGAACAGCCTGCCTGAGAAAGCAGTATGTGCGCCAACCCTGGAAACCTTTAAGACGAGGATGGATGATCACTGGAAGAGGGAGCACTATATGCTATAGGTTTCTTTTGTTTTGGTCTTGTTCAATGAAATGAGAAGCCAGGTGGCTTAAGTAATGAGAGGACAACATCACTGGCTTAGTCCACTACGTCCTTATGATGATGATGATGATGATGATGATTAGTAGTGAGGGGATGACATTGTAATTTTTGTATCGCAGAACTTCAGTATTGTTTCTGAAGCCAAGCGATGAAGAAATGTACACAAAGATAGGTTCATTGTTGAATTCTTTTCCTTTGTAGTGATATCTTAAAAATTGTCTCCAAGATTTGATGGTTTGCTTTAGAAATGTACAAAAAACTTTCTGTTTGCAGGCAACCAAGAAAGGTGGCAAAGCTCAGCCCGTGAAAGGCAAGAAGAAGAAGACCATAAAGAAGTTCACAATCGACTGTACCAGACCTGTTGAAGATGGTATCATGGATGCCTCTCTCTTTGTAAGTACCAAGATGGTCACATAATCCTTTGTCAAATCAAGTTGGTAATTCTGAAATGGTCACATAATTCTTTGTCAAATCCAGTTGGTAACATCTAGCATCATATAGGCCTACCTATCACAAATTTGATTTCAGTAATCATCCTTGGTGTATTTTGATGGTGATCCACATGTATTTTAAAGTGTACTGTTGTAAACATGCATTCACAATAACTGATTCAAGTGTTGTGCTAATGACTCGAGGATTAGGGTTACCTTCCCTAGTCTGGGCTATTAGGGTTATCTTCCCTAAAGGGCCTTTTTATCTGTCTATAGGAGAAGTTCCTGCATGAGCGCATAAAGGTCAATGGGAAAACCAACAACTTTGGAACCAATGTGAACATTGAGAAGAACAAGAACAAAGTTGTCATCTCTTCAGACATCCCATTCAGCAAGAGGTAAGAAAACACCAATCTTAGTTGCCTGTCATCATAATACATAATCAAGTGGATGAATGGTCAGGCCTACCTATTATACATTTTCAAAAATCAATCAGAATTAAAAAAAAAAACTGTCAGCTAAAGAATAATTCCTTAAATATTCTGTTTACCACCATTCACCATTTCACTGTACTCTTGCGGTTTCATCAGCTAGAAAATTCTTGTCCTAATTAATAAGCTAAATCAAGAAAAATTGTTTTGTCCCAACCTTGTGCAGAATTTAAATAACCAGGTAACTTAAGTTTCATTGGTTAAAAAATTCTATTTAAGATATAGGATAAATCAAGAAAAAAATTGTTGTCTCAACTTTTTGTGGTGAACTTGAAATGTTACAATCACTTGAATAAAACCTGGATATGTGATGGATGCTATTTAAATTGTTACAGATATACATAGCTATTTTGACTATTGCAGTATGTTCCCCCAATTTGCTAGTATGCCACTGATGGACAATATATTTATAAAATCGCTCTTGTTTTCAGATACCTCAAGTACCTCACCAAGAAGTTTCTGAAGAAGCACCAGCTCCGTGATTGGCTCAGAGTGGTTGCAGACACCAAGGACTCTTATGATCTGAGATACTTCCAGATCAACAATGAGGAAGAGGAGGAAGATGAAGGCGATGAATAGACTATCTAATCTATTGTGACATCATAGACAGTGGATATATAGTGTCTACCTCACACACGGAACTTTCCAGTGTTGTATGATGTACTACTAGCCTCATTGTAATAAAAAGAAAAAAATGTAAATAATTAAATCTATTGTTGGATTTATTAGGTGTTCAGGACTAAAAGGTGCCTACATTAACTTAAAGTTCCATTGAAAAAGTCTATTGACCTTTTCAGTATTTTGCTGAAAATTATAAATTCCAATTTATAAATACATGAAATAGGCTACAGTGGTCTCCCCAGCATTAAAGCAAGTGGGCTGAGATTTTGAAAATAGGCTTGCGCCCACCTGAAAATAATGAAAAAATGGCATATTTTGACCAATTTTGGTCTGAATTGTGAAAATGAGGATTTTGCACCCACTTGAGAGAAAATCCTGTGGAGATCACTGGGATATGTTCATCCCACAAATTCAAAGTTGTTTTTCCAAATGTGAAAATGCATGTGTTCTGTATTGCAGAGCCAACAAAATTTTCCAAAAGGCCTCGGCTTAGTGTCCTGTTTAATTTGTTAAAGAACCCCCATTCTTACCATTGACTATTGATTCTACTGTTTTTGTATGAATCTACTTGTTGAAACTCTATCAACTTGAGATCTGAAATAAAATGAGGATTTTAACAAGGAGAATTGGAAGCTGTTATTCAAACTCATATTGTCCAGCATAGACCAGTGGTAACAATATTACTCGTATTTTGAAAACTAGAACTGCCACTGAAACTTGAATCAACCTATATATGAGGTGGAAAATGCCCATGTCATAAAATGCCATGGGGTATTCTCCACTGACTTATGCATATTAGGGATGTCATCATGTGGATAGAAGCAAATCTTGATTATCTCTCTAGCTAGAGAAACACAATAGGGAGTATAGGTATTATGGTACTGATTCCAAGTACTGCACACGCTGGAAGTGTTATTTTACCTCACTGACATCTATTTGTCATGTTTGTAAATCTATATCACCTACAACTACATCTTGTATCTGAAAGAACTCTCATACTCTAGGAACATGAGGAATATTTTGTTAATGTTGAATTAAAACGTATAGGGTGTGACAAAATTAAAAGCAACAATTGAACAAGTATTAGTATTCCTGGCGATGTCAAATATCCAAAAGATTGCGCCATAAAACTCTTAATTCTCCCAAATAATGACAAGGAATCATGAGCCCAAAATATTGCTAAATCTGGTACTTCATTGATATGTCCTCCCATGCATGCCATGTCAGGAAAAGCATTTGTTTGATGCGTAAAATGACACCTTGCCAAATATTATTTAGAAATATTTAGTAAATACTAATGCTTCCAGTTGTCTTCCAACCCCGTTGTTGTGACATTTCAAAAAATCTCAATTTTCATATTTGGCTCAACAGAAATCTGACTTCAGCGACCAGAAATTGAACAATTTTTTATACCCGCTTATGCGTCTTAACAGTTTTTAGGAAGTCAGTTTGGCAGATCAGTTTAACTACATATGATTTATGAATACTCGTTAATTCGACTCCTAGACAGATAATTCCAATATTTTCTCTGATCAGATGGGGCACGTTGACCAGACAACTCTCATCTCAAGTTATCCAAGAAATTCCATCTGTTCTCTGTATCAAACCGTATGAATGACAGGCAGTCTTCCAAGCAATGTTCCTGAAGGTTATATTCATGTAGTAAATGTTGATTTTTTCCTGGGAAAATTGCTTAAAACATGTAGAACTGCAGGTATCTACTTAGATAATCTGCAATCCAGTTTTAGCATGTTTAGAGATGGGTTATAACCTAAGTGGCAAGGGGGCATGTAAAACTGTAAGAACAATTCGGGTGAATTATTTATTGAAGCAAAAATTTCATTTCAATTTCGAGGTTGGATTGACAATCAATATTTTTTCTTCCAGATGCATTATTTTCAAAATTTATAAGGAAAGAATTTGAGGAGGGGCATTTCAATTATTTCCAAATTGGACAAAATACATACATGTAGATCTGAACTTGAAAAGAATAATGTCAATGTTCTGATTATATGAAATACTTGTTTTCAACTAGAAGGGATGATTCATTCTGCTGCAACCCCCCCCCCCACCGATCCATATATTTCATGACACTTTTATGTCTTCATAAAAATCCTGAATAACTTCTCCATTTGACAGATAGTTTGGGAATTTGGGTAATTTCTAACAAAGTTCTTGCAAAACATGCAATGAATTTTTAAAGAAGCATCCCCACCCATCTGTGTTCCATTTGCTGTTTGCCATCGGGGTATCACGTGCCCTCAAAGCCCATAGAATAAGGCACATTAGGTTACTCAAGTCAATGTATTGCACTTAGATTTTTACTAGACATACCTATAATTATTTCACTGAAAAATTGAATGTTCTGCATTAATGTGTTGTTCCTCTTCCCCAACAGGCTGGAACTATTTTTGATTGCATAACAGCTGCACTTTGAAAACTGGTTCATAAAAAAGTGCATATAAAAAGCAGGGTGTATCATCAAAACTATAAAATCACTTGCTAAGTTGCTACACAGCTTCACCTTTACCCTGAATTCCCATTGGCTCATCATATCATCCTCTAACTATAACATGTGATTTTGATACTGATTAGATATTTACGATCTCAAATGGAACTTCAAGAGAATTTGAATGTGACATGAATATTTGATACTCTTAGCTTAATAGACAGAAAATGTTTTGTAGTTTTCTGTCAATATGTTCTGATTTAATATTTAATTAAAGAGTGTTAAGAGGTCTTTTGGAGAGGGTACTCAACTTTTACATATTTTGTTTTCTTTGCTGTTTTTCGATGGTTCTTAAGATTTATTCTAACCTGATGATTGCGGACAACCCCAAAGAGGATAAAATAAAACGTAATGGGAACATGTTGAAATCATTATCTCTTATCATAGATTTACTTTTAAAGAAAGACATAGAACCTTGCTAGAACTAGTTTTCATAAATTGGTGGAGATTTCACTCGATTTCAACGTTAATTTTCATATTCGACTCAATAGTTTTTATCTCACAAAGTGCTAAATTAGAACTGTAAAAATTAGTATCTACAATAAAAAAAATCAGGTGCTCGTGCTTGGCTTGCTCAGAGATATCACCTGTTAGTATTGTAAGGGCTAATCAGCCTGAAGTAAGAACCTTCAGAGAAGATGCCACATTAGGAAAAGTGAGGAAAAATTGGGAGCGGGATATCATTTGCTCATTACTGCACTGCTAAATGAAGTTTTAGCAGAATATAATGATCATTGGGTACTAAAACATAGAATGTACTGGGAAATTATGGTTGCAACATGATGCACTAATTAACAATTAAATTAAATGTAATTATCAAATAATGATTATAGCATAAAATATAAATGATGAACATCTGACAAAATCAGTATAAAATAAAACAGTCTTACAAGTTCATCACGACTCAGACCATTGGCAGTTGGCCTGGACAAATTCCAAATGAATTTCATTCGAGACCATCGCAATCACAATCATACAAACAACACCCAGATAAGAGCAGGTTACATGTGATACCTTTAGCATTAGTTCACGAGAGTCCTGAGATCATTCCACTACAAGTGCTAATGCATAGGATGAACACCTGAGCAATCGCTTCAAGGGATATTCACATACACATATCAGTTTACCGCGTAGTAATACACCGTGTATCTGTATACTGATTTATAAAGACATTTGGGGATTATTCATTTAATTGAGATATCTTATTTCTATCAGTGCCTGAGTAAACATTCCGTCAACGTAAAAGTAACAAACTGTGAATGTTTCAGTAAAGTTTTCTGATGGAGCAATTAAAAGTTAGGATCGTTAGCTACGATAAGACAGACATTGGTTACGACTTGACTGTGCCCAGTATCGAATAACCATCAACATTATTTTGCGTTATAAACGAACAACCAAACACAAACTGTGACTTGAATTAATGGATTGTGTTTACTGCCTAGGGTTTATCATATCTTACAAGTAAAGTCAATAACAGGATGAGAAAACTTATTGACTAGTGAGATAGGCAACATACAAACATAGTGCTTTAAACATCTGTTTATTACATAAAGGTTAATTAGCAGTTATGGCACTTTGAAATAACAACGGGAATGAACCAGTGGAAATCTATTAAGAAATACATTTCAAGATCTCTCTCTGTGACAGAGAATAACAAGTCAAACATGCCAAAACCAATTTCTGGAAAGGTTGTGGCATCCTTTGAGACAGAAAATAAGTTTGTCTCGAGTTTAGCGACCATGGCTTCAAATGATATTTTAGTCACAGAGGACTACACTTTGAACGTGTACAAATCAGGGGGAAAACAAGGAGGACTGCTCAATGATCGGAATGATAAGGTTTATCCATGGAATGTTGCGGTGTTTCGTTTTGTAAATGAACACATTGCGATGACTTGCTGTGCAATGAAGGATGGCATTAATGAATGCGTGAAGATTTATAATACGAGGGGACATCTGTTGAAATCATTTGGCCAGAATTTGATACATCCTAGGGGATTAGCTGTAAATAGTCACAACCAGTTTGTAGTGACCGATTCCGAATCTAGAAATGTATATATCTATGACGCAGATGGTTGTTTGTTACACTCTATTGATCACATAGACTATAATGACGAAAAGGTTTTCCAGCACCCTCTATATGTGGCAATTAACAACTCAAACTATGACATCATTGTGTCAGATTGCACAGCTGGTTGCGTTAAAGTATTTGATTGTGACGGTCGTTACCGATTTACATACAATGGCAAAGGGACACTCAACCCAAGAGGGGTGTGTAGTGATAAATTCGGGAACATCTTTATTACAGATTGGCATAGTGACAGTATCCACATGATTAACTCCCAGGGACTATTCCAGCGATGTATAGTGACCAAGAATGATGGGATTGAAAAGCCCCAGTGCCTGGTTGTGAACGAAACAGGAAACTTGGTTGTTGGGGAATATACTGGACACATAAAGACCTTCAGCTATTTATCTAAAATGTCAAGTGTTTGAGATACTCTAAGTGGCAAAATTTTTGAGAGTATCTAATACTTGTATAACAGTGAATAACGCTTGTGTTCTTGAGATAAGTCAAGAGTTAGTCAGGGGATAGTTACCAAAGTTACCAAACATTTCCCGTGTACTAACACGCTTATTTGCATGCGTGTAAATTGATGAACTGTGTTAGTTTAGCAACGAGCCCTTGTGACCCCGCCCCACTACAGGGCGTCCACAAAACCCAACTTCAAAACAAATCTATTAGAATCCTGGGCAGTTTTTTAAAAATACAAAGGTAGCAGTAAAAAGCCTGATTTATTTTTCATCAAATGGTACCTAGACCATGATGTAACCATCATGTATGACTGAGCAATCTTGACCATTATGAGATGTGGTAAAATTAGCACTGTGCCATGTTACCTTCCTGTGTGGCAATTGATGTGTAATTGGCTTAGTATTCTTTTTCTGTTATATTATGTTAGAGGATGGGCCTTTTGGACTGGGGACTGAGTAACTCATGAAAAAAAGTTTGACAAAAAGCTTAACTTATTCTAAAATAGGCCTGCAAAAATGGTTCAACTGACACCTGAACAGTAGAGCCAACAAAAAGTTCTAAAAAGCAAGGCCAATGTACTGTTTATAGAACCCTCATTCTTACTTTTGAAATTGAAATGTATTTAAGCAATACTGTCTCACATGAATCTACTTATTGAGACTCAATAAACTTGAGTTCTTCCGAGAAAATGAGGATTTCAGCAAGGGCTATTGACTTTACATGGGGATACAATTGACTTCAAAGCTGCATATCATCAAGTAGAAGTTGCTGATCAAGAGGCTCCTTGGATCCAATTTCGCGAGAGTTATGCAAAAGTGTGAAGACATGGAACATTGAACAAGCTTGAATTTAAACATTAGTAATGTTCTGAACACAAAAAAAACATTCACTGTGTCATTCCTACTTGAATGCTAACCTGGCACAGTGCTGATTTTACCACCTTTCATAATGGTCATGATTGTTCAGTCATCCACGACAGTTACATAATGATCTAGGTATCGTTTGATGGAGAAAAAATCAGGCTTTTTACTGCTACCTTTGTGTTTTAAAAAAATGCTCAGAATTCTAGTATCCTGGCTTTGAAGTTGGGTATACTTTTTGTGGACACCCTGTACAACAATTCAAAAGGTGTTAAGCCAAGGGGGTCACAGAGGCTTGTAGCTAGACGATGTGGTTTTCATGTCTTACACCAAGTTAGTCTTGCTTCAATACTGTGGTCCTGGCTCCCTATCTAAACAAAACGCTTTTTAGAGTAGATACTCCAGGCTCTTGAAGCAAGACTAACACCAAGTCTCTGCTATATAACATAACAGTAAATCTAGAATTTTTTTGTACAATACATTTTTGGGTGTATGTCAGTGCCATGAAATCAAAATTGTATGAACTTGAGTAAACGCAAAAAAATAAATTGACAACTTCACAATATTTAAAAGCACAATTTAAAAGTTAATATACTTCAATGATGCCACGAAGAACAGTCATAAATCAAGGTGAAAACTAACAAGAGTTTAAAAATGTTAGGCCATCAAACCCAAAAATTGGGCCCAACATTTGGAAATTTAGGTGGCCATTTCTTGATAATTTGGCCTAAAATTAAAAATAAGGCCCAAAAAGGCCCATACACGTCGCACGAAACTGGGGACAATTGGCGTAACATTATGGCGTCAAAAAAACAAAACAAAACAATGAGCAGTATCAAGGGCGTAAACAGCCTTACAACGTCAAAAACGACAAGCGTCACATTTTTACAAGTTTACTCAACCTAAAAATAAAATACTTTATCTTTATCTAATCTTTACAAAATTTACAGGGTAGCAAGATCTCGAGGACAATATTTCTAAAATGTTTTTGAATTTTGAAAAACGGTCAAGAAATTTATTTGGGGCGTTAGTAAATATTGATATGTATGGAATTTGTGGTACAAAATCGATGCGTCACATTTTTTCAAGTCTAGAAAACCAGCTCTTATTTTAATATTATTTGCAAAATAGACAAACTGGTTATTGTTTTGTAAATTTCGCCATGACAATATTGTGCAGTTAATTTTTCTTTCAAATCAGACCTAAATTAGAAGGTTAAATGAAGGTAAACTTATTGCTCGTCCCATTCGCCTTCAAAACCTTACACAATTTTTAAATTTTTAAAAGCGTTCGTTTTAAGATAATTTGAACTGTAGCCGTCAAGCAATTGTGACGTCATAAATGCACATGTTCGATTGAATAAAATGTGAAATTTTAGTGCGAATTTGATCATTATTTCAAAAGTTATCCCAATTTCAACGAGCCCCGTAAGCGCAAAGTGTTACGTCTTACAGCGTATTTGACGATGTCGGGGTATATTTAACTTTAAAAATATGTAGGATCCCATCAAAATTTTGAAGGAAAAATAATTTCACTGAAATGCAAATAAAAAATACTTCAAAAAGGTATATAAAACACCTAGTTAAGTTTTTAAATGAGGCAGAGATTAACGCTCAAAGCTGAGATCAGCCCGCATTTCCCGAATTGTCCCCAGGTCCTTGCACGTCATACCAATAATTTTTTTCTGAATCCATCTTAGGGGTGCGGGGCAAGTTTGTCTCTTTCATTGCGAGTGATTTGAAGAGATTCGTGGATGTATTCCAATTCGAATATTACTATGCATACTAACAGGTAGGTAACACAATGACGCGTTTTGGGCTGTGTAATGGCATAGGCTTTCAGGAGAATGGTATACAACTCTGTGTTATAAACATGAGAACTTCAAAGTGAGCAGTGCCTTGCTTCTTTTTTTGATAAATGTTTATATTTTTAGTATTATCTTGAAGAAAAATCAATTCGGGATGTGATTCAAGCATAAAACATTTTAATCCCATTTAAAACTAAACAAAAAAGACTGATAAGAAAAAGAGGCATCAAAATGCTCGAACTCCCGTGCAGTGATATATCTATACCGAGATACTGCATAGGAGTTCGCAAAATGCTCTCTTCAAATGTTGCATTGTGGGTAATTATTCAAGAACACATTCCAATAAAGATATTATTTGTGGGAGAATGTTCACTTTCATTATTGCCACAGATTTTATTTCTTAAATAATTCATGAAAAGTACAAATTCGATTTTTCTTGGAATGTGTACATGAAGCATTTTCTCCAATTTTGAAAACCCAAGGCAATACTTGTGTATAAATTATGGGAAGTTGCATACCCTTCTGTTGAAAACCCATGGTAATGGCTAGCTTGACGACTGTGTATTTCAATGGGGTTTTACATAAATCACTATATCTTCCTGTACATTACAAAAACAATCTTTAGTTCACACTATTTTGGAAACCACGGTTCGCTGAAATATCAGGGATTTATCCAGACGTGTACATACGGTAATTTGCATTCAGACCCTTATTTCCCTGGACGTCCATGTTATCCAACGGAGAAACATTTTTTGCCGTTTTTGGTAAGTTCAAACGATTAAGATTTGGTTTTCACATACTTATTCTTGTAGTCTTTATGCAATAAAATCATTCAAAAATATAGACATTCTTACAATTTGAGCTTACAAAAAGAAGTTTTAATAATAATAGTTGACATTGCGTAGTAAATAGTTTACAAAAATATTTTACTGCTTAATAATAGTTTGATTAAAAATACAGTTGTTGCAGATATGCTATTATAAACATGTAAAATAAAATTTATTTGAATGAGCTTTTTAAAATTATAGTTAAACTATTATTTTCGCTTCTACAGCTATTATTTATGTCTTCAACATGAACGACAAACTATTATTACGCAGCTTGTTCATGAACATTTTAGATGATGAAATCACCGTTTTACAAGTTTATTTCTGATTGTCATCGTTTCTGATTTCCAGTATTTGCTGACTTAAGCTTTAAAGAGGAAAACTTCAGTTAATGGATACACCCGGGTGTCTTATGTAACATGTGAAATGCCTACCAGATAACAAACAGCCAATCAGCTGTTAGCAGGGGATGTGGCTTAGCAGTAATGGGTTATTTATAAACACAAGCACATGGCATTTTGTTGCTATGATTCATTCATTTATATTTATATATCCTAATTTCCCAAACATCATTGATTATTGAACAATTCATTGTAGATATTTAGGTTATAATTGTTCATCAATTATATCTAGTATATTGTTTTCATTTCTGCAAAGTTTGGTGTATAGTCATTAATCCCATAGATGTCCCATATAATCAATTCCTCCAGGATTGGGGAGCCATCCACGCACAAGTCTTACTATACAATCTGGCATGATGTCTCTTCTGTGTCCATGATATACATATAAGTTTCTCCTCGCATCCGTCTGCAGTGCCAATTGTTTTTTTGAAACATATCGAGGGTGCCTCCATGCACCTCTATGTTGCAGCATCACCCAGAATTTTTTGTAACATTTTTTTCTAGCTGTTGAATTCCTTTCATGAGGCTCACTGGTTTCTGTTTGCCACCACAACTGTCTAAACTGTTCTGATGTGCAACACGGGGCACAAAAACAATGTGGGCATTCATCAGTACCCAATACTGGTGGAAATATCGGAGGGCCCAATGGATCATTATCGTCACTGTCTACATCCATGTCAGTTTTAGTCTCGACTGGTTGGCTTGATTGTTCACTATTTTCACTTTCCAAATGTTGCTTTAAATCTGCAATACCAGCTTCTTTCACAGTGATGCCACAATGCTCTAAAAATGTTCGTATTGCAAGTTCTTCTGTTTCATCAGTCCATATGGCAAATATATAACGTTTTGCAGACATTTTTGCATGGAACAAAAAATGATTATAAGTAATTGTTTATATGCTGGTTCTGATAAGAGTTTTGAATATACTGTTTATAGATAGTGGGGATGGTCACATGAGATTCTACTTCTAATACAAGTCAAGCTAAGTTCAAAATACCATATTCATTCTATCAAAATACTTGCACACTTTTCAGGATAATGCAAACCAGCAAAAATAAGTAGTTTGGGCACATTTTGGAACACTTATGGTAATTCATTAGAAATTGCTAAAAGAGCAGTGGTAGGTAAATGGGACCTTATGGCTATGTGTTGACAGACTTATGAAGACATTTCACAAGTGTGTATCAAATCAAAGTTAGATTATCATCATTCAAAGTCTTTTTCAATGGCAGATCCCTTGATCTTTTAGTGTATGTTCCATGGATCTGTAATCTTCATCCCATAATCAGACCATTACTTGTAGATTAGACCAGCATGATCACTTGTAATGTTCTGGATAGCTACCTCCTATGGATCATCATTATCTAACCGAGGGTGTACCACTTGGTACTCCACTTGATTAGCTACACTATAAGCTATAATAATTAATATAATAGACCATATAAATTCACATTACTCTATATCAATAAGGCACACAAATGAAAGTTGACATTTTTACTAGCCATGGATGAACACATTCTGATGACCCCTTGGATTTGCCTCATGTCTCCGGACACCCCCCTCCCCAGGATCACCCAAACTTAATAGTAAACTATAAGATCTGACAACATGAGTAAGGAATGATGCAAGCTGGATGACAATAACTTGTTTGACATTGCTTAGTTGCCAAATGGTGCGGGAAGTAAGATCATTCTTGCATAAAAATGAAATGACTAAGTTAATATTTAGTTCCATGTACAAAAGTTACTTTCCTGTGTACATTTACAATTTCACCAGATCATTGGTAAAACTGAAGAGAAGAAATCTTATCAAATGACACATCCCTGAGAACAAATCTGTCAAAACTCAAAAACCAAAACCAAGCACTTTATCAGTGATTTTCTCCTGAATAAGACATATCAATAAGCATATAAGCAAAACTATCAAAGAAAATGAGTGAAGAAAAGAAATTCTCTAATAAGGGGTTGACCTTTCAACTCTATTTGAGAGGAAATGAAGTAAGAAAAAATGAAGTTCTTAGAAAAATGAGATTCCTCAAGGAAAAATCGCTTTCTAAAAAGTTGTCAAATAACACTGACGTAATTGAAGAGGCCCTTGATTTTTGGATTAAAAATCATTCAAGAGAAACTGAAACGGCACAACCAGCATCGCAATTGGTCATCAATCAGGACTTTGTACCACTTCAACCATTTTCCTCTGTTTCTAAGGATGACACAAACGAATTGATGTTTTTAACAACAACAAGTGCCATAAACCTTCTTGTAGCACAATCGAGTCATCACCAAGAACTATGTAACTCCACTCTTCAATGGGAGAACAGTACAATGCATGGGCACGTCGCCATTGCTAATCTTAGATGTGAGCATGGACATAATATAAGATGGACTTCATCCCCATACATGGCAAATGCTCATTTTCTTGTTAATTATAGAGTGTTCCATGGTTATATTACATCTGGGATGATACCTTCAAAGTATGAACGATTCTCTGAAGGTGCTAACATTGGCACCATGTCCCAAAGCTATTTGGACAATCTTACAAAGGAGTTCGCCAATATAATTAAATCTTTGAAAAATGAATCATCTGAGAACGCTGTCGAGTTGGAAATTGGGATGTATCCAAACTTAGAAGAAGGAATTACCATCATGACAGATGCTAGACACGGTTGCAGAAAGAACGCTAAAGACTGTGATATAGTTTGCATTGGTGAAAAAACTCATCAAGTCTTGCATTCAATCCATGTTACAAAGAGAGATGATCCCTGTTCACAGCGACATGAAACATTCGGCACACGCAGAATGTACGATGATTTTGAGAGGCAAAATGTGTCTATTGGTACACACGTTCACGATTGTAATGGTGCTGTGAACTGCCTTGTGAGAGATACTCAGATATTTACGGACAACCAAAATGACTCATGGCACGCCTGCATTGCTTTAAAGAAGCAAATTCAAAATGTTGCATCAGGGCCCAAGTATAAGCATGGTCAATCATGGCATGCTCAACTGGAAGATAAACCAGAAGCAATAAGGAAATTTGCTTATACAGCCATGAAAAATTGTGGCGAGAATGCAGAAACATTGAGATACATGCTGGCAAATATGACTGAACATTTCCAAAATAATCATCAAAACTGTTTTGATCAATCTCGCTGTCGACTAGATCCAAACTATGAACCAAGTACAATTGTTGTGAGAAACGATGTTGCTATTCGACTATTAAATGATACAATTAAAAAAAGCACAATCTATAAAAATGCACATAATTACACAAAGGCGCTTTCAACAGCATATGTTGAAAGTTTTAACAATACACTAAACATGTTCCAGGATAAACGGATTTACTTTCAAGATATTCAATATGAAATGAGGACAAATTTAGCTGTATTATACTGGAATGAGAATGTGGACAGGGCTTATACAAGCTTGTTCGAATCAGAAGCCCCAGACATTCCCTTCAAGCACCCCAAAAAAGTTCTAACAAAACCAACATATTCCTTCAGAGAAAACATTTGGGAAAAACTGATTGAATCAGTTTATACCTAGAACCAAAGGATATATACAACATTGAATCAAAACATATTTTGGATTTTTATATATTTGGATATTCATCTTCAGTTCTGGATTACTTGAATAATGGTCATGAACTGGTAAGTAGGCACATTTTGTCTATCACTTCATAACAGAACCACATGCTTTTGTTTACTTGTCATGACCTTTGACCTGAGAGCATAACATATTATTGGTCAAGTTCAAATTAAAGCCACATCCCACTGCGAATATTTAATGAGACATTTAAAATATTTCTTTTCAAGTTTGCTTGAAATATACTGGATAATATTGGAATATGATTCGACATTTCTATTCTTTATGGTTTAATACATAACTGTTAGAAATTTGGATGACTGGAAGTTCCTAGAAATCATGATAATGGCAAAAGCAAAATAAATTTACTGGTTTCAGTGATTCAAAAATTTTCAACAGCCATAATTGGCTGTTCCAGCTCTTCCATCTTCCTTTTATACCCGGTTTTCCCCTTTAAGGTCTCATGGAAGTTAACAGGAAATGACAAAACAAAAAATGACAAAGTCATGCTGGATTTTGAAAATTTTTTGAACCAAGATAACAGAGTTCTGTTTGGACCTCCAGTCAGTTTAACTAGTTCCACATATCATTTACATGACTGGGAACACAATTGAAATGGTCAGAATGACCATAAACATGATAAAATAACCTTTTCAGCCCTCTGAAAATGTGACTGAAAAATAGCTAAAAGTAGGTGCTCAGGAAAGGTCAATCAACAGAATCTTTTGATTTTTTCAGAAAATGTGTCCAATATATTGCTCTAAATGACACAATCTTTGAAATTCAAAAAAATTGTCTGAAACAATAATGGCTGTTGTAAAAAGGAAAATAGATCGATTTTCAATTCAGTTTTTTTAAATTTTTTCTAAGAATGATATCAAATTTGTTTAAATTGTATCATTTAGAGCAATATATTGGGCACATTTTCTGAAAAAGTCAAAAGATTCTGTTCAGTGACCTTTCCTGAGCACAGACTCTTAGCTATTTTTTAGTCACATTTTCAGAGGGCTGAAAAGGTTATTCTATCATGTTTATGGTCATTCTGACCATTTCAATTGTGTTCCCGGTCATGTAAATGATATGTGGAACTAGTTAAACTGACTGGAGGTCCAAACAGAACTCTGTTATCTTGGTTCAAAAAATTTTCAAAATCCAGCATGGCTTTGTCATTTTTTATTTTGTCATTTCCTGTTAACTTCCATGAGACCTTAACGAAACTATAAAGTTGAAATATGGGGTAAAATCGTTACCGTCCATATCGACTCCAATTGATTGTGTATGGAGATTCAGGACGTCAACTCAGAAAATCCGAATGCACCGTCATAGATTGTGTTATGCATGAATAAATTGCTGATGTTTTATTGAAATGTTATCTGAAGATTTTTTCAAAGAAAAAAGAAAGTGATTTTTGTGAACCCCCATTGGAATATACAGTAGTCAAGCTAGCCACCACCAAGCCTAAAACTAGTTATTACGTTACCGACCTGTGATACTACCATATTATTCTAAATCCCGATCATGAGATATCACCATAACTGGAAAATAGATGGCATGGGCGATATGTTAAACTAGTACACAGGCATATCTTTGAAGTCATCAAAATAGAAGAGGTGTTGAAAAGGAACCTTGAATTTACATTTTAACCATTATGGATATCTTTCCGCCATTATAAAAATAACTTAATAATGTCAATAAGGTTAATTGACATGTGTACATAGACGTTGTAGATTACACCTCCATATAGGTCTGTAAATATACATAGCATATCTTTCTCTTTCACTTGCTCTGACACTTATATTTGATTAAGATCATTTGATAGGAGGGGTGACAATGATGGTCACTTTGTACCTGCGTACCTGCTCTAATGCCCATACATGATCAGTGGTATGTCTACTGTCACTATAAAGACATTGTTAGCTGTGAAAAAAATTCGCAAAATTCTGAAAATCTGAGATTTACTCGATCTCTAAACCTTATGCAAATCATCATGGTATTTATTGACTGGCAACAACCAAAGAGAAACAAAATACACGGTTTGTCCCAGGTAAAGAGAGTGAAGGTGACGGCGGGGGGGGGGGGGGGGTGGATACAGTCTTTGAGCAAGACTAAATCATGGCCTTCTATTACACTTTACTCATTTTAATCTTGCACATAATAGAAGTATTCCAGGTGAACCTGCAATCATGTTAGTGGCTGTCATATCAGGCGAAGGGTATCCCTCCCAATTACCCTTTCTACCATTACGAGTCTGAACATAGGGAATCGAAGATATCTCTTGAAAGCCCATTGTTTTACATAATCCGCAGTACAATTTTCCATGCGAAAAACGTAAACTCATAATTACTGTTTATACAGTACTATAATTTACATAAAAATCTCACATAGAAAGCTTGATAACAGATGGCGGATGGCAAGCACATCTAATCATCCATCCATACTGATTGTGCCAACTACCCTTTCACAAACAACTTTTGCAGTTTGCCCTTCTTATCGAGAATAATTTCATGCAATCCTGACTTTTTAATTAGTCAATTGTGCTATATAACAACTGACGATGTCTGCTTTGGAACATCTCACTATTTTTGCGGCCGATGATCATCAAAACTGTCGGAAGCTGGTACCTCAGAAGGTAAGGAAGGCCTTGTTATATTTTTCTCTAAATAAGGGCTAATCTGATATGAAGTTGCTATTTCAAATAATTCACACGTAAGATTCTCATGAGAAGGTATTTCTCGGTCATCATTCAACAGTCATCTTCTACATGTATCTTTCTTCATAGAATCTCATGTTTTTGATGTCACTACGATTTCACGAAGGTGAGATTTCTGGAAATTGTTTTTTTCGAACTCTTCATTCGAAACTTGTAATATTCCTTAAAAGGCGTCTTCATTAAATTGAAAAAAAATTGATACTCAATCCTCATATAACATCAGAAATAGTTCATAGAACATAGAACATTCAGTCTCAAATGATGTGGGATAGATGAAATCCAGTCTCGAAGTCCATAGGCAATTCAAAGGATCAACATCTATTCGCAAAGCCGTCACCAATCCATAAAACACAATAATTCACAATGGTCATTAGGAGAAAACTATGGTTAGTTTCGATCCCTATATTTTTCAATCATTAATGCCATAGCCGGGCATAGCATATAAAGTTATTTAGATTCAAAGTGCAAAAATGAAAATGGTAACCATATTTATAGACACATGATTGCATTAATGTAAAAATCGTTACTTTTCCTCAAATAAAGTGACAATAGGCATGTCAAGGAATGATAATTATGAGCCCAGATATCCTCTAAAATTGAAAAAATGTTCGCCAAGATCATGATGATGATTTTTATGAATACTTGCTAGATCTGATTCTGTCTTTAATCATCCTCACTCTCAAGATGCTCATTGATGTTTTTGTTGCCTTTAACGTGTTATCTGAATGGATATTACCAATTACCATGTGCATTATATCGATGCCATTTTAGAGTCATGTTGATGCTTCTGGTCACTCTGGTAGCTGCGTGTGCAGTGGTGAAAGGTAAATAAATTAAAATCAATAAATTATTAAATATTTGATATTTTAGGGAATTACATATCCGGCCCAAACATGAGTGAACAACAAATTGTATACAATCTTATATTAAAATGTTCATAACTGTCTCACAATCAAGCAAAACTTGGGGCTCATCGACTTAATTTTTATCTAAGAATATAGTAGTAGCTTGAACAAATGAATCTACATTTACCGTCAGACTTATATAGCTCTTTATTCTTTTTATCGAACCGTTTGTTATTATTTGTTTCTGATAAAATAAGATTTGCGTATTCTTTTTCCAGGGCAAACCACAGGGACATGCCCTAGCGTTGTAGGTTTTCCCAAGAATGGCGGGGGAGAGGTGAAGTCGTTGCCTGACACTGGTGGAAATTGGGCAAATCTTATGACTGATAATGTTTTCCCGTGTAATGGTGTCGTGAAATCATGGACATATTATAGGTATTAATAAAATGAGAACAACGCTCATTATACTAATACTACATATGTGCTATGATATGTTAAAGGCAGAGTAGAATGAATGGTTTATGTGAAGGATACATAAAATGTCGCACCACTAGACTCACCTAAAGAAATGACTAGATACGTTATGATATTTAAAGTGTCCCACCTCCTTTCATTTAATTGCAGAACAATAACTGATTTAATATGGCCCTCAGTGATATGATATGTTTTGCTAATACTTTCCTCCTCAGGAACAACCCTACCGATGCTGCCTTTGTGTCTGTATGGAGAATCGTACAAAATGGCGTATTCAAGCTTATCTTTAAAACAGAATTGCCAGCAACTACCGTTGGAAAGCATACAGTTCCCGTCAGTCCTGAGGTATTTACACATATTTATATACAATGCACTCCAACAGCAATCGAAAGGTCTCGTTTTAGGTATTTGAGTATGTTCAAAAAGAGAGGCTCGGCATTCTCCGTCAGATTGAATCGGCAAAATTCGGTTGTATGGCTTAACTTCGGCTGCATGACCAACCTCGATTGAATGGAAAAGATGCTGTCCCATTACCCTGCGTGCAGAGTCTAGTTAAACTACACTCTGCCTAGTAGAGACCATATTGCAGTTTAGTAGCCCCGCCCCCACGACAGGTACCGGTGACAGTTTGGGTAATAAACAACTTTTGACCTACACGCTGACCTTTCTTCCACCAATCAGCGAAACATGTGCCAAATGCGTTCTAATTAAATATGCGCATGTCATTGGCTCAACGATGACGTCAGAAGGAATGACCATATATAGAACGTCGGTCAATTTTGGCCGACGAACACTGATTGGCGCGGTGAGTTCACAGGTTTATTTTAGTTTGAAAGAGTGAAGACGAAGCTCTCTTTTAAGAAGTGAAGTCAAACGAATGCAAAGGGTACTGTCCCATTTGAGTATATATTCAAAAATTGATATGGCATATTGTATTGCATGTTTTAGTTGTCATATGTACCATGTGTACAATATGTGTTTGTTCTAATTTAGGCGCCCGTACAGAAGGGAGACTTTATAGGAATCCATTTCTCGAGGAGTGCTTCTAAATGTGGAGTGGCAAATGCTAATTTATATCAGGGAGAACATCCTGAACTATTATTAGAAGATTATTTCTTTACGTTGAACGTAGGGGTAAGATCTTTATTTGGAAAATACATAAATGCGTGTGACACGTTTTTCATTGTATTTTTATTTCAGATATCGTTAAAACTGCCTTTTCAGGTGTAAACTCTAATAAACAGGGTCCCATGTTTATGAAATTCATGTCATATAATTTTTTTCTTGATTGTAGTTCTATGATGACCAATTTACGGTTGGTGCGGAGTTTAACTTTGCTCCAAATAATCAGATGAATTTCGTAAAAAGAACATATGCAATACAAGCGGAATTTGAAGGAGGTATTGTATATAATCAGAGTATTCCTAAGCATCCTTTTCAATAATGGACGGTTCAGAATAATGATTATTTATCATGCAAAATCACTATTTTGACTATTTTAGACGACGCCACTGCAAGTCAAGATCCTATATTTGACAATGCAAAATGTCACACCCTTGATGCTGTCCCTGTAAACGCGCTTATGAAGGAGTTACCACAAAGCGGGGATAACTGGGCAAACCTACAGGTGCCCGGTTTTTCTTTTCTTAGATTTCTTTGTTAATCAAACTGATGTAAATAAGAATCAAATGCCTCAGTCACATTTGATCTACGGCAACCGTATACGGCGGCTGTAGCTTCTCAAAATCGAGAGAAATATCCAGCATAAAACATAGGGATAAACAGTACAGTGTACTATGTATGTAGATTTTGTGTATATCAACTTTGTAAAGCTACGGCCGCCGCACGCCCACCGTATAGCAGATGTGACATAGGCTTTATTGAAAACTCTCACACTTCTCAAATCTCATTCTTGTGAGTGTTTGTACCTTTTAAGAAAAATGTTCTTGTAAACGCTAAAATAGAAAAACGACTTTCAGATAAAATTTCTTATACCCCACGTCCCGTCTCACATTTTGTCGTCATCTCTATTCTACTGCCTTTAAGGTAGGAGATATCTTTCCGTGTGATGGTGTGGTTACTGGATATGAATACTACCGCCATCCTGGCTCAAAAGGCACGGCATTCGTTGGCATTTGGGAATATAGCGGTCCAGGAAAATACGAATATACTCTTAAGCACAAAACTGCCTTACCTTGGGACGCTTCACAAGGAGAACAAGGAGGACTTGTCAAAGTTTCGATACCGCAAGAGGCTTATGTAAGAAGGATAGCAATGTTGACAAAAATATTAAATTTATTTTTGAAATTATTTTGATCAAACTGTTCGTCCTACTCCACACAATTAACATTACGGTTTATTTTGAAATGTTTCCAAACAAAATTTTAGCTCAGGGTGAATCAACTGGATGTTTTGGGAGTGTTCTACTCAAAAGATGATCCAGTTGGTGTCATATCGAATGCAAATCCTTGGCAAGCTGCGACGGATAATATTTCTTATACTACGATGTATGACACCCTTAATATCAAGTCGTAAGTGACATTCTCGATCTAGTTGGTTATCTTTTATTCATTTTAAAAGCTTATATCCTCAAAACATATATAGTTTGTAAAATATAGTGACATGCGGCAAATATTATATTTGTAAATACTAGCCACGTTTAAATTTTAAGTATCCATTTTATTACATTTTTAGGTACGATGAAGACTTCAAAGTAGGAGGAGCGTATGATTGGGATCAACCTTCCTTGTGGATTGTGCCTAGATTATATGCACTTAAAGCTTTATTTAAAGAAGGTGAGTGTTGGTTGTTGAAAAATGTTTCTGATTTGGATGGCATTGACCATGGCTCCAGTTAGTTATATTACGCATTCTCTTCAATTAAATCAGTCTATTTCCTCAACTATTTACAAAATCATACTTTGCACAATTTCATGTACACTTTTTATAATATTTCACAAATCATTGTAAATACCATTATGTGGCACCTAAGACTCCCTCTTGGGGGGTCATTGCCACTGCAACCTGGAAATATGTTACAATGATTTTAATTTAAAATAAGTTTCACCTAGGATGACCATCGATGGGATTCGATTTAAATAACATAATATACATGTACAGGGTGTTTCATAATGACCGTCCCCCCCATCCACAGCCAATCCTAGATCACGTGGCCCATAATCTATATACCATAGTAAAGGTTATTCAATTCTGGACTTATGTGCCCAATTTTAGCATGACTGGTCAATGAGAAGATAATTTGTAAACTTATGTTTGATAATCACAATACCCTCAATGTGTGTGATTTATGGCTACCATTTCTAATGGATTTGAAGAGAGGAGCACATTGCTATATAATCCATTGAATCGCAAAGAGCTCTCTGGGTATTTCTTTGAAGTATTCTATACTTTTGTCTTTTAAATATCATTGGGATATATCCTCAGCATCCATCAAATGTTATAAGTTGTACATCACTATAGATAATAGTGTATTGAGGCATGGTTACCATAGCTGTTTGCATGGTACATGGCTAATTTTGAAAAAAAGTAGATATCAGATTCTATGCTTAAGGTAAAATGGGTACCTTTTTTAAAGGTATGTACCAAGTTGTAAAGATTGTTGAGCTTATTCAAAGTTCTTTTAATTAGTCCAGAATTAAACAAGCTTTCGTATGATATATAACATATGCTGGTATGCTATTTGGGATTGATGGTTGATGGGGGACGGTCATTATGAAACACCCTGTATAATCGTTCAATATTGTATGATTTAATAAACCGCAATAGACAATCAATCACTGCAATCGACACAATATTTAGAAATGAGACCGCAAATACAATTTCATATACAGGGTGTTCATAAGTAATTACACTAGGTCGCCCAATTTTGGTCTTCAGCCAATCGTTCAAAATTTTGCACATATTATCAGGGATGTTATTATGGGAAAAATTAATAATACTTTTCACTTGTCAAGAGTAACACTTAGTATTACAACACATAGTACTTACGTTAATATGATGTTTTAAGAATGTGGTCCAGATGTGGTATTTGCGGTTGATAACAGCTACAGTATAAATCGAGGAGTATTGAAAAACGTGACAGTGTTAATGGCAAACATAGTCAATCAGTTCGAAGTTGGCCCTGATGAGAGAGAAGCGCAGTTTGCAGCACTGGTATTCGACAAGACCGTCAAAGACCAGTTTTTCTTCGATACTAACAACACGAAAGATGGAGTTTTGGACAATATTGCTGGTTTATATATTGAGTTAGACGGGAAGAGAACAAGAACAGATAGAGCTCTTAAGAAGATTAGTAAGAATTACTTGAATAAAAATGGAGATCGGCCTAACAATAAGAATTTTGTTTGTATCATAACCGATGGTGTTACATATCCAAAACGGTTTAAGTCAAAAGCTGTGGCACTGGCTAGGAAACTTGAGGGACATCCCTACAATGCAGATGTCATTGTGGTTGGCTTACCCCACAGGCGAGCTAAAGACCCTGGGACCCACTGGAATGATCTTGCTACCGACCCCGATGAAGAACACATGTTCCTGCCACCTATTTATGAAGTTGCTGAGTTAAGCCTCGCAAAAGCCATAGCATCTAAGATAGCCTCATTTGCTTGTAATAAAAAAGCCCCAGTGGCTTGTAATGAAGAATAATAATGATGTACGAGTATATCTCAAATACTGCATAAAATTGTACGTTCTTTTTTATTAAACCCAGATGAGGCCATCGTCCAATAAATATAAAGTCTGAGGACTATAGGCCTACATCCTTTCAACACAGGTCCTCCGGATCTGGGTTCCGAAGATGTAGAGTCTAACCTGGAGTATATGCTCTATATATTGTGAAAGAATATATCCCTAGACAAAATATATACTTACAGGGTAATAGATACGTTATAACGCAGTGAACGAATAGATAGTCGAGTTTTAGGTCCTAGTTTTATGCTCATCTAAGTATACTGATGTCGTCAGAAAAATCGTTCTTTTTTGTTTTTTTCAATATTTTATTCAACGCATTTCCAAAGATAATTATTATAAAAATACATGTTCAGAGGACAGATACTTTTCCTCCAGACAATTCTTATTTTCTTGTTATACACGTCCCCATGGTGAATTCTTCAGCCATTGTTTCAAAACAAAATAGATTAGGATGTACCATTAATAGATGCGTGTGACAACAAAAATTATTTGAAATAAGTTCCCAATTTTTGAATTTTCGAACAAAAACAACTTTTTAATTAAAAAATTAAAAAAAGTAAGATAAATATTTTGCAATTTCAACGCACAGATTTTTCACTAATGATTTTCAACACGTTCACGGTACAGACAAAACACCTTTTTCTGTAGATTTTTGGGGCTCCAATGCCATTTTTTTTCAAACTTTCTATTATCATTAACCTTTTTGAATGGTTTATAAAATGCACTTGCCTGCTGATTGGAACCACAGGAAATAATGTCATTGAAAAATAGAATAAGTTTATTATTAACATGCTAACGAATGCACAAGGGTGAAGTTATTGCCATCCATCAAGTTTATACGGTTCTAAACAATCCAACATCTTCACTAGTGCAGCTGAATCAGGAACATTATGAGTTTTGAATTGCTCCCTTATGTATTTTATCCATGGTATCCACTCCTGTCTCCATTGAGGATGAGACGCTACACTATCAGAAAGTAGTTCCAATCTGAACATGTTCCGACAGCCTGCCATGTCAATTCGACCAGCAGTATCAACCATCGGGAAGTCAACATCTGGTAGTTTGGTACCTCTGTCATCCTTTACAGAGTCTGCATTATCCCACGCATACTTAGTGTCATATATACGATGTAGGTTAGCAACAATTTCTCTGAAGCACTTGCCAATCTTGCTGGGTTCGTCAGATTGCTCATTAAGACATTTTTCATAGTGACGTTTCACTGCAGTTGTCAGCATGTAGGTATCCGACCTCGGTGAGAACACCTCCGTCATGAAGTACTTCAACACGAACACAATCTGCCTATGGGCATCGTCAAGTCCTTGTTTATTAGCTGGTTTCTCGCAAATTGACATTGTCCAATGAAACGCTGAATCAGAAAAGTCACAATTCGAACAATGGTCTTGACGAATAGGGTCAACAGGTACCAGGATCAGTCTTCCATTCTCAGTGTGTTTATGGTGTACACAGAGGCACAGATCGACCTCAGTTGGACAAACGGGGGCCTTGAGTAATGTCACTGTAACAGAGGGACCAGTTGTGTCTACTGAAAACTTCTCATAATCATCTTTCCCGTTTATGTATTCAAGACATCTCATCACAGCCTTCTGGAAAACAACATAGACGTAAATACTAATTGAACCGGTCTTGGGATCGATCACTGGCAGTTCTTGTGATAGTTCATCACCGAGTTCAGTGTGGAGTTCTTGAAAAATAGCAATCAAAGCATCGGTTTTCAAGGTCACTTGTCCACTCTTTGTACCATGGATGTCACGTGTGTCGTTCGTGTCGATCTTACTATCCACGGAGAGTGCCCATAACAGAAGGAAATCAAATTCGTCAGGATTCATAATCTTCAAACCTTTATAGAAGCTACCAGATTTCACCATTTGTACATCAAAAATACCAGGGTACAACTCATGTAGTGTTTTAATGACATCGTGTACGAACGCTTCTACGTATTCTCGTTGTTGCTCCACGGCAGCATCGGTGTAGTTCACCCGGATCTTCTTGGCGACAAAGTCAATAAATTTAGCTAAACTCATGTTTTCAATCTCTCGTTGTTGTTCATCTTGGGTTGGGTTATCACCACATTTAGACCCACTTGCCGCTATTTGTTTAGAGTCGTGAATCGTTGCTTTCTCATTATCAGCATCCTCACATTTGATAGCTGCTTGTAGTTTGTCATGTAAACCATCTGTCTCAGGTTCAGTGTTCTTAGATTCACACCGGAGCCCTGTAATGATATTAGTCAATGTAAATTAAACAGAATCGTACACTTTTTAGTGAGTCGTCTAGCTTTGCTGATTTTATGCATTACAGGGTGGGCCAATAAAAACTGGAACATTTTTCTATTTATTCAATTGTCTTTATTTTTGCAAATTCAGATAATGGTAAAGTGATTATTTGTGAAAATATCTCAGAAGATAAAAATATGAATGTATGATTATTTTTGGCTTGTCATGGTCATGATCTGTATTCTGCGTGTGTCATGAAACATTTCAAAATCTTCTCTGCTTGAAACATCCTGCTGAAAACACGGTATCTTTTATACCATACAATATGTACCCTTCAATTTCCATAAATTAAAACAAATGTAATTATCTCTAGGAGAAGCAAGACATGTCTCCCTTGGGTAATATAGCTTAATTGACCTCGTTTTTTTAAAAAAAACTGGCACAAGATGTCTCAAAACCTGTCATTTAAGCCATGTATGACTGTCAAATACAGCTCTGAAACTGATTGTTCAGGTGGGCAGAGGTTCAGGAAACCCTTGTGTTAGGTAAAAAAAATTGGAACAGTTTTCTATCTATTGTAACATTTTTGTTGGTCATGTATTATCTTCAATGCTTTAGAAAATTGAAAAACAATTCATTGACAGCTTGTGTAAATATGAATATACAAGCTCAACATTTAATTACTGAACATGTCCTCCACCCACCTGAACAATCAGCCGAGCTGTATTTGGCAGTCGTGAATGGCTTAAACGATATTGTGCCAGTTTTGAAAAAAACTGAGGTCAGTTAAGCTATATTATCCAAAGGAGACATGTCTAGCTTCTCCTAGAGATAACTACATTTGTTTTAATTGATAGAAATTGTGTTGAACCCATTTGAAGGGCATATATTGTATGGTATGAGATACTGTATCTTTCAGCATTGATGTCTCAAGCAGAGAAAATTTGGAAATTTTTCATGACGCACACAGTATACAGATAATGACCGTGACAAGCCAAAAATAATCATACATACATATTTTTATCTTTAACATTTTCACAAATAATCATTTTATCATTATCTGATTTTTTGTTGACTGAACTGCAATAATAAAGAAAATTTAGTAAATAGAAAAATGTTCCAATTTTTATTGGCCCACCCTGTACATCAATATTCAATGTATTTGATCCAAGGGAAAGATCAATACCCGGTGATTTCAGCGGGAAGTGGCGTTTCGTTCAGTGGATGAGCTGCGCGCGCACGCATAAATGTGATTATAAGCTTTGAACCGAGACAAGGGAACCGAGAGATATTCACGATTGATATGCACATTTTTGATTGTGCCATTGCTTTTCCATTGCTCAATCCATGTATTGATAGAAGTAACATTAATAATGCAGATTGGTTTACTTTCAATACATGGCAGACACTACATATCGGTCTATTAAATACCAGTTTGTGCCTTAGATAGTTTTATATTTCCATCCACGGCCTGGAGCCTGGGTGTGTTTGTCTCTTGTGTTTGTGCTTGTGCATGGACTTCTAATCACTAGCAGAATATAACATGATGCAAACTCGACATTATAACTCATGCTGTAACATTTTGACTTTGCTGGAAAACAATAGGAATTATTTTTCTTGCCAATCAATCATGAATCACAATCAAAATTTCACTATGATCAATCAGGCAATGGTCCAAATCATGAAGTTATAACATTATATGATATTCAGCAAGAAGTCCGGTAGAAATACAGAATATTTAAACATCAAAGCTGAAAGTTAAAAGCTAATCTGTCAATTTTCTGTCTGCAAAAGAGCGTTTACATTTGACACAATAACAGACTGAGTCTTTGAAATCTAGGATTCCCCAGGAAAATATGACGTCATACTAATTAGCATAAGGATTTCCCTATTGGTATGGGTCGAGCCTTGTTCGAAAACACAATCCATAAATACATGCTAATTTCTAAGGAGATAGGAAGTGTATAACGTGTTTATCGATTTTGTTCAAAGATTTAATCAATTATCAAATTGTTTAAGTGGATAAAGTGGTAACACTTGCTTCAATTCATAGCGTAATCGACGGATAGAAACTGACCGAATTCCCGATATCCTACCCCGTATTACTGTAGGCTATAAGCACAGTGACCTACAGAGGGCGCTATCACAAACAAGTACTGCACGAACCGATAAATTCCCGGGTATTGTAACGCCCTTGTTTGATCTACTCGGCCTTCTTTAAAGAAGTATCATGTGCATGGGTTACTGTAAATGAAATAGACAAAATATCAAGGAAATGCTGAACAAATATGAATATACAGTCGTTGATATGATTTGGATAAAACCTACATGGATTTTATAAATGAAAACATAGCATTGATACCATGTGATCTTTCTTTGTTCTTCGCCTGATGGATCAACTCGGTGACCAGTTTTGTTGTTCTTCTATAAGACACCAATAATCTCGCCTTTGTCATGAAAAGATCAGTTACTAAGGCAGTCGTCATATCTTCTCTTGGATGCCACATTTTTTCTATCGAGGCAATCTTCGCTAGAAGTTCGGGCCTGCGGTTACGTAAGCTTTGAAATTTGTCATCCAATCTATTAAATTGTCCCATTGCCTGTGCAAGTAACTGTTGTTTTGTTTCAGCTGATACTGTTGTATCTTTAATATCATCACGTGCTTTTGTTTCTTTTAAGGGATCCTTTTGCGCAATATCAGTGGCATTTGGGGCATCTTTCATACTCGCGTCCTTATTAGCAGATGTAATGTCGAGTAACTGTCCAATTGGAGATTCTTTTGAGAATGTTAGAAACTGTAGGTCAAGTAATAATGAAGACGATAGTTCGGAATCGAAGCCTTTGTCTTCGGCCCCATACACAGTATCTCTGAACGACCGAACGAGATCGTAATTAAGGTCCCCGAGTTGCGCTAGTTCGTGAAGTTTGAAGTATACGTCGCTTGTCAACATGCTTCTTTGAAGATTCCTTAGCATGTTTGGAAAAATCGAATTCGCTGCCTCTTCCCGAAGGAGTTGTTTGAAATAAGTTGTATTCTTCCTTGCTATTAATGCTTTTAAAGCCTGTCGCCATAAATCATCAATTATGGCCTTTTTGATTGTCTGTTCCACATTCTCCATCTTATTTTGAAATAAATCCTGGAAATATAGAGATTTCTCCATGACCTTCTTACTGTGATTAGGATATGTGAAAGCTGCTTAAAAGATTATACTTTGCTAATCTTCCTGACCAAAAATAGAACATCCGAGTCATTCATTTTTCACAAAATATTTGGCCCACCGGTTCCGTTTTCCTGACGATGTTGAACCAGCCCATGTAATGGTCCTAATGATACTCTCCAAATTCTTCAATTTTTAAAATATAAATTATCAATGTTAGCCTTATGTTAGCACACATAATATTGCGTTTCTGTAGACTGTTTAATATATCCATGTGGTTCCAATATATTCACGATGATCAATGATTTCGAAGTCACAGTTTGACAGCGATTTGTTTAACTTACATAGACTGTACAGATGTGGAGAGCATGACCAAATGTTTCCACATTTTGGCGCGGGACTGCACAGTAAAATAAAACTGATATAAATGTGCTAATATCATTTATATACTACAGTATACGCACCCTGATTAATTTACTTCCTGGTTGCTACCATATATTGTACCCTTATTTGAACTCAATACAGGTAAACAAGTTTTGGTCTATTGAGATGCATGTAAAATTAACAATACTTTCTCTCAATCCCAATCCATTGAATCCTGTTTTTATTCTGATCGTGCAGTCCTAGAATGAAGAAATGATCCTGGCCTAGTTGTAGCAAGGGCGTTACAATACCCGGGAATTTATCGGTTCGTGCAGTACTTGTTTGTGATAGCGCCCTCTGTAGGTCACTGTGCTTATAGCCTACAGTAATACGGGGTAGGATATCGGGAATTCGGTCAGTTTCTATCCGTCGATTTCGCTATGAATTGAAGCAAGTGTGACCACTTTATCCACTTAAACAATTTGATAATTGATTAAATATTTAAACAAAATCGATAAACACGTTGACAAATTGACAGATTAGCTTTTAACTTTCAGCTTTGATGTTTAAATATTCTGTATTTCTACCGGACTTCTTGCTGAATATCATATTATGTTATAACTTGATTTGGATCATTGCCTGATTGCTCATTCTGAAATTTTGATTGTGATTCATGATTGATTGGCAAGAAAAATAATTCCTATTGTTTTCCAGCGAAGTCAAAATGTTACAGCATGAGTTATAATGTCGAGTTTGCATCATGTTAAATTCTGCTAGTGATTAGAAGTCCATGCACAAGCATACACATAAGAGACAAACACACCCAGGCTCCAGGCCGTGGATGGAAATATAAAACTATTTAAGGCACAAACTGGTATTAATAGACCGATATGTAGTGTCTACCATGTATTGAAGGTAAACCAATCTGCATTATTAATGTTTCTTCTATCAATACATGGATTGTGCAATGGAAAAGCAATGGCACAATCAAAAATGTGCATATCAATCGTGAATATCTCTCGGTTCAAAGCTTATTTCCAACAGAATCGTGTCAAAATATGTGTCTGAGTAACAGTTATACATTATAAGATCGCAAACTCTTACCAATTATCAGCCGAATGGCTCATTTTCAACGAAATGTCCTTAAGACAACAGCCCTGGGTCGCGCCTGAGACCAAAAACTATTTCAAATAGCCCTCCCCTAATTATATTGGATAATCACATTTATGCGTGCGCGCGCAGCTCATCCACTGAACGAAACGCCACTTCCCGCTGAAATCACCGGGTATTGATCTTTCCCTTGGTTGTAGTCCTATTCACAAACTCAGCCTTTTGGCTCATATCGGTAAGAGGCTATGAACGAAAAGGATATTGCTATACATTATTAATAATAGCAAATATTGATTTCTGGATCTTTAGAAGCACCCGAGATGTGATGAGGACACAGATTTTATTAGTCCGCCTATAATATAATTCCAACTTTTTGTTCATAATTGTAAGTAGTTGCAGTCTCTGACAATCCTAGTACTGTATCAGCTATCACGAAACATGATCTTCATTGTATGGAGGAGACACGCACCATCTACAACTTGTAGAAAACAAAAATTTAACTTGAACAAAACATGTTGAACACATTTGTAATTTACTTCTTAAATGTACACGGTGGGTAGTTCAGAGAATTCCCGAATAAAATGTATGTTGGGACATGATCCCATAAGGTAATTATTTTACGACATGCACAATTTACCTTTTTATATACATTTTCTGACATATACATACATGTTATACAATATAGGCTTTTCATTCAGACATTTTTCACAGATACTTTCGTCTATTATATATCTTTTATTGACTCTTTAGATGTCATATCATGACATATTAGTCACTAAGGTAGAGCAGTTCTTCCCATTGTCGAGTTGAAGAACTGGTATCTTTATCCTGGCTAGAACCATAGACAATTCTAGCCAGCGCCAGCCTTTTATCGAGTTAGCAGCACTCTAGTAATCGCCAGTATAGGTCAGCAGTCATAGGTCAAAGACAAATCACAAGAAGTGCTGTGACCTGGGTTTGAACCCAAGACCTCTACTTTTTCAGCCTGAAGCCAGACTTCCTGCTTTTCAGACCAATGCCTTAACCACTAGGCCAACCCGGCGACCACATTTGAAGTGCTTCCGGTATCAGGACTAAATTAAGCAAGGGTGTCTTTAATGCCCGAGATAAGTCGATGTACTGGACGGAAGCGCATGAGCTACCTAAAGACAAGATGATGTGAAGCCGAGGCTCTAGTCAAGCTCGATAATGATGTATCTTAAGATTTAGCTTCGTGTTTCATGCATAATTGAATGGAAATAGAAAACCAAAATCCAACGGCGCTTGTCTTTATCAAAACCCTTTGCTTATCAAAGGGGGCACGTTCAAACGCCATCTTATGTTCAAGGGTTAATAGTATAGTAGGAACAAGGGGTTCCCATGCACCCATAAGGTGTGAATAAGTTACATACATTTTTGTAATCCCTAGGGTGTCTATTTAATGAATTCATTTGTTAACATTGCCAACTAATGTCCCATAGTACTTTTATGGCGGCATTCAGTTACCATGGTTACGCATCTTTAGACATCTTACCTTGGTATCTTAAATCATTTGTAGCTCTGTCATTATTTGGTCTATAGAAATGATATTGGTACCAAATTGAATCTCGTTAAATTTCCAATAAATTTCTGATATTCAATAATGCAAATTATCTAATTTGCATAAATTATGACGTCATCAATCTATTTTTGGTTCAGAATTTCCAACTATAGCAACGTATCTATTAGAACTGAGGCCGTATGGCAAAATTTCTGAAAGGTTTTGTCCTTTATTCTATTAGTAGAAGCTTTAAGCAACATAAAAGTGAAAACAGATTCAAAATTGAATCAGTATTACGAAAGTTATGTAACTTTCGAAGTAACTATCGTGAATGTCATTATTTGACAATAATATACATACGTCTTACCTTGGAGTCTTGAATCAATGTAGCTTCGCCATTATTTGGTCTATAGAGATGATATTGGTATCTGATTAAACCTTATTAAATTTACTATATGGTTACAATATTCAGTTATGCAAATTAGCTAATTTGCATTAATTGTGACGTCATCAATCCATTTTTGGTTCAGAATATCCTAGTATAGCAACATATCTATTAGAACTGAGGCCGTATGACAGAATGTGTGCATAGTTTTGTCCCTTATTTGATGAGTGGAAGATATAAGCAACATTGAAGAGACAACAAATCTTCAAAATTGGATCAGAATTAACAAAATTATCCAGCTTTGGAGGCAGCTACTGTGAACGTCATTGTTTGACAATTATAAAAAGAATATTAAATTAACAAAAAAAGTAACAACCATTATATTATAGTTGTTTCAATCTTATTGAGTAAAAATGTGCATGTATTGAACTGAACTAATAAGTATGTGGAAAGGTTACATGCATTTTGACTATCATTCACAGGGGTCAAAACGGTTATCTCGACCCTGTATATTAAAGATCCAATCTTATAATTTACCATGCACTTTCAATGATTCATATAAATAGTATACATATAGTCTGCTTTTCATCATATTCTTCATATTCTTGATTCTTAAAGCATCTGAAGTATATAGCATGATTAGAAGTGAAGATGATTCATCATATGGTTTATGTAATATTTCTAACATTTCAGATGCTATGGTAACATCACTTGGTAATGAGGTTTTTACATTTCACGTTCTTAATGAGTTAAAAGAAAGTTATTCTCCCTTTGCTTTAGAGATAAATAGTTGCATGAATTTGTTTAAAAAAATTATAACTTAATTTAACCTCCTCCTGACAGCCCCCATATTTGAAGATTTTGGTGAAACCTGGCAAAATACATTAATAATTAGGTTCCAGAAGCCCCCAGAAGCTATATGATGGGCCCCATTGGCCCCAAGAATCTATACAGGGGCCCCAAGTGGCCCCCAGAAGGTATACGATGGCCCCCAGAAGCTATACAAGGGCCCATGGAAACTATACTGTGGTCTCCAGAAGCTATATGGTGACCCCCAGTGGCCCTCAGAAGCTATATGATGGCCCCAAGAAGCTAAATAGTGGCCCCCAGGAGCTATACGGTGGCACCCAGAAGCTATACAGGGAACCCCAGTGGCCCAAAGAAGCTATACGATGGCCCCCAGAAGCTATACAGCAGCCCCCAGAAGCTACAAGATGGCCCCCAGAATCTATATGATGGCCCCCAATGGCTCCCAGAAGCTATACAGGGCCCCCAGTAGCCCCTAGAAGCTATACGGTGGCCCCCAAAGCTATATGGTGGCCCATTGGGGGACACTGTATAGCTTCTGGAGGCCATCGTATAGCTTATGGGGGCTACCGTTCAGTTTCTGTAGGCCCTTGCATAGCTTCTGGGGGCCATCGTATAGCTTCTGGGAGCCACTGGGGGCCCCTGTATAGCTTCTGGGGGCTACAGTATAGTTTCTGTAGGCCCTTGCATAGCTTCTGGGGGCCATCGTATAGCTTCTAGGAGCCACTGGGGGCCCCTGTATAGCTTCTGGGGGCTACAGTACAGTTTCTGCAGGCCCTTGCATAGCTTCTGGGGGCCATCGTATAGCTTCTGGGAGCCACTGTGGACCCCTTTATAGCTTCTGGGGGCCACCATATAGCTTTCGGGGCCACTGGGGGTCACCGTATAGCTTATAGGGGCTACTGGGGGCCCTTTATAGCTTCTGGGAGCCATTGTGTAGCTTCTGGGAACCACCATATAGCTCCTGAGGGTCACTATTTAGCTTCTTAGGGCCATCATATAGCCTATGAGGGCCACTGGGGGCCACCGTATAGCTTCTAGGGGCTACTGGGGGCCCTTCACATCTTCTGGGAGCCATTGGGGGCCATCATATAGATTCTGGGGGCCATCATGTAGCTTTTTGGGGCTCCTGTATAGCTTCTGGGGGCCTTCGATTAGCTTCTTGGGGCCACTGGGGTCCCCTGTATAGTTTCTGGGAGCCACCATATAGCTCCTGGGGGCCACTAATTAGCTTCTGGAGGCCATCATATAGCTTCCGAGGGCCACTGGGGGCCACCTAGAGCTTCTGGAGACCATAGTATAGTTTCTGGGGGCCCTTGTATAGCTTCTGGGGGCCATCGTATAGCTTCTGGGGGCCCCTGTAAAGCTTCTGGGGGCCACCGTATAGCTTTTTGGGGCCACTGGGGGCCCCTGTATAGCTTCTGGGCGCCACCGTATAGCTCCTTGGGGCCACAGGGTTTCCTGTATAGCTTCTGGGAGCCACCATATAGCTCCTGGGGGCCACTAATTAGCTTCTGGAGGCCATCATATAGCTTCCGAGGGCCACTGGGGGCCACCTAGAGCTTCTGGAGACCATAGTATAGTTTCTGGGGGCCCTTGTATAGCTTCTGGGGGCCATCGTATAGCTTCTGGGGGCCCCTGTAAAGCTTCTGGGGGCCACCGTATAGCTTTTTGGGGCCACTGGGGGCCCCTGTATAGCTTCTGGGCGCCACTGTATAGCTCCTTCGGGCCACAGGGTTTCCTGTATAGCTTCTGGGAGCCACCGTATAGCTCCTGGGGGCCACTATTCAGCTTCTGGGGGCCAACATATAGCTTCTGTGGAGCACAGTATAGCTCCTGGGGGCCACTTGGGGCCCCTGTATAGATTCTTGGGGCCACTGGGGGCCATCATATAGCTTCTGGGGGCTTCTGGAACCTAATAATTAATGTATTTTGCCAGGTTTCACCAAAATCTTCAAATATGGGGCTGTCTGGGGGGGGGGGGTTAAATTAATTAAGTTATAATTTTTCTAAACAAATTCATGCAACTATTTATCTCTAAAGCAAAGGGAGAATAACTTCCTTTTTACTCATTAAGAACGTGAAATGTAAAAACCTCATTATCAAGTGATGTTACCATAGCATCTGAAATGTTAGAAATATTACATAAACCATATGATGAATCATCTTCACTTCTAATCATGCTATATACTTCAGATGCTTTAAGAATCAAGAATATGAAGAATATGATGAAAAGCAGACTATATGTATACTATTTATATGAATCATTGAAAGTGCATGGTAAATTATAAGATTGGATCTTTAATATACAGGGTCGAGATAACCGTTTTGACCCCTGTGAATGATAGTCAAAATGCATGTAACCTTTCCACATACTTATTAGTTCAGTTCAATACATGCACATTTTTACTCAATAAGATTGAAACAACTATAATATAATGGTTGTTACTTTTTTTTGTTAATTTAATATTCTTTTTATAATTGTCAAACAATGACGTTCACAGTAGCTGCCTCCAAAGCTGGATAATTTTGTTAATTCTGATCCAATTTTGAAGATTTGTTGTCTCTTTAATGTTGCTTATATCTTCCACTCATCAAATAAGGGACAAAACTATGCACACATTCTGTCATACGGCCTCAGTTCTAATAGATATGTTGCTATACTAGGATATTCTGAACCAAAAATGGATTGATGACGTCACAATTAATGCAAATTAGCTAATTTGCATAACTGAATATTGTAACCATATAGTAAATTCAACAAGGTTTAATCAGATACCAATATCATCTCTATAGACCAAATAATGGCGAAGCGACATTGATTCAAGACTCTAAGGTAAGAAGTAATGTATATTATTGTCAAATAATGACATTCACGATAGCTGCCTCGAAAGTTACATAACTTTCGTAATACTGATTCAATTTTGAATCTGTTTTCACTTTTATGTTGCTTATACCTTCTACTAATAGAATAAAGGACAAAACCTTTCAGAAATTTTGCCATACGGCCTCAGTTCTAATAGATACGTTGCTATAGTTGGAAATTCTGAACCAAAAATAGATTGATGACGTCATAATTTATGCAAATTAGATAATTTGCATAATTGAATATCATAAATTTATTGGAAATTTAACGAGGTTTAATTTGGTACCAATATCATTTCTATGGACCAAATAATGACAGAGCTACAAATGATTTAAGACACCAAGGTATGATGTCTAAAGATGCGTAACCATGGTAACTGAATGCCGCCATAAAAGTACTATGGGACATTAGTTGGCAATGTTAACAAATGGATTCATTAAATAGACACCCTAGGGATTACAAAAATGTATGTAACTTATTCACACCTTATGGGTGCATGGGAACCCCTTGTTCCTACTATACTATAATAACTGTTTAAAATAGGTGATGGCAGAAACAATATAATAGTAAATCAATGCCTATACTTTCATTGTTGACACAAACAATCTAATGGTTGATTACACAATCAATGCCAATACTTTCATTGTTGATACAAAAAATTTAATGGTTAATGACACAAACAATGTCAATACTTTCACTGCTGGTGCAAACAATATCATGGTTGATGTCACAATCAATGGCAATGCTTTCATTATTGATACAAACAATATCATGGTTGATGACTTAATCAATGTCAATACTTCACTGTTAAGACAAACAATATAATTTTGTTTTTGTACATTTGTTTAACTACAATTAAATTGTGTTACAATACTTTTTACAGCATATTTAATTTTTCATCATTATCTCTTTAAATGGGTTATTCTGGGACTTTTGGTGCAGTTGCCTGCTTATGGGAACATAGGAAAATGTCAGTAAAAAATAGAACGAGTTTGTTATTAACATGCTAACCAATGCACAAGGATGAATTTATTGCCATCCATCAGGTTTATACGGTTGCAAATAATTCAACATCTTCACTAGTGCAGCTGAATCAGGAACGTTATGAGATTTGAATTGCTCCCTAATGTCTTTTATCCATGGTATCCACTCCTGTCTCCATTGAGGATGAGACGCTACACTATCAGAAAGTAGTCTCAATCTGAGCATGTTCCGACAGCCTGCCATGTCAATTCGACCAGCAGTATCAACCATCGGGAAATCAACATCTGGTAGTTTGGTACCTCTGTCATCCTTTACAGAGTCTGCATTATCCCACGCATACTTAGTGTCATATATACGATGTAGGTTAGCAACAATTTCTCTGAAGCACTTTCCAATCTTACTGGGTTCGTAAGATTGCTCATTTAGACATTTTTCATAGTGACGTTTCACTGCAGTTGTCAGCATGTAGGTATCCGACCTCGGGGAGAACACCTCCGTCATCAAGTACTTCAACACGAAAACAATCTGTCTATGGGCATCGTCAAGTCCTTGCTTATTAGCTGGTTTCTCACAAATTGACACTGTCCAATGAAACGCTGAATCAGAAAAGTCACAATTCGAACAATGGTCTTTACGAATAGGGTCAACAGGCACCAGGATCAGTCGTCCATTCTCAGTGTGTTTATGATGTACACACAGGCACAGATCGACCTCAGTGGGACAGACGGGGGCCTTAAGTAATGTAACTGTAACAGAAGGACCTGTTGTGTCTACTGAAAACTTCTCATAATCATCTTTCCCGTTCATGTATTCAAGACATCTCATCACAGCCTTCTGGAAAACAACATAGACGTAAATACTAATCGAACCGGTCACGGGATCGATCACTGGAAGTTCTTGTGATAGTTCATCACCGAGTTCAGTGTGAAGTTCTTGAAAAATCGCAATCAAAGCATCGGTTTTCAAGGTTACTTGTCCACTCTTTGTACCATGGATGTCACGAGTGTCTTTCGTGCCGATCTTTTTAAGTGTATCCACGGAGAGTGTCCATAATAGAAGGAAATCGAATTCGTCAGGATTCATAATCTTCAAACCTTTATAGAAGCTTCCAGATTTCACCATTTGTACATCAAAAACACCAGGGTACAACTCATGAAGTGTTTTAATGACATCGTGTACGAACGCTTCTACGTATTCTTTTTGTCGTTCCACGTTAGCGTCAGAGTAGTTCACCCTGGCCTTCTTGGCGACGAAGTCCACAAAGGTAGCTAAACTCATATTTTCAAGCTCTTGCTGTTGTTCATCTTGTGTTGGGTTATCATTACATTCAGCTTCACATGCCGCTATTTGTTTATGGTCATGATTTGTTGCTTTCTCATTATAATTACCCTCACATTTAATGGCTGTCTGTAGCGTGTCTTGTAAGCCATCTGTCCCAGTAGGTTCAGTGTTTTTGGATTCACACTGGAGCCCTGGAATAATATTGGTCATTGTAAATCAAACCACAATCACAGGAGCTGATTTTATGCAGTGTATCAATATTTGAAATGCACAACATGTAATTTGATCTACTCTTCTTATTATCTGAGCTTCGGAAAATAAAATAGACAAAACATCAAGGAAATGCTGAACGAATATTAACATAGGTGATGGTATGATTTAAATCAAGCCTACATGAATTTCATCAATGAGAATAAAGCATTGATACCATGTGTTTTTTTCCTTTTTCTTCGCCTGTTGGATCAACGCCGTCACCAGTTTTGTTGTTCTTCTATAAGACACTAATAATTTCGCCTTTGTCATGAAAAGATCAGTTGTCAAGGCAGTCGTCATATCTTCTCTTGGATGCCACATTTTTTCTTTCGAGGCTATTTCCTCTAGAATTTCGGGTCTTTGCTCACGTGAGCTTTGAAATGTGTCATCTATTGTATTTAATTGTCCCATTGCCTGTGCAAGTAACTGCTGTTTTGTTTCAGCTGATACTGTTTTATCCTTGATATCATCACATCCTTTTATTTCTTCTTGGGGATCCTTTTGCGCAATATCAGTGGCATTCGGGACGTCTTTCATACTCGCGTCATTATTTGCAGATGTTATGTCGAGTAACTGTCCAATTGGAGATTCTTTTGAGAGTATCAGAAACTGAAGGTCAAGTAATGTTGAATTCCTTGGTTCGATGTCAACCCCTTTGTCTTCAACCCCATACACGGTATCTCTGAAAGACTGGACGATATCGTAATTAAGGTCACCGAGTTGCGCTAGTTCGTGAAGTTTGAAGTATACATCGCTTGCCAACATGCTTCTTTGTAGATTCCTCAGCATGTTTGGAAAAATCAAATTCTCCATTTCTTCTTGCAGGAGCTGTTTGAAGTGAGTTGTATTCTTCCTGACTATTAATGCTGTTACGGATTGTCGCCATGAATCATCCATGGCTTCTTTGATCGTCGCCTCTACATTGTCCGTCTCCATCTTCAACCGGAAATCTGGAAGATAAGCCTAAACATATAACTCTTTATTTCGAATATGTGAAAGCTGTGCTTCTTATAACACGATGCGCAAAAACGTCCTTATTCTGATTCAATGGTAATTTTTTCATCATACACTGTTTACGATTTTCATCTGATTCCACACAATATATGGGGCATAACCATAACTAAAATATCCCTAAATTGTGACTTCAAATATTACCTTGAAATGGACGGTTTACATACATTCATACACCAGTCGTCAGTTAGTTAATCTTCACTCATTCCAATATCGCTATAAAATGATAAATATGTAATAATACCATTATACAATTGATTGCTGCACTCTCTGCAAAACTATGGTTGAAATCCATGTAGTTATAGAAAAATATAAAATATGGACATTTTTTGCTCATCCTGTAAATACACATTCTGATAAATTTTCTTCCTGGTTGTTGTTTACATGCTTATAGTGGCCCTTAAGGTCAGGGTGCACTTTAATAAAACTTCATGACCAAGTGCTATTTTCAGATAAACATAACTCATTCTACACATCATCTGATCATCTACATCTTTCATTCTTGCACAAAAGATGCATTAGTGTACCTAGACTATTAATTGAGGGTTGATAATTCTTCAGAATGTTTGAATAACTAGAATATTCAGTGGTTTACTTTTCAAAATTGCAAAAAAATTCTACAGTGCACCCTGACCTTAGCTGAACTGAATGTAAGATTATTTAGTCAAAACACGTAGTATTGTTAAATGTTTATGATCAGGTAGAAAACCGTTTTTGTTCAATTGAGATGAATGTAAATTGGCAAAGTTCAAACAATCATTTCTCTAATCTCACCCTTTTGAATCCTCGCATTTATCCAAACTTCCTACTTCCTGTTCAATACATCTTGAGAAAAAAGTCCGTGGAAGAAACAAGAGATTGCTCCGTTTTAGATGTGATAAGGACATGGATTTTGTGAGTCCGCCAAAAATATAGTTCAGACATTTTGTTCAAACGTGGACTTTGTCAGTCTGTCAGCAGTCTCTGACACTTCTACTAGCGATCATCAAGCATTAATTAGTTGAAAATTGTATATCGTATTGGGGAAGTAGTATAAGTAGATGCTACTCTGCCAGCACGAGCACTTAAAAATGTCTTTGGCGATCTTCTAGACCGTCAAATCTCGGATCACCAACGATCTTACGCCTGGGGACTTATTATTCATTTAAAAACTATGTGTTGTCGAAGGTCAAGGAAAGGAGGTCAACGACACATTTCTAGGTCGAAGTCACCTGTAAGGTCTATTTCAGGATATAGAATTCAATGGAAAGCTAATGCTTTTGATATGTCCCAGACAAAAATCAATCAAATATGAAAATATTTTTCGCACTGTAGTATTATTCTTTGGACACACATGGATAATAATGATAATTATTTACTGTCACAATTTGTAAACAAAAAAATCTTGAGATATCATAGTACATGTATATTGTATATCGAGAATTCATCAATGACATGACATGAATCAAAGATGTCAGTAAAATCTAGCATTAGTGTGTGTTTGATTTATTAGTGAGATCACAATAAACAATGACACTATCAATCCAACCGTAGTCCTTAACGTAAGATGTCTTGGGCAATCTTTCAATCAACTCCCATATCGGATTATCTCGACATGCCTTGATGACGGGAGCATTATTAACGTGTATCTCTCCCAAACAACCTTCATACCCGATTTCGTCTGCTAGTTCAGAGTAGAGTCGGTTCAATAATTTTATACAGCCCCTACCCCTGTATTCTTGGGTTACTATAAAATTGCTTCCAGCTAGAACGGGGTTTGAAGCTCTACTCAAACGCGACGGATAGATCGTGATCCCTCCAATTAATCTATCAGCATCTTGGTCAACTAGCGAAAATATTTGACCGCGGCTATGTTTTTCTTTGAAATGATCAAGGGAAAGAAAGTCATCGTGTCCATAACCTTGACCTCGGTGCATTGCGCCGTGAAATTGTGTATAGATGTCACCTATTTGCTTCTCAGTTGCTGAATCAACCAGTACATTTGTCCCGTCTTTTAAGACAGTGTGTTTTGGAAGATTTGGAAGTTTCTTGTAGTCAGGAATTCTATGAAGGATCCGTCTTTGTATTATATTCACGAGGTGATGCCCTGGACGGTTCACAATCAGCCGCTGTGTGGAAGGATGACTGGCGATTCTCAATAACATTGTCGTAATAAGTGTATGTTGCTTTGTTTGCTCGTTTGTTTGTTAGATCCAACTACTTCTCCTCGAAAGCATATCCAGTTTGAAATCAGGTCATACGTAACTATGGTGTAATAAAATTTAATACTTGAAATTACCTCTGCTACTCAAGTTGTTTTAAATACGATGATCCAAGTCTCTCCAATGATTCAAACTGATGCGATTCCGATATGCTGTGTTTAGATGAACGTATGATCAACCGAATATTCAACCGGACAGCGGGACAGCGGTTAATGGCGTGTCATAAAGAAATGGCGAAAAGGATACTGCAATTGTACAGCGACCTTGACTAATCACTTGCGAATGTCTCTACGGCTCTACTAGACGAGTACAACTATATACAATATACATACATGATACATGTAGGTCAAGTACCACCAGATAGACGTATCGAATCCTACTGTTACTGTTCATAACAGATAAAGAAAAATAAAGAGGTTCTAAAAATTTTATGATATTAGAATTGTATAAACGGCAACATTAATTAGAACCATGAATGCCAATATAGATTCATCGAGCCAATGATTTTTGAAAGTAAAAATTACATCAATTACAAATGATGTAAGACGCCTAATTTTCTAATCATCAAAACCATGCAAAATCAATATGCAACCAATGCAATGCCGTTGACACATTTGCTCCGATCTTCAACCAAGACGCCCGGCTGATGAATATTTTGCCATTACTGTGATCGCCATCGTCGAGCGACCTCGAGCGTTCAGTGTAATACGTAATGAAAAAGGGTAACCATCATCGGCCACTAAATTCCTAAGTTGCTGATGTACTTACAATATGCCACATGTAGATTATGTCACATAATTTTATCTGACATAATCAGTCAACATGTAGTCAGATTTATTTGATAGCATTTGGCCATTGGCTAAGGGCGATAGAAACAATTTTAAATAAAGATGGCATAGTTAAATCGATCTGTTAAAAGATAAATAGAATTCTGCAGCTGCTGCCATCTTTATATCGGACCAAAACCTATGCATCGGACCTACCTGCATACCACCGAATCATTCACCTGAGGAATATGTCAGACCATTTTAACCATCTATTCAACTCATTTAAATATGAACCTGCCATCCTGAACCTGAATCCGTCAGCCAGCAGTTAAATTTGCGAATGCTACATTAGCTTCCCAACCTCTTTTGTTTACATTCGCCAACACGTGAAGAATATAGGAAAGTTGGGATAACTTTTTGAAGTTAAGAATTATTGAAGCCGATTTCACTTGTCGGCGACGGGTACTCTAGTCCTGATACGAACTGAGCAGGTCAGTGGCTATGCCGTTCGTAATATCTAGCTATTCATTACGGTAGCTTGAGTATCAAAATAGGTCAGACTTGACGAAAACAAGGATGTAGGATCGGTATCTCCACATTCCTTAATATCAGAGTTTGTTCATTTTTGATTACAAGTTAAATCCATCACCAGGTCAACACAACTATTAAACATATGTACAATACGTTTTTATAGCTGACAATAAAGGAATTGATGTTGCTCTATATTTTCAAAACCACTCCCACGTTAAAAATTAAAGTACGCTATGCAAACACACTTTTTTGGTATTTTAGAGCCTTTTAACCATACATGTACCAGCTCTATACTGAAGTTGTTTTAGACACCGCTTGTCATTTTTTGTAAACTACATAAGCCTAATAGTGCAATCAAAGTTTTTGGCACGCATATGTAGTCTAATTTTAACATAGCTGCAAGGTAGTCATCGGTGGAAATTGACGTGAAGGGACGAAAGGTAGCTGGGAAACAGGACGGACTTGCCAGAAACAAACAACAAGCCACTAATTGGTATATATCGTTACACTATTCTTGGCTAGAGTATATACATTTTTGGGTAGATAGAAACAAGTTTATACTGTACGACCTTTGAGGAACTGCCAATCGTATTAGGTAAGGACATACTTTTTTATTTAAAAGACATGGTGTGAAGTACAATACTATAATTTTATTTGAATACACTTTGGTTAAATATTACCGATGAAGTGGATAATGCCACATATTTCAAATTTAAAAACTATTAATTAGATTAAAATAATTTTAAGATTAATAAGACCACCTTAACCATAAACCTTGCTAATGATATGGATTATGGTGTATTACGTACATCATGTGGGAACAATTTATAGAACACGAGATTGTCATTTTAGCATCTACGCTTATAATTACAATTATTTTATTTTCACTATGCTATAGAGGACATTTATTTATTACAGAACCCCACCCCGTCATGGCATCTTACGACCAGTTTGCTCAGTTCTACCGTGAAACGGACGCTGATAATAGCGGATATGTAGATAGTGATGAGCTCATAATGAAGTTGAAGAAATGTGGATATAAAGGCAATGACAAACAAATAAAGGTGAGTGCTTGTCATCACTCGTTTTTAGCATTCTGATACTCATCACATCTTTCTGTTTCAAACTAGCGATATTCTACTTGAAGGGATCTGATATAAGGCTGTAAATGCAATTCTGAATGATCAGAGTCTCTCTTTATCTATTCAAAAGCTCTATTCCGACGGATGGTAGAGACTATGGATCCCACACAGTGCTGTGAAGGCGTTTTTATTGTGTTCACTGGACCATGGAGATGATTTTTTATCTCCATGGAGATAGAATATGTGCTTGTACATTTTTCTTTGCCAGTGTATTGCATAGAAATGGACCATGGGATAAAATTCAGTTCTCGCGGTCAGTCTAGTGCATTGTGAATTTATATAATTTCATTTTAATTTTTCAATAATAAAATTGTTTCACAGTCGCTAGCAGTTTTGGGTCCATATCAAATTGTGACTGAAATTGTGATTTTTCTCAGTAAATTTATTTTTGGCAAATGATCAGTGTTTGATGCATATCATTTGAGGGATCACGAATTGAAAATAAGGTATCTAATACAATCGGCTGTTTAGGATTACATAAATAAATCCTCTTAATAAAAAACTAATTGAACACTGTCATGCTCCCATGGTTATTGTCTCATTGTACATGTCCTACGCACAAAATGGCACAATATAAACGTTTGGGGTAAATGAGGGCTTTCTATTTTTATTACTTACTGTATTCAGCTTACCTTTGTATGTGAAATTGTTGCTTGTTATTCAGCAGCGACTAAATGCTTATGAAAAACACTGTCAAAAACTTTCAAAGATTTTCCATTCATATTTAATTTCAAGCTATTTTCAATTTAGTGGCAGTTAATGAATGATCTGATTGTATCTCCCTTACAACAGGAACTAAAGTATTGAAACTTCTCAATAAAGCAATAAATAAGGTTGTACCAAGGACAAGACATCACGTTTAAACATTTGTACTACTGTATTCAACAGGTCACGCAATTTGTCTTTAAATTTCAAAAAAATGAATTGACACAATACCAAAATGAGTTGGCGTTGCATTTTACGACACATAACACACACAAGCATAATATGAAGGACGAGTGTTTCCCGAGGACTCGTTTATTCAAACCTTGTCACGACCATTCAGTCCCTCGTCGGTCAAATAAGTAGGATGTTCAGGCTACGAGCATCCAATTAGGCATCCCTTCTATATTTAACTGACATGGATTTACCATTATGATACCCCTAAATGTATGTCAGTGAAAAAAACATGGTATAATGTCATTTTGGAAAGGGACAGAATATTGCAAGGTTTCCACTTTGGGAAAAACAAAGGTCCAGACTTTGCCCTGGAGTATAATTATAAAAAACATGTTGGCCCATGTATGGCAAGACTATAATTACATGTACATTTATCTAATCAGTATGCATGAATATGCCCTGATGTTTTTGCTATTTTAAGATCTAATTACAATCAGCTTGGGAATGGGAACTCATATTTGCCTTATGATAACATGCCTAGCATATGGATTCTAGCTTTACCCCCCCCCCCTCTCCTAATGTTATTAGTGTTACAAAAATGGGAGATGGGGGATTTAAGACCAATCATTTATGTCATATCATATTTCACTATTTGAGTACTAATAAGCACATAATGCTCTTACTTGATATTTTTATAACCGGTTCTATTGTAATATAGGGTGTCCAAAAAACAGGACCGAAGAAAAGTTGTTAACTCGGTCAGTGTTCAGGGCACTGATATTCTGCCTTGAAAATTTCAGAACTATTTAGTTCATTCAATGTGAATTTTGTTGTGAAAGTTTGATCTACCTATATATTGAGTCACAAACTACACATTACAAAACATGCTCCACGTGGGCCCCACTCTTCTGTATGTACAATTGAATATAGAGAGAAGAGGTGCCCAATTGTAGCATGTTTTGAAAGGTAATGTAGTTTTTTATGCGACAGACAAAAATGAAATTTCAAGGCAGAATTTTAAAGGCAGAATATGCAAGACTGACCGAATTTTTGACACCCAGTATCATGTCCTATTTAATCACTGTGTTAGAAAGATGTGATGAATATCGAAATGTTTTTTTGTGGTATTAAGAACCTGTTTTCGTAAAAATGGCAGTGGTAAAAAACATCCCACGCAAAGTGTTTTTCATCTAACTTAGAATAAAGTCAAACTTAGACACCAGTTTATTTTGACCTATAGTCTAGAGTTGTGTACAAGTGAAAAATGAAATTGAAAGTCAAAGCAGATAGAAATGAGTTCTGCTACAGCATTCATAAAATGTGCTAAAATAACGGAACATCTGTCCAAGGACTTACATGATCTGTCACAGTTCTATTTTTAGTATTATTACAAGGGGTTTCTATTGAAACATTTTCAACTGTTACTGAAGTATCAATTATGTGTTAAGTGATTTAAAGCTTTGATAACAAAATAGTTTTTTAAGTGAAAGTAAACAATAGAGCATTTCCTTACAATCCTCACATAAAATATTGCAAGCAAAAATCATTGTTGTTGGTACCGTCCGTCTATAATCTTTATTGCGCTTAAAAATTGGCCACTATTTTTTTTTGTTGAAGTCACCTCTGACTTATGGGTGATCCAGGATGATCGCCTAATCCGTATCATCATATTGAACACATATAGTACACATACCATCAAAGAAAATAAAGACTTCACAATCTTAAGTAAATATGAACGTACATAGGTTGCCAAAGAAGTACTTATTTCACAAATCACATATTTTTGGGGTAATCAGATAGTACAAAACAACTAGATGAAATCCCCCGCACCATAACACAACATTGTTAATAAGTAAACAAGACAGATAGTGATTAATAGTACCATGGGTACTGGGCTCACACAGTGGAAGACGGAAGTGCTTACAAAAGACCACTGTTGCACCTTTGGAAGCTATGTTTAGACTGAGGATTGAACGTGTAGTCTTAAAAGTGAGGTGCATGCAATATTTCAAGCACATTGATCAAACATTCTTAGACTTATACCAAGACAAGACTTAGACCAAGACATCATTTTTGACAAAAATATTGGTGGCAATTTTAAAACATTACAAACTTCTAGACATTACTGTTAATTTACTTGTACAATGCCTGTATAATTTCAAACAAATTCAAACATGACCGTGCTCTATTCGAATTTCTCAACCAATCAGAATGCAGCATAGCCAATATAGAACGTTCTCTAATTCTCCATAGATGCACGACCATGCTCTATTCAATCTGCAATTTGCATTGTTTTGAGTGACGTCACATCTCAGCTGCACATCTGGGGCTCTGTCCGGGGACAGCTGTTCTTTTTTACTCCCTGTTTTATCAACACCCCATGTTTGCATACACCGTATAAAATCCAAAACGGGGAGTAAAATAGAACAGCCCAAACAAATTCTAAAAATTTTCCGGCCGACTTCAGAATCTTGACAGCATGCGTATTCTTCCTTCATGCCCGTTCCACAGACACGGCTTTTACTAATTTTTATGTTTGAATCGGAATAAATAATGATAGAACCTTCGGTTCGTGCTTTGTACAACATTCTGTCCAACTCGTGCTGAATTTCACCATATTGAATGGCCTATCATTATTTATTCCTTAATTAATGCACACCTTGATACAGTACTTTTGGAAATATAGCATGTCAAGGTAAAAGTGACGGCCATAAAGGCCGTCAAGTATAGATATCTAGTATTTTAATTGTCGTGGAGGATTTCAAATGAGCCAAAATGCGTTGACAGACGGATAGATGGACGGACGGACAGACAGACTAACAGTCAAGTGGGTGATTACAATAGCCCACACCATGTGAGCTAAAAAGATGACAGTTTGCATTAACTCTGACATGACAGTGATCAACATGATTTTGTGGGCTGGGCATACGCATTTCATTAATATATACAAGTATAGCGGCCGTCTCGACTTGTATACGTGATCACTTTGTAATATTCCAAGTCCATGAAGTCTGCTATCTCGTGATTAACGTTTAACCAGAGTCATTTTGACATTTTGATTAGACGATATAAGTTTAATAATGTTATTAATGATCACATATGATTCAAGCCTCGATATATCCATGATTAATTCTCACTCAACTCCAATTTATTTATGGATAAGTACACTATTCACAACATGTGTGCTATCAAGTTAAACTCCGTTTTTATGAAAACCATGCAAAGCCAAGACTGGGAAAAACATTATCAAACCACACTTCCCAGTCAATCAAGCGGCTGCATTAAAGAAATTAATCTTCTCTGGACAGTCTGTGTGTGGGGGAGTAGGTCTTTGGATGACTTAGGCCTCTGTATTTTTCGGAACAAGGTGTCTATTGTTTTATCGATAGAATTCCTTCGGGTCATGCTATACTGTTTGACGTACACCTTAAAACGTGTTCAAAATGATGCAACTCACCATTCAGTTACAGATGGTGCAAATCCTAATTAGTCATGTATTATTGGGGCCTTTAATTAAAATTGAGATTGTGTTATTGTTTTATGTTAATGGCTACTGGCGGTGACCTCGTGTATTATTATATGAGGGCAACATATCTTAGTCACCGGTTCTTTGCTCAGTGATTGTGTTTTGAGGGATCGCTCGAGTTGTCTGCATCATACACTCAAAGTGATTTACAGCTTTGTCCTTTGACATCAGACGATCATATTTTTTAGCACTTTCATTTTGGTTCATGTTCTACGAACAGAAACTCTATACAGTATGAAAATATTTTTTAACATTTCAACCTTTAAACCCACTTATAACTGGAAAACTAGTAAATAGTAAGCATATATCAATTATACTTTTCATCCTAGTGACTGAACATTTTTTGGTTACATTATCTCTGCTCTTGATTTATCTGTTTATCAAATGGTCCTGTGCTTACGCCGGCTGCCACGTGAGTCTGGGGTGATTGCCTGAGCGAATTGTCTGGCGGTGTGTCTGAACAAGGGACGTTTGGAGAACATTTGTGGACTTCCGAAACACAAGAGTGAGAGAGTTG